GGGGGGTAAGTATTTTTCATGTGATGTGGAGGGCATTATTAGCATTTTATGTATATTTATAGTCAACTCATTTAGTTTTGGTTTGGTTCAAAATGTTCGTCCCAAGTGCTAGTGCTGATCCTCTGATGCTAATGTGTTCATCGGGTGACCAATAAAACGCTCTTTATTGGTAAAATTATTCTACAAATTCTTATGGGAATCACTAATTGGTGTGTTTCTGTCAACCATCATCGCTATCTTCAATTCTGTGGTTGTAAAACGATGTAGCTCAGTGAAAGTTTTTGCAGGGGTAGATAATTAAATAGTTAAAAACAAACGTAAAAAATCCTATGACCGCTAATACTTGCACATAATAAAGGCGCTGAGCGAGTTTTTGTCGTCCCGTTGAGTCGATATTTATGAAGACATACAGTGGAGTCGCGATTTAGTGAACTTCAATCCATTTAAAGAAACTTTGAGAAGCACTGGTGAAAGGCTGGATCTGACGTCAGAACAACTTTATAATGCCTTTATTGGAACCTGTTACCCAATAAGACTTATGTATCAGAGACTGAGAAAACTGCGCCGGGTAGAAAAATCTTCTAACAAACGGATAAGATTTTTGGCCGGTACAAATGCCGCAGGCAATCATTAGTCCTAGGAAAACCCAAAAATCCACGCGCCTTTCGAAATTTTAATTCGCCGGTTAATTACAGAAATTCTAAGACTGCATGGATGACAATACAAATTTTTCGATAGTGATTTCATGACATGTTTATTCCAGAGGTAAGTTCAGGTGGTATAAAAAAGTATGTAACAGTCATATGTAATACAATTTTCATGTTTAGGTGAAGGCGTCTTTAATGAGTCGCAACTTGCCCGTTAAGGCGTTATTATTGTTGGATAATGCACCGAGTCATCCAGCTAAAGACGATTTAAAAAGTTCTGATGGTCTTATTACTGTAATGTTTATGTAACTAAACGTGACACCTTTAATACAGCCAATGGACCAGAACGGTTTCAGAATTACCAAATTATTTTATCGTTAAAAAACCTACTAAGCCAATTATTGTCAAAGTTATTGATCTAAGTTCAATGTTACAAACATACACTTTAGGGGATGCAGTTTCAAATTTTGCTTTGACCTGGAATATATTAAAACCAATTGTTATAGATAAATGTTGGCGAAATATTTTAACAATCAACTTGGATGATAAGTGTTTTAAGAGTGCGATTGCTCAATGATGAATCATGCAATGCTGACCAGAGTGTTATAGACCTCTTACAAAATATTAATCCAAATGTAAGTTAAATTACAAAAATGAAGTAAAACTTCTATAACTCGAACTTGAAGGGCCTGCGAGAAAAAAGTTCGAGTTATAGAGAGTTTGAGTTAAAGAAAAAATGCATACATACTTTAAATATTTTTTCTTGGGCACCATTCTCTACTTTTTAAAATCTCCGTTTTTTCATCAATTATTATTACTGTTTTAAGTTTTCGTGATGAAGACCCCTAAAAAACGGAGAGATTCAAGTTACAGGGATTCGACTGTATTGTATGTTTACGTTAATTTTGAATTTTGTGTATTACAGGTTAAATGTGAAATAAACGACATTAAAGAATGGAATAAAGATGAACCAGCAAACTTAAATCAGTTTACAAAATGAAATAAAAATTGATTCTGATTCGGAAAACGATGACAATGACAATACTATGTCAAATGCAGAAGACAAGCTTATTTCAACTAGCTAAGCTATGCGATGAAATTATCCAATGGGCTAAAGAAAATGGCGATGTAGTCGAATATAACAGCTGGATTGTGTTGCATGATTTAATACAAAAAATTGTAGAAATCAACCTAAAGAAAAAGTTTAAACAGCCTAAACTAACGTCATTTTTCACCTATGTTCCATAAAAATTATATAAACACATTTTAAATATTTTTTTGTTTAATATTTTTTCCATAAATCTTAGTATGCATTTAAACATAATAGTACTTTTTGTTGTTTGTTACTTTTTTGCAATATATACATATATATAATGACACTATATTCCGGGATATCATCCGTTCGCTTGTTGAACTCCGACTGGAATCCAGCAGACGTTTCGCCAAAATCTCACTCGGCACCTTCAATGCTCGCGCTCCGAAAACACTTCGAACACTGGGAGGTTATCGGCGATGCGTGCGGTATTTATACCCTGCGCCGGAGATGGTAACGGTCCTGCTTGTGCGGAAGGGGAGGTGGCTCCGCCCCCCGAATTGTCGCTTTGTTAATTTCGCCCGATCGTAGTTGCGATGTCCCCGTTGGCTGCTGCGTATCGCTCTGCTGTTTGATTATCGTTCTCCACGTATTGGATAAATGCAGAGCGTCGTCTCTCGTATTCAGGTATCCGGACTTTTCTATCTCGATGGCCTCTCGTATAATCCTAGTCTTAAAATCAGGAATATTAGCTACTTGTTTGCAAGTACCGAAATCAATTTTATGGCCTGTCTGATGTTGGTGCTGAAACAAAGCAGATGTTGTTTGTTTGTTTCTTATGACTAAACGATGTTCCTCGAGTCTGGCTGAAATCCTTTTGTTGGTCTGTCCCACATACGTCAGGCTCCTTGGTTTTCCAGAGTAATTTTTTGTTTTGGGTTTCTTAGTATTGCTCCGATGGTATGATCAGGTTTGTATGCCGTTGATATGTCGTGTTTCCGTAATATTCGGCCGATTTTGTCAGTTACCCCTTTGATGTATGGCAGGACAGCGATCGTTCTTCGTTGGGTCTCGTCCTGCACTCTCTGCTGCGGCTGTTGTTGTTTACCGATTGCACTGCTGATGATGCGCCTTTGATATCCGTTTTGTCGAAGACAGGTAATAATTTTTTTCAGTTCTTCATCTCTGTTCCTCTCGTTTGGGAGCCTGAAGGACCGAGCAATTAATGTATTTGCCACTACCTGTATCTGTGATGGGTGGTGATGAGATTTAGCGTTCAGATATCTATTAGTGTGTGTTGGTTTTCTATAGACAGTGTGTTCCAAATGTCCGTCTTCGGTCCTTGTGATATGCACATTTAAAAAGGGCAGACTGTCATCTTCTTCAAGTTCTATTGTAAATTGAATGCTTGGGTGAATGGAATTCAGATGATCTAGGAATTTCAAAAGCTCCTCCTTGCCAAAAGGCCATACAACAAATACGTCATCAACGTATCTTGTCCATAGTTTTGGCTTCAGATTTGCCTTCTCTATTGCTTTCTTTTCGAAGTAAATCATGAAGAGGTTGGCAATTACAGGTGAGAGAGATGATCCCATTGCTGCTCCATCTATTTGTCGGTAAATTTTCCCGTTATACATAAAGTAAGCGTTTTTCAGGCAATGTCTTGACAGATCTATTATGTAGGGCGGAAGATCTTCGTTTTCTTCTATAAGCAAGAGTGCCTCTTCTACTGGAATGCTCGGGTAGAGGGATTTGACATCGAAACTCGCCATAATGTCGTCCTTGTCCATCCTGAGAGAACCTAAAATTTGAGTGAAATGTTCTGAGTTTTTAACATAGGAATCTGCCTTTTGGACTATGGGCTGAAGTGCACTAGCCAGATGTTTTTCCAGCTTGCATAATGGTGAGTTAAAGGCGCTTTCCATTGGACGCAGGGGAACCCCGTCCTTATGGATCTTTGGGAGCCCGTAGAATTTTGGGCAACGACTCGATTTTTCCTCCTCGTTTATTGATGAATCGAGAATTTTGGACTTTTTTCCAAATATAGGATCTCTGGTGACTAGTTTATATATTGGGTCGTTCAAAATATCCTCCAATTTTGCATTATAATCCGACGTATTCATGACGACAGTGGCATTTCCTTCGTCTGCTGGCATTATTAGAATATTTAAGGCTTGAATTTCTTCTCTGCTTAAGTTTGGTTGCGGTGGTTTTGACTGTCTTAAGACTCATATATATATATATATATATATATATATATATATATATATATATATATATATATATATATATATATATATATATATATATATATATATATATATATATATATATATATATATATATATATATATATATATATATATATATATATATATATATATATATATATATATATATATATATATATATATATATATATGTCTATAGAAAACCAACACACACTAATAGATATCTGAACGCTAAATCTCATCACCACCCACAGATACAGGTAGTGGCAAATACATTAATTGCTCGGTCCTTCAGGCTCCCAAACGAGAGGAACAGAGATGAAGAACTGAAAAAAATTATTACCTGTCTTCGACAAAACGGATATCAAAGGCGCATCATCAGCAGTGCAATCGGTAAACAACAACAGCCGCAGCAGAGAGTGCAGGACGAGACCCAACGAAGAACGATCGCTGTCCTGCCATACATCAAAGGGGTAACTGACAAAATCGGCCGAATATTACGGAAACACGACATAACAACGGCATACAAACCTGATCATACCATCGGAGCAATACTAAGAAACCCAAAACAAAAAATTACTCTGGAAAACCAAGGAGCCTGACGTATGTGGGACAGACCAACAAAAGGATTTCAGCCAGACTCGAGGAACATCGTTTAGTCATAAGAAACACACTATATTCCGGGATATCATCCGTTCGCTCGTTGAACTCCGACTGGAATCCTGCATCCGACTGGAATCCTGCAAATCTTGCATCCGACTGGAATCCTGCAGACGTTTCGCCAAAATCTCACTTGGCATCTTCAATGCTCGCGTTCGAAGTGTTTTCGGACGGATGATATCCCGGAATATAGTGTCATCACATTTTTCCATCCGTGAATCAATACGTGAGAATATATATATATATATATATATATATATATATATATATATATATATATATATATATATATATATATATATATATATATATATATATATATATATATATATATATATATATATATATATATATATATATATATATATATATATATATATATATATATATATATATTATTAATTATTTCTTTAATTGTGTCCTTAATCTCAAACCCCGCAAATCTGAACACCCCCGAAATAGTAAAATTGCTTTGCTAAAATAAGTTCACTACTTCAATATTATGTAGAATACAAAAAAGTCCTATAAACTGTTCGGATCTGTGTTTAGGTTCCTACTGGGAGTTCAGTAGCAAACTTTCAAAATTCTACAAAATGTTTTCTTATCTTTGTCGTTTTTACGAACTAATTTACTTAGACTAAAAATGACATCGAAGGCAATTGAAAACATTATTAATTTAAACTTTTTAAGTGCATCGTTTAATCGGACTCGTGTCAACCTTGAATTGATTCTGCAGTATAGTTCGATTTGATATTGGTCATGTAATTTTCTATCCGATTGGCAGTTGTAAGTGCAATTAGTGGAAAATTGGTATTCATTACTGTTTGAACTTGGATAAACTACTTTGCCCCACTGTTCTATAACAGTATTTTCGTTTGTCCTGAGGCACGGATACAAAAATTCTAATTTGGATAGAAACAACAGCATAATTGGAGGTAACTGTGGTGAAAACTGTAATTTTTTATTATCCATTAGATGGGACATTGTTTCCTAAAATTAATATAATAATTATTGTTGCAAATGTTATTGTTGCAAAATGATATTGCATTAAGCTAAAATTTTCTTTTTCTACTCCTGTCTATAAAATACCTATTTACCCACCGATCTAGCGTGCGTGAAGCGTCACTTTACCACGTCAGTTTCCTTTCCCACGAATCCGAGCCACTTTGGACATATTTCCAACACTTTCAGTTTTGACGTTTGTCAGTTCAGACGGTCAGTGAATGTATTCGTGTTTTTTTGCGAAAATGTACCCAAAAACTAACGGTCGTAGAAAAAGTATAGTATGCAACACGTTCGGTAAACCTTTCAACTTTTCAACTTAAATGACAGTTGCCTTATTATGCAGAAAGTGTACCACTACCAACGGCATTCGAGCGCAGCGGACCGAGTGATCAATAAACGAGTGAGTTAAAAAGTTTACCGAACGTGTTGCATACTATACTTTTTCTACGAACGTTAGTTTTTGGGTACATTTTTTCAAAACAGCACGAATACCTTCACTGACATGACCGTCAGAATTGACAAACGTTAAAATTCAAGCCGTGCGGTAAAATCTCCGAAAACATCCGATTGCACCCGAAAATGTCCGAAGTGGCTTGGATGCCTGGTAATCGAAACTGACGTGGTAAAATTCCGCAGGCTAGATCGGTGTATAATTAGGTATTTTACAGAAACGAGTAGAAAAAGAAATCTTATCAATTGGTTGAATACACTGATTTTAATTTTAGTCAGCAGGGTTATCAATGCGAAACCACCAAATTGTGTTTAAATAGATAAGGTTGAAAATTTGTAGGCATGTATATATCATATTACTTCCTGTTTAAGAGCTATATTCACGGCACATTCATCGTTGTTGTTGTGCCAAGGTCGACTTTAAATTGTCGGTCAAAAGAGCGTTAGGCTTGTTTGGAAAGTGGAAGTTGATTCTATAGCATCGTCTATCCTGCTCTTAAAAACAATTTGGCACTGTCTTTGTTTGTGGCTCATAGATCATCCTATTGCAATTATACGACTTCGTTTTAAATTATAGTAAATAAGAGTTTAGTCATATGATGACATTCAAATGCAGATTTCTTTTTCCCGGTCTGATGTAGTGAAAGCACCAAGAAAACTAACATATATTTAGTTTTCTTGGTGCTGGGGACTAAAGTGATAGAAGGATATTTATTGGAAAATATGACTGGTTTTAACTGTCAATATAATACCCAAAATTATGACGTCCATAACTAAAATCTGTTAAACTGCCTAATCAATATCCTCAGATTAGTCATTATTATATTATAATTAATTAATTATTATAATTTAATATGTTCAATATTTTCCGTTACTTTTTGTTTTCTGCTCGATTTATTGACATGGATATATTTTTGTAAGGTAAAATGAATTTGTACACGTATATTCTCGGTTGGCTGGCCTTCGTCGAGTTAAAAATAAAGGCAGTTTTATTTATTTATTTATTGTTAAATGAAAATAAAGATTGTATATTTTAAAAAGAAACCTTTATAATACCAAAAACTGCTAAAATTTGGCAATCCATGCTGATTTCTTGAAGAGAGCCAAACGTTTTTTGTATGCTATAAAAATACCAATACCAAAATTTCATGGGTTAGCAAATTAATAAATAGTTACCAGAAATTTAAACGCTTATGAATAACATATTTTTGGTTGAGATAACATGAGATACAACCTCTAATAAAATTACAAAAAAAAAACATGGCTTACGACCTATTTACTTTTCTTCTGTTTGTGAATCGTCTCATAAACTATTCAATGACCTTACGCATAATACAAAGCAATGGTCTCAATTCTCGATGCCGTTCGACGAGATTTCTCAGACGCTAAACTTCTGTTGCAATTGCAAATTTACGACAATATCGATTCAATAATAGTATATACTATATCTATATACCGATGTGACCTTATTTTGAAAATAATAAGAAATCGAGCAATTAATTGTATTCAAGGCTGTCTGATTCGCGTATGTCTTTTTAAAAGCACTCCAGAAATCTATTAAATATTCTGAAGAACTGGCAACGTTGCATTTGCCAAAATATGAATGAATAACTAATATGAATCACACAGTATACGAAGACGTCCTTGTTTTGATATGGTTTCATCCCTATTGTCTATTTGTTGGGAACGTGTAAGCAAAATTAGCTTTAACCTTGTTATCGCATTTATTTGTTGTTGGCCTGAACGATATATAATAATGGCACGCATTAAATGAAGTGAATTATTAGTTTTAATGATTGTTCTTGGAATTCTGTTATCGCTATTCGTCAAATTGTTGGTATACGGTATTGAGTTACAAGAATGTGTTATTCCAATATCATATTACGAATTTTCCAAAGCAAAACATATAATATGTAACATGTTACCTAGATTAGTTTTAAACGGCACGTATCGTTAAATGCATCCACTGATCTTAATCCTATCAACCAAGTATTTGGAATTATAATCTCCAAATCGATGCGCAATAAATATATATAAGTTTTTATATTCTGCTCAGCGACTCTTTAAAGGGAAACCAAAGCAGGCAAGTCATATTACGCCTTCCGCTGGCACTACAAAGCTAGCAGCTGCCATTAGGTAACACAATTATAAAGGTTGGATTTATTTGCCTTAACTAGCGGACAAACTAATTTCAATTTCCATATACGATTCTCTTAAAGAAAGCGAGCTTTTGTGGGTATTTGCGGTGCGAAAAGCATTCAAACTCGTAACTTAAATACGCCATAATTATAAATATTTTTAAAAATCGGATTTTTTTCGAAAAAAATTATTATTATTTATACCTATCCGCTTCTTACTATAATCAAAGTTTCTCTAGACTTCTATTACGGCTATAGTTTTTAATGCTTCAAACAAAAAAATATTTGTATAATGCTGCTATATGTTGTAATTAAACGTTATGGCTATAAACACAAATTTCACGGTCTTCGATAAAACTGAACTGGATGACCTCTCTCGTTTGAAGTAACTGCTGGTAACTTCTTCGAACTCGCATTAATTCCGCCAAATATAACATTAAATGAGAACCATAATAATATAATTCACTGAAAATGGGAAAATGTAATTGATTAAGTATTTGTTGGGATAAGGTCATAATAACATCATTACTATATTGCCAGAATCGATATGACCCAGAAAAATTGCTTTATTAATAAATTCGTACGAAACCGTTTCAATCAACTCTAAAAATAATCGCCATTCACTTACAATTTTGTCGTCTGTTTTCCGATTGTAGAAGTCTTGAAGGGACCTCTGTTTGACGAATCTGTTCAAAAAATTTTCGTTACTCAACTTGGAATAGTCACTATTAACACCGGACGTAGACACTGCCGAGCTTTTTCGAAAACTTTCTTGGTTTTCTGTCGCACAATCGTCTTTGAATGATCCGATCAATTGATCGGGAATGGACCGTTTTTCAGTCATAATCGAAACGTCACTCATTATTAATCGAGCAATTCGCAATTGTATAAATTATAACTTACTGACTTAGCGTTCTAAATCGCTTTGCTGTCAGTAAAAGTTCATTTTCGTTCGCGATTGGCGTGTAGGCTCGAAACGTTAGTGTTAAGGTTCATGGTCTCAGACTGCTTGTAAAGATATTGTTGGATTTTTAAAAATTTCTGTACTTTCAGCGGCGAGTGGTGGGGCATCGTTCGCTTTGGCATAATCAGATGCTTATTTATTTATGATAATGGTATTCGGAACACAGATAATTTGACCGTAAACACTATTTCTTATAGCATTCCAAATTGGTTGACTGACATGTACTTATAGAAAGAAATTACCGTCGTATACTTCCTATTTGAATATGGTTATTTCCAAAATTTTGATATTTTAATCGACATTCCATCTAACTAACTAACCAAAAAAATGATTCAGCTAAATATGGAAATATTTTTTAGTAACACACCACTGCTTATTAACTTATGGTAAAATAAGACAGTATAAGAGATAAACCTATTGGTCCTCACTTCAAGGTAGAGAGAACACCGTCCAGTCCTTGAGATGACATTCTTACTTAAAATATAACGTCTTAATGTTTGTAATATTTTGCATTCGTCGTAGCACACGGACACCATGAACGTAGGAAACTGAACACTCGCATAAACTCAAATATATCAGTATCAGCATGAAAATTCCGATGATTTATTTATTCGACTACAATCAACCATCTGACCTATTTTTTTCTTCGAATTTCTCAAATAATCAAATAGTAAAATGACAATTTTCTCATATCGCTCATGATACCATGGCGTTTATTTTTTTATTTGATTTTTCGGTATAAAAATTTAAGCAACAAAAGGTTCTTCATACTCTGTTGTAATCTTAATGATTTGGTACAGTTTACGGTAGATTCTATACAATTCAATTCGATATAGAATGTTAAATGCAGATTGATCAACTCTGGGCAACAAAAGAATTGAAACTTCTTTTATAAGTGATATAACTTATTTCTGACTTCGCCAAATATTACAAAATCTCCTTGATCATATTGGCCCTTTTCTATGAATAAAAATAAAACGCAACCCACGCAATATAAAAATAAAATTTCAAATATGAATAAATGAGACTAAGACTCACTAAACTACCAGCCTGTACTTAACCGAGCTTTCCTTTTCTTTTCAACGAACTAAAGATAATTTTTTTAGAAATACTCTACTATCCGGAGTTGTATTATTTCCAATGCATTAAGATGATTGATTATAAGCCAAAACAACTTTGCCATAATGCTAATCTTTATAGTATAGAATCTATATAAATAACACACGAAACTTCTTTGGAGTGGGCCACACGACGTAATGTAATTCTTCTTGCCATATATTACGTCTATGTCATAGATGAAAACAATGCAAGTAACTATTTGTAGTCTATGAACATGTTCTTTGAGGTTAGGTACTCCTTAAATAAACCGATTAATTTGAAACTCCTTTTTCAGTCACAAATTTTAATTATGAACCGATGTTTACACCAGTATCTCGTAAAACACACCACGTCTAATTAAAATATTTAATAAAGTGATATCAATTTTCATATCAATGGTGCACACACAATCTTATAGGAGAAATTAAATTTTATTTCTTTTGTGATCCACTTTAGGGGCGTCTTTATTCACTTTAAAGTAATCTTCTCTTATTTCATTGCAGTTAAATAACATTTCGTTACCTACCGTTTCCAACGCCGGCGAGAATTAAGTACATTTGAAACGATTTATTAAACAAAAATTCGTTATTTGCGACAAAATGTGTGTGTTTCGCAATGTTTTAGACACTGGGTAATATTAGTGCTTCTGGGAGTCATAGTGCTCCTAATTTTTTTTAAATTTCCCACACCCCATGATATTGGTAAGTTTCATCCATCAAGTATATTTGGGATTAATATAGTTTTTGCAGACTCAACCTATTATACAAAAACCAAGATTGATTTGGAAAATGGACCAGATTATATTCTTCAAAAAAATCCACTTTTTGAAAATGAACATTTCCAAAACAGATATTGTGAAATTATCCACATTGGAGTTGTTTGTTCTGGTCATGCTTCAAATATACTCTTCCACACTCTTCTCAAGTCCATTTATATGTACAGGGTAAATCCGCTGCATTTTCATGTTTTAGCAAACAATGAATCAGAGAAAGTGTTAAGAACCTTATTTTACACTTGGAACATTCCACAAGGTAAATATTTTTTACTGTACTTTCAAAATTATTAACCATTACAAATTTCTATTTATTTGAAAATAACAGTAACTAATTGTAGGCACTTAACTAGCTTGTGATGTATCCAATACTAATGTTTTAGTGACTGTAACCTTTTATAATATTGAAAACTGGCTGAAAGATGTAAGGTGGATACCAAACACACATTATTCTGGAAACTATGGACTTCTCAAACTTATCTTCCCTAAAGTTGTACCTCTAAATATTAGTAAAAAATTGATGGTGCTTGATACAGATTTAATAGCAACTGGTGACATTTATCTACTGTGGATACTATTTAATCAATTTAATTATAAACAGGTACAGCTTGCACAAAGTATTCAAAATCCTCTGTGTTTACAAGGTATATGACATTTAAGGCTATCGGTATAGTGGAAAATCAAAGTGAATACTACTTAGGAAGACTGGGAAAAAGCAACCCATGGCCTGCTCTTGGGAAAGGGTAAACAGAGTTAACTACCTTGTTATATAGATAATAATAATTAGATGGAATGCTTGGTAATGAGTAATTTATTATAGGTTCAACTCCGGTGTTATGCTGTATGATCTAGAAAGAATGAAGTTATTTAATTGGAATAAACTTTGGATCAATATTACTCGAAGATGGACTCTTGTGTATGGTTCAGTAGAGTATGTACATAATTATATCAACCCTAACTTACTCATAGTCACATTGAAAAAATATGTAATGTAACGAATAGTTTCAAATATTTACTTAATTAATAAGTTGTTTCATGATAGATGCATACATTTCTATACACTATTTAAAAAAGTTTTAACCACTTGATATAAACTTTTTTTTGCAATAACTGTGATAAAAATTCATTAATACTGTTGCAATAGTCGCACAGCTCAAATTAATTTTTTAATTTGACTTGATGGTCTGACCAAATACTATGCAAATAACCAGAAAGAAAATGTTTCTCATATATTTTTTACAGTTGTTTTTCAAATAGCCTATATTCTGAATATTGTTAAACATAGTTGTTGAACTAGAAGTCAATTTTGGTTTTAAAACATTTTTTTGCTCACTTTTGGTATGTCACTTATTTATTTTAGTTTAGGGGATCAAGACATAATAAATGCTTTAATAGTAGAAAATCCTGATATAGTGTATGTGGTGCCTTGTTATTGGAATACTCAGTTGAGTGACAATACCCAAAGCAGTAGTTGTTATCAGGAATACAAACCAATGGTACTCTTTATTTAGTGAATTTAAGTTTTTCTTGTCATCGACCAAATTTTTAGATTCTTCATTGGAACTCTCCAAAAAAATTTGGTGTTACTCATAAGGGTGGGGAACTGTTTAGAAGTTTGGCAGCCAGTGTTTCCCAATTTAATGGAAACTTATTAAGGAAATTCCCACTCATGTGTGATGAGTACCCCGGAATGCCTACTGTGCGTATTATTTATTTATTTTAAAAATATTTCGTCCAAGTTAATTTTTATTTGTAGGCGAAGGTTGACTACACGTGTTCGAAATTTTATGTCCCACCAAACAAGTATTATCGAACTTTTTTATACTTTAGAGAGTACAATTACATTCCAGATGAAAGTGACATTACTTTAGTAAGCCAGCTCTCTTTTGATCGTTTTTATTTAGTGGAAGAAATTGCAAGTCTGTGGACGGGACCCATTAGTATCACTTTGTATGTGAGTGACAAAGAACTCGCAGAAAGTATGCAACTCATTTTGGATTCAAAAATTTTGCAAGATAGATTGAATATTTCTTACCACGCAGTTTTTAAAGAAGGGGTAAGTGGTATAGGAATAGGAACACATGTTCTCCAAACATTATAATTTTCTATTATAGGATTTCTATCCTATTAATATATTGCGAAATATTGGCCTTAAAAATGTGAACACTCCCTCTGTTTTCATGGTAGATATTGATTTTTTACCAATGAAAGATTTATATGAATCGCTGAAGGATAATCTGAAAAAACATGGTGACCTTAACAAAAAGGTAAGATACAACACTTAACTGAAATGACTTGGTAAGTGGTGAACATTCCATAAAGAATTGTGAATTTTTGTTTACATATACAAAGAAACAAACAGCAACAATCCTCTTCTTTTTTAGGCTTTTATTGTACCGTCTTTTGAATTATCCACTCGAAAGGGGGCACTGCCAGGAAGCAAATTAGATTTAATAAATGCAATTGATAAAAAAGAAGCGGTACCATTTTTGTTCAACATTTGGAACTCAGGACAAGCTTCAACTAATTACAAGAGATGGAGAGATGAATTACACCCTTATAAAGTATGTATTAGCTAACAATAATTTTTAGTCCTCTAAGTCATATTTATCTAAAGGTTAAATGGAGTACGGATTATGAACCGTATATTGTTGTAAGAAGTGATGTTACCAAGTATGATGAAAGATTTTTTGGATTTGGATGGAATAGGGTGACGCACATCATGGAACTTGAAGCCCAGGGATATGAATTTATTGTTCTTCCTAATACATTTATAGTCCATAAATATCACAAGCCTAGTTATGATAACATGAGATACAGGAAATTGCCTAATTACAGATTGTAAGTGTAAGTGTAAATAATCTTAACTGTTATTTAACTTAACTCTATAATTTACACAACCTAAATTCCAAAGATGCTCTTACTCGACAAATAAATTAACAAATTTGATGCTCTTTTCATCTCTGAAACCAGTTTTAGGCATACTTTGCCCTGAAAAATGAGCATTCACAATCTTTAATTTTAGGTGTTTGCAATGGTTAAAGAAAACTTTTATGGAAGAATTAAACAAAAAATACAACAAAACATTTGCCCTAAAAGCGTCTCCCGATTATCCAGAATATGAATTAAGAAGGAAAAGAGATACAGAACAACAATCCACGACTAGTCTTTATGACAGTACTGACTATTTCTTATTTTGGGGTGGTAAAGAGAAGGAAATTGCAAAAAGAAAAGCAAAACGCAAATATCCAAAACCACCAATACCTACCGATTCCGTGGAAGATTACTATTTTTATGAAGAAGAGCATCCTTATAATTTAACAAAAATTAATTTAAAACATAACCAACCACTTTTAAAAGCTCTCAAAAGTAGCCTTGAAAGTGTTAAGGAAACTGAATCCATGTCAGAATCGTGTGAGCAGAAAGATTATGAATATGATGAGGATGATATTACATTTCATAAACTACATGACAGTACTACAGTTCCAAATAACAATGTCACAATGTTGGGAGAAGACGATTTAATAGAAAAGGAAATTGATGACAATGAAAGCATTCCCTATGAACAATTAAAACTTGTTAATGTCCAAAGGCCTATAGGAAACGGCAAGAATATTATTTTTAAAGAAAATTGAACAACGAAAAAAATGGGTTGTAAAATAATATGTATGTTGTCTGTTAATTAGTTACCATTCCAAAGACTTCAACCTTATCAATATCTGTTTTGGAACTGTTTGAAAGTTTTTCTGAAGCAAACAGTAGTCGTTCTTCAAATTACCAATAATTTTTATTAGTTAAAATGTGATTTTTATGAGTATTATATTTTTGAAAGATGTTTTTTCACTCATTGGATATTTTAATAAATTACTTTCAGTTTAAATTGATTGTTGTCATGTGTGATTGATGTACTGCGATCTCAGAAACAGATAGAAGAGCGTTCGAATGGAAAAATTTTAGATAAATTTGTGACTTGGGAGTTGATGACAGTATTATTATAGGAACTTTTTACAATGCGACTAGCAATGATTCGGTCGTTTAGCACCATCTAATTTTCTTTATAAATATCCGCAACAGCTCATCCACCAAAATAAACCAAATTAGGGATGTTTACAGACTCACACAATTACTTTAAAAAGAAGGGTCGAGAAAACTGAGGAATATAACTATTTCAGCAAACAATTGCAGTATACAGAATCATTTGTTGTGTAGATGTGAGTCCAATTTCGATCCTAAGATGTGGAAAATCCTGCAATGAGTAGCTTCGATTGCCTAAATTGTGCCACATTCTCTGACTACAGGCAGAACTGTCTCCTGAGCTATTTATTCAGCTCAGTACACTGTTATTTCAACAGCCACATCCAAGTCATTGCCGTCAATATTTTCATAGACTGCACTCCAACGAGAATGACAGTTAAGTGGCAGTCCCCAACTCACCTTCAGAGCTACAGGTTCAAATAGTCACCACACATCAATATCGTGTAAATTGCAGCTTAAGACCACATGTCCCCATTTTAGAAAAACGATGAAATTTTAGGAGAGTAATTTAATAGAAGACTCTTTTTTTATTAACTATTTTTATTGTAAAATATGTCATATAACTTAATAAAATTTCATTGCAATTGTATATCAAAAGACACCAATGATTCCACTGTTAAATTGATTACTAGTTTCATATAGTACCATCATTCGATCAGTTTTCGACTTTCAGCTGACAAACTCTGAAAGGCAAAAAATTGTATTTTATTATTTTTTGCACATTAAAAATTTCACTTCCGCTTAATTTTACAATGTAAGTTGCCATCCAAAATTTCAATTAAACTGAATTATTATTAAGTAAAGGGTGGCTTGAAAGATCCTATATTACAAGTGAATAAGTATATATATAAGTACCACTTGGAGACACTAATGCAGAGTCCTGTATCTTTCCATCGTTTCGTTTTCCTGAATGAGTTTTTGATGAACATCACTTAGAGCCTTTAAAAAAAAAGAATTATACAAATTTACAAATTAAATCACAAATTGCGGAACTGTACTATTAAATTTGATAAATAAGAGATAAATAAATAAATAGGAACTGTAAGTAGGTACAATGATTGCTTATCTGCATTCTCTGTTATTTTATTAAAACCTGTTAATCTCTTTGCCGAAACATTTCGTTTGGATGCAATAAAGCAATATTTAAAACAAAAGTTCAGTCTAAAGTTTATTTTCGATATTTACAGATAATTAAAAATACAATTTAACAAACGCCAGTGTAGAAATAGGTTACTCATAAATCCCCTTAATCGGCTGCTGCCCCTTTTTAGTATTTTGTTTTGAACAAATTAAAAAAAGACTTATAACATTAAAAATTCCCAAACAACTGGATAAACTTTCATGTTTACGGAATCAACATAATAGATCAATTTCTAAAGCAAAATTTCAAATTTCTTACTTGTTTTTGCAAAAAAATACTCTTAGAAATACACGAATATTAGGGATAACTCCTTTTTTTAAATCTCATTATGTCAACTTGTTAAAGTTGCTTGTCATTTTACTACAGGAATATATGTACAAATTTCGATCTATCAGACATGAGCTGTTAATAACCTGCCACATAATTAATAAAAACCATTTTATCCCCTCCAGATATAACACACATCAGTGAGAGTAAGGAGGCACAATTCATAATCATTTATGTTGACTGCAGATCTCTAGGCATTGTATCAAATATTTATCTACATAAAATATTAAATGATGACGCATTTAATGGTCAAGGTCAAGGATGCTTAGGTTTGACCAGGATGGTACTTTTATTAATTGGAACAATTGTCATAGTATCATCTACCCTTCAAATTGTGTTAAATTGTTTTTCTGTAGGGGACAGAAAATAATAAACTAATAAAAAATAATTAACTGATAACTGTAGCAGTTCTTGGTTCTACACAAGCCACATTTTACCATAAACCATACTAATAATTTCTTAACATTCAAAAATATAGTTTTTAAAGGCAATTCTTCAAACAGTAAATCAACTTACCTTAAAATATTTAACAGTTTTGACTCGTAATTCCAAAGTCGCATCTTCATCGCAAATTATCAAGGTATGAGGATGTTGTTGAAATGCAGAAACAGTCCACATATGATTCACACCTTCTTCAATTGCTTTGTAGAGGGCAAATGCCTTGTGAGACCCATTTATTAAAATCATGACCTACACGATTTTATATAATTGAATGGTTGAGAAAATAAACATTATTAAACAAACCTCTTTGGCATCCATGACAGTGCCCACACCAACTGTAAGAGCTTGTTTGGGCACTTTACTAACATCATTTCCAAAGAATCTTGCATTTGCTTCTAAAGTATCCTGCGCTAGAGTTTTAACTCTTGTCCTAGATGTCAGAGATGACCCTGGCTCATTAAAGGCAATATGGCCATCAGGTCCGATTCCTATATTCAAAAAAGAAGTTATATTCTTTATATTTAATCAGTTTCCACTAAAATGATTCTTAATTGATCTGCTATAAAAAGTAACCAAAATACTAAATAACATATAATCAGAAATAAAAAAAAGGTCTTGGAAAAATATTTTCTTGAAATAAATCCACCAAAAAAATAAACTGCTGCTCACCTCCAATAAACAAATCAATGCCTCCAGCTTCCTTAATTTTATTTTCATAGTTTAAACATTCTTTAACTAAGTCTGGAGCATTACCATCCAAAATGTGGGCATTTTTGGGGTCAATGTCAATATGCTTAAAAAACGTATTCCACATATAATAATGATAACTTTCTGGATGATCCCTTGGGAGATTTACCTAGATATCAATTACAAATTATAGTTAGGTAAATTAATGATGCAAAAAAGAACAGCACTTACATACTCATCCATATTAAAGGTTTTCACATACTTAAAAGATATTTTTCCAGCTTTCTGATATTCAATTAATTTTTGATACATTCCATAGGGCGTGCTTCCTAAAAATATCATTTATCTATTACCTATTATTATATCAATTTCTGTTGGATGGCAAACATTTGCAGGTTAATGTAGGTCAAATAAAAAACATTCATAAATCATACCTGTTGGAAGTCCCAAAACAAAATATTTGTTGGGTCCAGGTTGAAAGTCGTTTATTGTTTTTGTCACATATTTTGCAGCCCATTCTGCTACATCACTGGCATTATCTAAAATTACTAGCCTCATTTTAAATACTCTCCAGTCTGTTAACCTTCTCAAACTAAACTGAGGAATAACAGAATTTTGAGGTTACAAACCTGTTGATTCTGCTTATCAAGTTTAATGACCTAACAAAATAGTCTAAATTCCGAATAAATATTGTTAAGAGATTTGTTGCTTTGATGATAAATTAATTAGAAAATACTGAAATAAATCCCTTTTATACAGAGATGAGAATCAATCAATAAATTCCTTATACCGAAATATTTTTTATTGCCACTATTTTTTGTTGCTTATGATGAAAATTTTAAACCGATGACATTACCCACCTATACCGCAAATATGATTTTTAAGAACAAAAGGTATAAGGGTAATATCTTGATAAGCAATATCAACATATAAAGTTTAAATGTAGTATGTGCTAAAAATAAAAAAACATAAAAAATCTTTTACATTGCCTTATAATAAATTGTACATATTACAATACAAAGTTTGAAGCAAAATCGGTGTTGCAGTATTCTATAGCTTAATCACTTGGCCAATGGAAGTAAAAGAAGAATTCATGATAGAACAGAGAGACTAGACTACTTAGATCAAGTGCCCAGTATCCGGCAGAAGAGAACAGGGAAATTAATACCATAGACAACTATATTATATATTAACACTGGGACACAGATTCATAAAACATTTCTGTGACTGGAATAAAATTACATTACATTACAATACATTTTCTGTGATGCCCAGCTTAGTGCGAATAGTATTTTTTCTCTCTCTCTCTCTCTCCTTCTGTGAGCGATTGTTAATACCACAGATTTAACTGGATCTTCAACTGCGGTTTTAAGAAGTGCGCTTGGTTTACTCGCAATTCGGACCATTGATGGCTAATTGTACCAATCTCTCCTTAAAGTAGGAACACTTACTTAGGTGCTAGGGACATACCTTAACCCAAATGGTTGGCAGCAGAGAACCGGACCCATTCCATCAAAATCTTTCGATTGAGGGATGGTGCAACGTCGCTTATTCTGTCGTTTTTTTGTCGGGTGTTACCAATGTTTAAAATGAAGAGTGTCGAGGGCAAATGACTCCTATAATTTTGCCCCACTTCTAAGCGTTTGAAAAGAATTTATTATTGACTAGGAAAAACTTGTTACAGTTTTAACTTTTTCTGTGGTTAGTTAAATGTTGTAGGGAAAGAATGTTATTCTAATTATTTTGTATTTCAACCGAAAGGCCTGTAGATCCTGTAGATCAATTAAACAGTGAAATAAACGGTACTTGGTTGAACCATATGTGTATGTTACATATGTACAAAATTATACCATTTTTTTTATATTTGACCTTATACCATGGACTTGGGTAAGATAGTCTGCTAATCTTGTCTTGTACTTATTGAGATATATCTCACATGCAAGCAATGAGATTGATGGAAACACCCTCTATATCTATTTTAGGTATTGAGAACTATACCGGGGATGAAGTAATCGTAACACATTTTGGCAAAAATTTTTGCATTAAAATTCCTAGAAAAAAAGATGGCATTAACAACAATGAAATTCTACAAAAATTCAATATGCCAAATTTGCTGGGTTTGTTTAGGAAGGATATGCTTGATGATTTAAAATGTAATCTTGATCAAATAGTAGCTTTAGATTTTTCTGAATGTGGGTTACATGATTTACCCCAACAACTTTGCACTCCTAACCTTAAACATTTGAATTTAGCTCACAACAAGCTCAAAGAAATGCCTCTATGCCTGTATAGTGGAAAAATGAATAAGATAGAATATCTAGATTTATCAAATAATTTTCTTACATCATGTGATGAGGAACCAGATTGTGTTCTACAACTGAAGAAAATAAACCTAAGCTCTAATTGTCTGGAGAATTTACCAGCTTGGTTTTTGGAATTTCGCTGCACTAACCTAGAAGAATTAGATTACAGTGAAAACAAAGCCAAACATTTCTCTTTTTTAAAAAATAGTACAAACTTAACGCTTATGAAAATCTCTAAATTGAAACTAAAAAATTCATGCCTAATTGACACAGATTTTGCTCTTTTAAAAAAATTTCGTTATTTGGAATATTTGGATATAAGTAATACAAGTAATTGTATCAGTGATAACTACATAAATAATTTCAAAGAAATTCAGCAATTGTTTCAAAACAATCTTTGGGAAAGAATGAAAATACTAAATCTGGCATTTCTAAATATTTCATTTTTTCCAGAAGATATTTTTCGCCTTGAAAATCTCAGAGAACTTCACTTAAACAATAATAACATATCATGGCTAACAGACGGTTTGAAACTTTTAATCAACCTACAAATCTTAGATATTTCCAACAATGGACTTTTAGTTTTGTCGAATGAAATTGTACATCTGAACAATCTTAAGATTTTGAAAGCTTCTCATAATTATTTAGAGGAGCTCCTGGGCCTACCTCCATACTTGGAAACATTGGATTTATACAATAACTGTTTGGAAAATCTAAATCATATAAATATAGATAGTTTGAACTCTATAGATTTAGAATTAAATTATATAGAACTAATAAACTGTTCTGAATATGAATACAAAAGGGACTATTACAGAAACTCTAATTGTTGTCAAGACAGAGAACAAGGTGCAAAAATAAGAACATCTGTTAGTTCTCATTCAGTTTGGTCGTCTTGTGATCTGGAAAGTGAAACTTCAGAACTGTCCAATACAAACTTACAGTATTTAAATGTAGTGGAAGAAAATTGGGATGATGAAGAGGTTGAAAATGTAGTGCAGTTTTCAGATATAACTCCTTCAGATGACGAGTGGGATGGTGATGATAAAATAAAACAAAATTGTTGTATTAAAAAATCTTTTGTTCAAAAAAATGAGGACTGGATATTTGTTGATGCAGATTAACATAATATTTTTAAAGTTATTTTGTTTATTTGTGATATACAATATATTTAGCAGGGGCGGAACTGTGAGTTTTTATTGAAAATCATTTTTTAAAGTGTTGTTAGAAAATCTCTGTGGTGTATTTAGCAACACCGCGGGCCGACCAAAAAGTTAGTCTCAGCCGGTGTATCCAAGAGGCAACGACGTTTTCACGTGCGGTACCGTTGTGAAATAAAGAACCTTTATTTTTGTGATATTAAAGTGGAAGTAATTAACTTTACTGTTTTCTTTCGAAAACCCAGTCCGCCGACATATCAATCTCCTAATTTTAGCAAGTTATTTTATTATTGTTAACATAATTTTTTTGTGGTACTAACCAGCGCGACATAAATATGTACTTGTATGAGTCACAAAATCAGTTGACAAAATGTTATTTGAATACCGTGAAAAAGTATTTCAGTTTCTATTGTTGTTTAAAGTGAAATTTATTTGTCGGTTCTTTCTTGAAATGCGCCCCATGATATTCTTTAAGTATAGTTGCAAACATATTGTGTTTTAATAAAGTAACAAGCCTCTCACTTTTCAAGGCATTATGATATATGGTCCTAATAAATTATTTTTTATTCTAATTGCTTTATTATTTGATAATTCTTAGAATGGGAACACAAATATTTCAGATTGAAATAATAATTATTTTGAGCATTCAGGTAAGTAATTAAAAATTATGGGCAGTCCTGGGGAAAGAAAATAATTTTTTAATATAGCAAATTTACGAATTTAGTCTGAGGTTGCACAATATTGTTCAAGATGAAGGTGAATATGAAGGTTATATATGTTTTGCAATACTTTGCAATCTTAGGAAGAAAATCGAAGTATTTATTGCAATTTTAAATACATATTTTATTAAACTATATATCATTCACTAGTCCAGCCAACCTCTCTTGGCAGCCAATAATGTCATTACGGCCATTTTCTCCTTCTGATTTGGAGGCATGCTTTTCACCATCGACAACATATGGTTTCCAGGATCAAAATTAACATCGGTGGAGTAATCGTATTCGGCGTTCTTAGTGCCAAATATTATAGTGCTAAAGAAAATCGAGTGGTGTACCTCAAATGACGCTGCAGTTTTTAATTCCTCCAAGTATTCTTCATAGCTCAGTGAAAGATCCACTTTGAACAGCTTCAAATTTTTTACGAATTCGAAATAGTAATACCTAAAACAATATACAGGGTGTTTGAAGAAAATCTAAATTTTGAGTCTTGGTAACGTCGTTTAAAGAAGTCTTAAATGTGTTTGTAACCAGCGTATTTAACGCTTTTTACTTTTAAAGGTTTTCTATCTGAAAACTTGGTACAGTATGTTTAGAAACACTTTGAAATTTTAGCGAATAATATTGCGGCAAAAAATTCTTATGAACCATTGTTTCTAAGTGTGTTTTCTTTTGGCAGTTATTTATTTTTTAAATGTTTCTTCGTTTCTGAATTAAAAATAGAAACAACTGTTAAACTTAAAAAAATCACAAATTGCCTCCCTAAAATTTGTTGTTTTTTTTAGTGTTCCTTTCATTGTTAGTGAAAATTAAATACAAACAATGCAGTTAACATTTCTTTTTAGTATTTTACCATATTTAAGAGTAACACAGTGCCTATTCGAAACAATACAAATTCTGCAGCTCATTTTACTCATTGAGGCAGCATGTGTCCTTAGCTTTTTTTTTCAGTAATTCACTCAAACGGACCAACGCTTTGTTAACTAGGATTATATTTTTCACAATGCAATTTCTAGCCGCAATGAAAAACAATTGCATCACTTTGAGCCGTTAATAGGTAGACTTGAAGTTAGGTTGTTTCGGTTAGTGATATTTCGTAACTTTATTTTTTAGAAGTTGGTCACAACTTTGTTGTTGAGAACATGTAGAGAATACAGAGTTATAGAAGCCCTGTTTATGCTGATAATAATTGAAGTACGAAATAATTTGATCCATCCAACATGCGCGAGATTTAAATTCTCGTTTTTAATCAATGACCTTGCATTCGACAACCTACATGGCCGCTGACAGATCGTCAATAAGTTAAGTTTGGATGTATTTTCTGAAGTTTTGCCTAGATTTCGTTAAATGTTCTGGGTAAAAATGGAGCATTTTTACGGCAGTATTTTGTCAAAGTATGTCCAGGTCCCGTGAAATCTTCAGGAAAAAAGAAGTTAAGTGTGTGGATATTGCTGGTTAGTGGGCAAAATGAAGAGGCATACGCAGAAGTAAGTTTTTTTAAATAGCGTGTTTCCCTTTTTCTTTTTCTAAGAAAGTAATTAATTTAATTTTATTCTAGTTTAACTAAACAATTTTCGGTACAAATTTTATGTCCTATCGCAATTTATTTTACTCGTATGATTTAACGAAATATTTAGGTGATAAAAACAAATGAAAAAACTACTTTACTACTTACAAAGTCGTTGTTTTAAATACCTACCTGATTAATTCATCGAAATATTGTTTTTGTATTGGGGTTTGAACACTGGTCAACAGAAAGAAGATCAAGTCGAATGCGAAAGATCGATAGCGGCACATTTGGAAGTCGACAAATTTAATCTTAACATCATCCCCTTCGTATTTTACCATGATATTGTTGACCCAAAAGTCGCTGTGGCTCACTGTGGCCCATGGCTCTACTATTTCCGGAACCGTTTTAAAGAAATCGTGCTGCAAGACTACTTCGAGTTTTGAAATTAGGGGAGAACACTCTGGATTTTCACCGATGGCTTTTAGAATATATTCGTTGGGGTTGGGAAACGGATCCCCTCCGTCCTTCGGGGGTGGGGGAGGTTTCATTTCTTCCAAATATGTTTTAACCTCTTTTTCAAAGAGTTCCGGTTTCTTTAATTTCATGGCAATGAAACCCATGTGGAAAGTGGCGAGTCTTCTAAGGATGTTTTTGCTGGTCTTCAGATCAAACCCGATATACCTATCTTCATTTTTGTAACCTAATATTATGAATTTTTGCATTATTAACTTTTCTGACAGTATAAAAACAGAAAAATAACGTGGCAAGTGAACGAATTCTTTTCGCTCCCCCTTTTAAATATGTTCATTAATAACAAATTAATAAAAGCATTTTAAGTTGCGAGGTTTATGTAAGCGCCTTAATATCACTAGTCTTATGACTAAAGTATCACTTTTGCAGAATATACTATTACAAAATGATCTGTAGTAAATAACTAGCTAACTCTAGGCAGCATGTGGCAAAAATATTAACTGAACAGAACAACATAAAGACAATGACAGGAAAATTAATGACACAAAGGAAGAGATGCGTAGGTACGTCAAGAAGTGATGTTGATGATTAGGAAAAACGATCAAATTTGTTACGGGAAACTCACCGTCAACAATAAGATTTTCTAAAACTAAGATGGAATCATCATCAGGTTCAGTTTTTTGTGAATCCAAGCTTAACCGACCCCCGTACATTTCCGGAAAGAAGTCGGAGGTTTCTTCGAATCCGCACTCTTCCTGAAACTCTTTAAACAGCGGAATAATTTTCGAATACCACTGTATTTCGTTTTTCATGCAACTTCGAAACATTTCCTTAAACTTCTCCTGCAACGGTAATAACTTGACGACGGTGTGCACCGTTTCCTTTTTTCCATTTTCTTCGGTATCCAGGTCCACCTTCAGAATTAAACTGCAAAAATTTTCACCCGGCGGGGTCAGACGGGTAACTGTTTGTTTGGTGATTTTTCCATTTAGGCGGGTTTTGAGAGCGTCTTCTAAGTTATTTAACTCCACGTCGACACTCATGTCTGCCTATTCTAATCTGAAACCTATTAAATGCTACTGAATGTCGATTTGTATCGATATGTGCTTGTCATTGCTACTCAAAATACATATTTTTGAGATTTTTAAAGCGATAGTGTATTAAAATAATCTTTACATTTACTACTTGATCAAAAAAGATTCTAAGGGAAACGAAACGTGGTACAAAAACAGAGACCAGGAATTGCTAACCAAACATCGTTCTCTAAAAAACACAATAATTTGTTGTTTATATTTACTTATTTGGGCGTTTTTGTGACATATATAATTGTATTTCAGAGGTATAAAATGCGGCTGAGCACCTATAATTTTTGATAACCCGAAAATGACCAATAAGTGAACAGATTGTTATCAACTTTTCTATATAACTTGTGGTTAACTCCTTTGTACAGTATACTATTTAATAGTATATTACAGCTCCTTTTTTAACATTTTAAATTTTTCGTGAGAACCAATTAAATTCGTATTTAAAAAATATGCGAAAAAAAGTATTTAATTTTTTTTTGACAGAAATAGTATTTATTAAAAACATATAAATAAAAGTACCAAGTGTATTGGTTTAAGTATTACTAAACGCATTTAATAATTCTTTAAAATTTAGTTAGTTAATACTATCGAAGTTAAGTTAAAGGGTGGAATAAAATGATCCACATAAGTACGAATATTGAATTAATTCGACAACCAGCAAATTCAGCATTCAACGTGAACTTATATTTTAATTGTAGAGATTCATATTCATTATCTCTATTCAGTCTAATGCAGGCAATAATTTGACTTGGCATGAGTGACTGAAGAAGTTCATTACAACATGTTGCATACTATAGTTTCCTACGACCATAAGTTGTTTTGTTCTTTCTATTCGTGACCAGAACTGATCAATAAATAAAATCTACTAAAAACATCAAACCCCCATGGCCGCCATGGTACTTAGTATATAGCAACTACATGGAACTTTTGTATCTATTGATTTGTATAATTTGTAAATTTACTGGCGCGTCAATAGTCATTTAATTGATTGGGGTATTAATACAACTCCGTAGTTTATTGCTTAAAAAAAGAAACTTCTACCATTGAATAAAATAACAATGACGCACCAGCGAAAATATTTTAGATTGACTGCCATCTAACTCGAAGCACCCTATAAAGCATTAGGTAATACGCAGGTGAGGCGGTTCTGCTTTGACAGCACAAGCTGTAAGGTATGCAAACGCTAAACAAATTTTCTACAACCATAATATATATTAGGTTACTTACCCGTTATTTCTCGCTGATGTAATTTCACGAAAAATGATATTGTAGCTCGTTGTATGTAATTAGTTTTAAACGATTTACACCGACACTGTGCGCATTATAACATTCATTGTTAATAGATAAATCTATTCGCGGAAGCAGTTTTACAAAGCGCTTGATGCAGTGGCGTTTTGTCGGAAATATATGCGTTTTAAACATTGTTCAGGTTGATTATTAGTCAAGTTGAGGGCGCAAAAAATATACAATAGTGAATATTTTATACCTTCCCTTGCGAGTAGGTCTTGTCGATACAATCTAGAAAATAGTGATTTTATTATTGTGCTTCTAACTGCTTTGGTGCTCCGCCACTGAATAACTTAAGAGGTGCCAGTGCCTTTCACTGATATAGTATACCTTTCCATGTAGACAACTTGGTCAGATATCCTTTTTTATTCTTAATAAGATGTGTAAATTGAAATCTATGCAATGCCAATGTATTTTTTAACAATTGTTGTCTTGTGCCTGCTGTAGTTAGATGCGCAGGCACTGCCAAAAACCAGTAGCCAAATTAAAAATCAAGGTACTTAAATATTATTTTGATAACTACTACGGAACTTGTTAATATCTAAAAGTGGTATACAGCGGCGTAGTATAACCAGTGGTGTAGATAAAAACAACGGCAGAGAATGGCAAACCTCTAGATATTTTATCACGGGTGCCGCAGGGGTCACTGTTGTTACTTTATTATTTTTGATTTATATGGCGGATTTGGGTGATGTGGCTGTCAAGATCAACTTTTCCAGTATAATTTTTTAATTTTTAAAAAATTGTTTGGAGGAGACTGAATTAGACTACTCCTATCATTCGTCCTAACCAAATTTAAAGAACAATTTAGGCAATGCCATGGAAAAATTTTTTTTATAAGTAATTATAATTAAAATAGAATATTAAAAAATACATATTTTTCTGTCATCGTAGTTTTCCCTTCGTATATATATATAGGTATTGGTATAGAGTATAAAACTAATAATATTTTGTACCATATTTGTAGGGCGATATTCAATAATATCCCTAATAATAAAGTACCCTTTATTTCAAACAATTTGTTTTGAAACACCCTGTATATTGATGAAAATATAAATGTACTTTGTTATACGAGTTTGAAATTATCGTATTCAAATTAAGATGTATTATAGTACAATATGTGAAATACATTTACGTAAACTATCGTTCTCTTTCGATGGTGTTACTGCAATATTTGTAACCTCTTATCGGCTACAGAAAATTTAGATTACTTGCTATCGCTTTATTGAAAACTTACGCAAATTTGGCCATATGCCTGGTCTATTCGTGAAATTAGGTTGGTTAAAAATAAAAAATGTTTTCAAGCACAACTTCCTATACTATTTGAAACTTGATTGAATGCCAAATTAGTACTTAGGAAATTAATTAATTACTTGAAACCACACTATGCCGTTACATAGAACTATAAAATTACGTCGATTTTTGCCCAGAATGCTGTAATTTTGTTCAACTCCTTAGAACACGATCTCAAATGAAACTGATTTGGTTCTTGCAAAATTTTTAGTTTCTATTATTCTTCTTTTTCCTTCGGAGCAAAAAAACTAAAGTGTAAAATAACGTAATTGCAATTAATTACATTGCAATTATATTATTACATTACATGTAATAAGATTCTTTCTGTGATGTGTAGTTGAAGGTATTTTATTGTTAAAACTTTATGCTTACGTTTACTTGTAATTTGAAATGGGTATTGCGATATCAATTAAGTTGTGAGCAGCTTGAAAGCCAGACATCGCCCATGTAAACTTAATAAAGACTATTATTATTATTATTATCGTTATTAATGGCGAGACTTTCGTGCGTGTGTCTACTATATAACTATAGAACTTACGATGTTTATCGCATCCAGACTTTTGCATCGTTCGATAAGTTGACTCGAGAAAATCAAGGTTCTTGGGCGAAGTGTTGAGTTTGTTTCAAATCAACCCCATACATGACAAAACAAAGGAATGATCTTGACTTTTTCGAGATTCAACAGCTCTTTTAAGTCTCTCTTTAGGTCAGCATATTTGTTCCGTTTTTCATTATATTTATTTTCTATGTAAGAGTTATTTGGGACTGCTATGTCAAAAACTGTAATTTCCGGCCTGTTGTCTTACTGTTACGCCTGCCATAATGGTTCTATCTAATAGACCTCAACATCCTGATTTTCTATAACTGGGGGCTCGTTTTTATGAACATCAAGCTTAATTTCTTTTAGTATTTATAAGTATTGTAGCAACTTTGTTGTGCCATTGTAGATATTTATTTGTCGCCAGGTTTTCACAGCTAATTATTATTATTATTATTCTCTATTCGCAATCGTGCTCTCGGCAATGCATTTCCATTTATCAAGAACAATCCCTGTTCCTCAGACTAAAGGTTTATATCTCCCTATCCTAGGGCACGTCGGATGATGTGGGCTGTCTTAAGGAGAGTAGTTTTTTTTGCAGTGTCCAAACGTGTTTTCATTGTTACCCGGTATTTTATTGAGTGTCTCTAATAATGACGGGGACAATAGTTGTTTTAAGCCCCCACATTCTCCGCACTTCTATTTGATTTTTATTGTGGCATCTAATGGTATGGCAATGTCGGTTAATAGGCATGTCTTGTCTTTAAAGTCCTTAATTATAATATCTGGTTTGTTTGCAATCACAGTCCTGAATGTTTGTACTTGCGTGTCCCACATTATTGTGATTTCCCCTTTGGCTTCAACGTTTTTTGGGTTGTGTTTGTACCAAGCGTCTTCTACCCCTATACCGTAGTGCTTACAGATATTGTAATGTAGTGTTAAGCATACTTCATTGTGATGTTCAAGATATTCTTTCCTTGCTAGGACTGGGCAGCCTGTGTCGATGTGCTTAATTGTTTCATCGTATTGTTTACAAAGTCTGCATCTTGCGTCTATTTTTTCTCTGAATATTTTTTTCCTGATAGAGTTGGTTGAAATGGCCTGGTCTTGAGCAGCGACTATCAAAGATTCTGTTTCTCCCTTTAATATTCCTGTTGTTAGCCATCTGAACGTCTGCCTCTTGTAAACCCCATCCTTATCGACTTCCCTGTCGTACTGTCCGTGCGTTTCTTTGTTTTTTCATCTTTTTTCTGTTTCCTCGTTAATTTTCCTCCTGCATCGTTGTCTGAGGGTTTTCGCTTTCTGGGCTGCCGTAATTCCGTTCATTTCACTTATAGATTTGTTTGTATATTGTTTTGTTAGTTTTTGGCCTTTGTTCAATAGTGTATATTTTTCTTTTCTCTCCATTGCGTTGTAATTTATTAACTCCACAAGCCTATCATCTTTTTTTTTCCTTAAGTAGTTTGCAATCCCTATAATTGTCAAGTGTTAAGTATGCTCATTGCTGATGAGTCATCTTCTTCTGCTTTCTCTGACTGTATATAGTCAGTAGCTTCCTGGTTTTTCGATCTATACATGTTATTTCCTCCTCTCTCCAGTCTAGAATGCCGTAACTGTATGTGAGGACTGGTTGTGCGAGCGCTGTAATGGCCATGAATTTGTTTTTCCCTGTAAGATGGCTTCTTAGGATTTTTCTGACCCTGCTGTTGGATACTTTTTCCTTCATGTTTATATCTTCCACACCAGTATTTTTCAATATTCCGAGGTATCTGTACATTTGTGTTGCTTCCAGATTTGCGATTTCGGTTTCTTTATCAATGATCATATTTTGAGTTTTTGCTGTTTTTCCTCGTTCTACTATTATTTTGGCGCACTTATCGTAACCAAATTGCATCCGTATATCGTCACTAAATTCTTGGACAGTCACAAAAAGGTCTTCTAGTTCTTGGCATATAATTTTAGGTCGTCAATCTAAAAAAGGTGGTTAACCGGCCGCTTTTTCTTGTTTATTATAATTATTATTACTATTATTATTATTATTATTATTATTATTATTAATATTATTATTATGGTTCGGGTCGAACTCACTCCCGATAAACGAAAATAAGACGAACCATCTTATTTTCTCTTCTAACAAGGTGCACAATTTAAATAATGCTCCGGTTAAGGTACTTGGAGTCTGGATCGATCGTTCTCTTTCTTGGAAACATTACAACACCTTTGCCACAAACTGTCAGGTCAAATGTTTTTAATTAGATACTTAAACAAGTCACTCATTTCTGTCATGTCAAAACTTGCTTATTCCGGAGTGTTCCATTCCCACTTAGCGTACGCTATTGTTTTGTGGGGTGGTTCCGTGCATGCCCGCAAGGCTTTTCTTATGCAAAAAAGAGCGATACGTGTGATTGCGAATGCAAAACCTCGTGATCACTGTCGTCCGCTCTTCTCAAAACTTAATATTTTGACCTTACCACCACTATTGACATGTATCTACTTGGGAAATAGTCTATAATTTTTTATGTTTAAAAGCTATCAAACCTTCACAGTGACCGAGCGGCCGTAGCAATAAAATTGTAGTTCAATAGAGAATTTTCCACGGTAGCCGTTCATGCATTATACACATTTATAATATACAAAATTCTCTTCCACTTCCGATTATACAGGAAGTCGCCATCTTTATTTTAAATGGCACATCCGTATATATTATTGGTTAGTTCCGTCACATTTCCCTATAAATTTCAAAAGTTTTGGTTAGCGCTCCGTTCATGTCTAGTCAAACTCGTGAATGAAATGGCGTCTATCATTGCATAATTTAGTATTAACTTTTTTTGTGTTATAAACGCGTTCGTACAAGGTCACTTAAATTTGTAAATTTGCAAAATATGTTATTTCCATACTGTGTAAGTGAAAAGTATGGAAAATATATACCACACGCTTATTATACTTTTTCTTTAATTTAATTTCATTAATTAAATTTGTGTGCTTACTGCTCTTGGAATTATGGGAAATACCATATTTTCAGCTTCTAAATTAAGAGATAATTAGTGAGTTACTCTTACTACACAACGGTTAAGTCTGCACATAAAATGCAATCCTAAAACTAAAAAAAGATTACCTTCACATCGAGAAGATCAACTTGACAACGCTGCATAACTGAACTGTACCAAAATAAACTAATTTTATCATTTATCGTTTCTAAAATTAATATTTACCAGTACGGCAAATTCATTTATCAAAAGTGACTTGCGTGTAGTGGATAAAGCCCTATTTTCATAAAGAATGACTGCTGCTTTTGTAACATTGAATAATGGGAAAACAATGCCTGTTCTAGGATTAGGAACTTGGAAGGTAAGGTTATGAAGGTTAAAATTTAAATAGGGTTAGTAACCATAGTTCGATATTCCATCACATTTTAAAAGATTTCTTTTATTGTCAACTCTAACATTAATCAAGCGTGCGGAATTGGTTGGTTTAACGGACATGCTAGAGAATATTCAATATGTGACTAGATAAAGGTATCAAATTATGGGCGGTTTGTGTTCATATAGATAGATATATTTGAAATGAAATTTAAATAAGAAATAATTGAGAGTAATAGGGTTGGCAAAATGAAGTAAAATCCTTTCTGGACTGCTTTCTAATATTAAAATAGTATTTTAAAAAACGTAGTTAGTCGTTCCTGAACCAAAATAATTTAAATCCTCCTATAAATAAAATACTTTTAATTAAATATGATAACAATGTTTGTAATAAAATTAATTTTAAAAAATTCTATTTAAAGTGATACTGAACTAAATGAAAATAAAAAAATAAAATAATAACCTATTACTGCCCCTTTTTCTTACAAACAAAGCTTGTAGTTTCAAAAATTGTAAGTTATTTATAAAAAGTTAGTTCTAAACATTACGCTACCATCCATAACTGACTAAATAAAAACTGAACAAACAATTTGTTTCTTTCAAATATGTAGAACCTGCGGATTCAGCAGGAATACATATATACATATATAATTTGGATATGTCCGTTTTAAGACCCGCTTTCTAACATTGAAATTTTATTTTAAAAACATGGTTAGTTGTTCCTGAAGCAATCTAAGCAGAATCCAACATTTGTTATTAAAATAATTTAATTAATTAATTAAAAGATAAATAAACACTTCTTTTTTTTTTGGAAAATAGTTTTAATTAAATTTCATAACAATTTCTTTAATAAGATTAAGATTACTGCCTTCTTTTCTTGCAAACAAAGCTTGTAGTTTCAAAAATTGCAAGTATTTTTAAAAAGTTAGTTTTAAGCATCAGGCTATGATCCAACTGACGTGTGAACACCACTTCTCAGGCGAGTCCAGGGGAAGTAACGCAAGCAGTTATCGACGCTATTCAATCAGGCTACCGGCACATCGACTGTGCTATGTTTTACGAAAACGAAGCGGAAGTTGGGAAAGGCATTCAAGCTGCTGTACATCAAAAGATAGTAAAAAGGCAAGATCTATTCATCACTAGCAAACTTTGGTGCAATTTTATGAGGCCTCATCTGGTTGAATCTACTATAAAACAAAGCTTACAGAAACTAGGACTTGATTATCTGGATTTGTATTTAATACATTGGCCAACAGCGCTGAAGGTAACTTATAGTAATAGCCTTAACGTTGCTGGTGTTTTCTCAAATATACCGGGTGACACAAGAAAGTGGGAACACTCTATAACTTTTAAACGGCTTGAGATGGCGACTTGAAATTTGGAAGGGTTAATATAGGCTGAATGTTCAATTTTTTGACAATAGTTGCATTACCGGTTTGAGCGGACACGACAGTAACTGTCGAATTTTAAATGGTACCACCTATATTTTTTGGCATTTTTGGATTCAGGCGATCATTCTACGTAGGATAGGATGGTCTTTCTCTTTTTTTTTTCTTTTTTTTAAGTTTGATTTAATTTTTGAAGATTGTGACTAATCATAAATACTATTTACCGGGTCACCTGATCATGGGAAAAATTGTAAATGAAACTTTTCTTTACTTGTCGTAATTTTTTAGGATAAAATAGTTTTTTCAAATAGCACCCTAGTGGGAACAAAAGCTTTTTAAAACCGGTACTTTTTGCAACATTTTGACACCAAAATTTTTAAAATCCTTTAAAAAATAAGCTCACAGGTAGGGAAAACCAGATAAATAAATACATTTTTATAAAAACAAAATATCACGTAGGTGGCTTTGTTTCTATTCATCATCAAGTCGGCATTATTGAAAATTCTGAAAGTACATTTTTATCTGACTATCAATTTTGTCGGGTTATCGATTTGGATTATCATGGAAAACAATAATCATAATGTGCATTGTATGCAGCCCCGGACGTCGCCTTCTTTCAAATTCCTGCTTTATAAAGCTGGAATTGAAAATGAAAAAAAATATATTATAAGTGAAGAAATGGAAATCAATGTTGTAGGATCCGTCAACGTAAATCCAGCTTCGTCGCTACGAAAAGTGGCATTAGAATTAGACACATCTGTGAGGAGAATTTTAACGACTATCATTCTTTTAAGTATAACCTTCATCAACATCTTTATGAAGCTGACTTTGTAGGAAGACTTCGATATTGTAATTTGCTGTTGGATAAACATGACTAGATTAATAATTTCGTTAACTTAATTTCCTTCAATGATGAGTCATGATTCTCAAATAATGCTATGTTTAACCGACAGAAGAACAGATACTAGTCTTTAAATAATCAAAGAATTATTCGTCCCGGATAGTTTCAAGAACGATTGGGAATCAATGTTTGCGCAGGAGTGATAGGAAGGCGCAGTATTGGACCTGTTTTTTTTTTTCATAGCGCCTTAACTGGTGTACGACATTTACAATTCTTAAGAAATGAAATTGAAGAGTCGTTAGATGATTTACCTCTTGCCGTGACATTAAATATGTATTTCAACACAAGATCCAGGCAATTGGTCCCCACGGTCACTGGACTTGACACCGTTAGACTTTTTTGCTTTGGGATACGTTAAAGACCGTGTTTATGTAACTCCAGTGTTCGACTTACAAAAATTACAGCGGAGAATATCGGCTGCATTGGATAGTATAACTCCAAAAACATTCTATGAAAGTTTCATCTTAAAATAAATTGGTTATATTATTATTAAGTTAAGAAACTCCAGTTTCAAAATAATGGAATGTGATGTTTTGTGTCAATGTAAAACTTGCCTTACAGTAACACACGCTGATATACCACTTTCGAATTGATTCTACCAACGTTGTTCAGGTTTTATTTTCTAATAGATTTTCAAAATATTGTGTGGAATTGTCCCAAAAAGTGACAGATTTGAAAAGAAAAAAAAAATCTATTCTCTTGTTCTTGTGAGTCTCCGGTAAAAAGTGCTTCTAGCTTTTGACGTACGTATACATACAATACTTACGTTAGTTTTTAACTATCCCCGTATTCCAAAAGCATATCAACTTTTTACCATAATAAAACAGTTTCAACAAAAAATTCTAATCGTTGAATCTCGGAAGAAAGTCTCTGTTTTTTTCTTTTCACTGCATGAGCTTGTCGAGAGTTTCTTCTGCATCTTACCGAGTTGACAATTAATAAAGTAAGCAATATTTTGTTTTTATAAAAATGTCTTTCCTTATCTGTTTTTTTTTCCTTCCTGTGAGCTTTTTTTTTAACGGATTTTGAAAATTTTGGTGTCAAAGTACCGATTTTAAAAAGTTTTTGATCCCACTAGGATGCTATTTGAAAAAACTAGGTTATATTAAAAAATTCATTCATTCAATCATTATATTAAATGCTATTTGCCATTAGATAAGTACAGAAGAGTTTCATTTACAATTTAGATCGTATTTATGATGGTCGCAGCCTCCTAGACACAAAAATTAAATAAAAATTTTAAAAAACAAAAAAAGAGAAAAACCGTCCTATCCTACGTAGAATGATCTCCTGAATCAAAAAATACAAAAAAATATGGGTTGTGCTATTTAAAATTCGAAAGTTACTGTCGTTTCCGCTCAAACCGGAAGTGCAACTATTGAGTACATATTGTCAAAAAATTGAACATTCAGCCCATATTAACCTTTTCAAATTTCAAATCGCTAGCTCCACCCGTTTAAAAGTTATAAATTGTTCCCACTTTCTTGTGTCACCCGGGATATAGAAGCAATATTAATAAATTCTATTGGAATTAGACATAGACATATTTTCTGTTCCCGTATACTTCTAAAGGAAGCACCTAAAGGAAGTAAAGTTAAAGATTATTTCTGTACCAAATCTTTTAAATGGAGAATGAGTCCTCTGAAAGGAGTGATATTGTAAATGTATTCCCAGAGAAAAAATATGTTCCGATTTTCATCGGTGTGGAAATGTTACTCTCCGTAACGGTAATTGCCAAGGAATTGAAGAATATAATTTTATTTAAAATAATTTGACAAATATTATCGGATTTGTTTAAATATGCAATTGTCTCCTATGGATATTAGTATTAATAATTAGTATAATTAAATATTTTAAAATATTTTTATAGCTGTATGTAATCTTCTCATAATAGATCAATAATAACAAAAATAATAATAAAAAAATCTTATGAATATGCTTCATATGGTATTTAACAAAATATTTGTAGGAAGGTGGCGACTATTACCCGAAAGACAAAAATGGAAAAATATTATCTAGCGACGTGGATTATATTAACACTTGGAAAGCCATGGAGGAAGTTTACAAAAATGGACTCGCCAAATCGATAGGCGTATCTAACTTTAATAAAAGGCAGTTGGAACGTCTTTTAAAATCTGCAATAATTAAGCCGGTCACCAATCAGGTAAAAATTGTTGGTGATAATAAATCGCCTTGGAATTTAATTGCTTTGTTTTGATGTTTTTTAAATTTTATTCGCTTAGAACCGCAAAAGTGGATCTTATGAAGTAGTTTAATATGCGCTCATTTGTTCTTGGTTCTGTTTTAGTAATTATGTCGGATATCATGTTTAAGGTCGAATGCCATCCATATTTAAACCAGGCCAAGCTGATAAAGTTATGCAAGTCCCTGGACATTGTCGTTACAGCGTACAGTCCATTGGGATCACCAGGTCGGCCTTGGGCGAAACCAGGGGATCTTTCCCTAACTGAAGATCCAAGAATCAAAGGAATCGCATCGAATTACAAAAAAACACCGGCGCAGATAGTACTTAGGTATTTGATACAGAAAGGGGTATTGCCCATTCCAAAATCTTCAAACAAAAGTCGAATTCAGGAGAATATCAATGTGTTCGATTTCGAATTGAGCAAAAGTGACGTGAAATTGCTGGATACACTAGATTGCAACGAACGATTTCATCGGCATTTGGAGTGAGTGAGCCCGTCGATTACAAAATGTGATATGTGACGCATATAAAATTTATTGTTCCAGAATTATTGAACACAGGGAGTATCCCTTTAACGACGAATACTAATCCGAAGCAATTTAAATATAAATAAAAAAATTTTCATAGCGCTTGCAAAAAAATCTTTTAGCAATTAGCAATTTTCAAAAATTGTTTACAATCAATCAAAGAATAAATTGTGAAACGGTATATAAAAAAATAATAAGGTAAGTAAATGGCTATGAAATACATTATTAACAACAACAGATTAAGTGATCAATAATAGCAACTGTTCGGTACCGGATAATTAACGTTTGGTAATTTTAATAAATACATTTTATATAAAAAAAATATTTTACTTTATTTATTGTATTTGTCCAACTAGTTTGCTAGAGCGACGATAGATTTGGATACCCTTCTTTCATTATATCAGCTTTGTATTTTTTGATAGTTTCATTTAACCAAAACTGTACAGAGACTTTGTTATATCAACATTGCTCCGATTCTGCTTCGGTTGGTAGCTACAGCTACTATATTTAGTCAAAACGAATGTAGCAAAAGGGCTTTGGACAACTTGAACACTAACCAACCAACTAACCAAAACTTAGGTTTGAATTAATAGAGATAAATAAAAGTCCATTTATCTCATTAAAGAGTTCGAAATCGATCAGGAAAACGATCAGAAGGTAGCTTTTATCTGGCACTAAACAGCATTCTTAATTTTGCAAAATATTGGAGTGATGGCCTACAATACCCGCGACAGTGGTCAAGTTGTCCAAACTTCTTTTGTAGTAAAATATGTATAACTTTTACCCTCCAAATTTTAGTGGAATTGCTATATTACATATATATATATATATATATATATATATATATATATATATATATATATATAGTGTCAATTTTCGAATCCTCAAAAACTCGTCAAAAATACTTAATTAAACCAAAAAAAATGAACTGAAGTATTACAGAATGTAACATTGTTATTCTGTAAGTGAAGGAAGCCTGGGATATGTACTTATGCCTCAGCTGGAGAATTGTGCCTCCTCCTAGACACAACACACAAATTATATTAACAATTTGTTTAAAAAGAACTATTCTATTCTGTATGAGCCATTTAATTAAAACAATTAAGAACTACATTAATTAAGTGTCGAAACAAAAACCAAATAAATCACCACCAAAATAAATGAACATATTTTGCAGTATCTAATAATAGTTGTAGTAAAAAGTTTTTAACATAGAATATGCAAATAATAAACAATAAATATTTAGGAATAGCGAGGAATACGCAATTCAAATAGAATAAACGCTAGTAAACAACCTTAGTCCACTGATTTACAAATTCAGATATTTTAGAAACATTTTGAATAAACACCACATGATAGCATATGATACAATATGGTAACGGTTTTAAACATTTTCAAAAACATACAAAACGGATTTTTGTCCGCGTTAGAATTGTTTCACTTTTTTAAAAACACATTCAATCAATTCAAACCAAAATATTTCGAAAACGGTTGCTTCTAAAGGGACTTCTAAGAGGACCTTTTCCAAATAAATTTTTTTGAGCAGTTTAACCAAAAATATAATATAGGATCGCGCAAAAAATCGTGAGCCTTTTAACAGTGAGGAAAGGCATGTTATTGTTACAAAAAACAAAAACGAGAATAAAACCTGGACTTGTATCTCGAAAACGAAGCATTTTAGACATACACGTTTATAGTACGTTTTTACCTGCAATATACTTGAGTAATGACCACGTGAAATAATTGCACTCTTATTATCTTGACCTTTCGCAGACCCTCTTCCAAAAAGTAATTTACAACCGTCATACCTCTTGTTACTCGGTAAACCCAATAGCCAATAATTTATTTATTCGTACGTAAGGGGCGAGTTGATCATTTGTCGGCTGATATCAGTAGCAGTAGCAGCAACACACATGGGTAAAAATAAATTTTAGAAAACATTGAAGGAATACTTTTAATAGACAATGACGAAATTATACGTTTGGTGATGATATTTGAGAGCAGTTAATGAGAGTAAATGAACGATATACCGTTGGTAAAAAGGATATAAAAAGCGCGAGTCAAGCTTTCATCGAAGAATGGCCCACTGGAATAAAATCACCCTCAGGAAAAGGTAAGAAATCAATAATTACTTACATTAGTAGCAAAAATTTATTTGTCGGTTGTGGTTTACTAGCATGACTAGGGAATATCACGATGACATGAAAACTACTTCCGGCATTAGAACATGGAGTTGTATTGCAAAAATATTTTTTTAAATAATGTGATTTTGATTATTATTATATTTATTATTCTAATGAACTGACTGTAGTAACGCGGCTGTCAAAAGATATAAAACGGAATTCATCGGAAACTATCTATGGAATTTATCTAAACTTTACGTTATAACGTTTAATAATCTTTAATACTCCATGTCATGGCAAATTTAAGTCTCTTACTCTCTCGAATTAAGAAACACAGTATAATACTAACGTAATTTTATTTTACCTAAATAAACATAACATACTATTTAATATTGGTCATGTGTTTTAACAGGTTAATCGAAATATTTAATATTGGTCATGTGTTTTAACAGGTTATTTCGATAATTGCTGCCAAAAGCCAATCCGTGTCGGAAAATCGGAAAAACCAAATTTGATGGTAACCATTTATTTATTGCGGATGCTGCACCTAAATAAATATTGAAGAACATTTACTATCTTCTCGAACGCATTGCGGCTGACGCACTAATCACAACCATGTCAACATTGTGGTATAGAGCGGAAGGTGTAATGTGCATCGTTTAGCTGATTTATTTTAGTTAGGCGAATCGTCTAGAACTCATTTCGACTTAATAAACGTAGAAATTGCTACGGCCTTGAATGAAATAGATAAAGTTTACGTTTTAGATAAATACACGAATCCGTCGATTTTAGTTCCTATAAAATGTCCGAGTACGATATTAAAAACCTAGAAGAGCTCCTGGCGAGTCACTTGCACAGAGAAATCGTAGATAAGAAGATAACGCGGCTAACTGCACCAGGCGAAAATTATGGCAGTTTGATGCTGAAAGTGGATCTCACAGTGAAAAATGGTGATAGGACGGAAGAAATTCATGCCGCAGCCAAATGCGTTCCACCGAATGAAGCAATACAGAAAATGTTTAACACTCAAGTGACTTTTAGAAACGAAATCGCCTGGTACACGATAATTATACCGACGATACAACGGTTTTTACGCGAGAACAACGTACGGTTTTCCGCCAACTTTTTTACCGAATTGTACGGTGCCAGGATCAGTCTAAACAAGGATAGTGCAACGGTGGACGAAGACGGCGTTATTCTGTTTGAAAATCTCACGAAGTCAGGTATCAGGAACACAATCCTCAACGATTTTATCGGAAAACAATGAATAAAATATGGTTTGGTATCGGCAAAAAGTAACCATTTATTATTATTATTTAAAAATTAATCAGAAGTCTCGAAGGTGGGTTAGAATCTGTCTCAATAGAGAAGAGGCCAGTGACGTCATTGTTCGGTTAGAATCTGTCTCAATAGAGAAGAGGCCAGTGACGTCATTGTTCGTTGCGCGAAATAAGCGTCCTATTATCCTTCTCGTGTTATTGCGTTCTTTATCGTGTAGGAGAGCCAGTGGCGGCACTTATTTCAATTACGTGTTTTTATTGTTCAATGCCTGGCGCTTTCACCAAATTTTTAATTCCCATAACGTTTATTATTTTCGTATATTGTGTTCTCCCAAGCTTTCCAAAAGTCGGATGGGATTTTCCAGTTTAGCAGCGTAGTATATCACTGACGAAAGACAGGAAAAATATTAAATTATTTAATCGAATGGGAAATTAAGTTAGGTACATCAATAACAAGTAAACAATATTTAATCAAAATAAACAATTAAAAGTTATAAGCAATAAATAGAACACATTCTGAAAAACAAATACTCAAAATAATCATGAAGCTGAAGTAGTAAAAAATAACAGTTTTTGTAACAAGTCCCGAAAGTGTAATTTTACTGATCAGTAAGCAAATTTCCAAGGCAAAGTCCTGGAAGCCTGCGAGTCCAGTTAAACTTTCTCAATGAAAGATACATATTATATTAACGGTATATTACATAACAAGAAATGAAATTTTTGAAACGAGAAGTATTTGGCACGAGCCGTAAGCTGTGTGCTTAAATTCTTTGAGTTTAAAAACTTTCTTTTACATGACTAATGTACACTATTTTTCTTTCGACTGCAAAGCATATTTGAAAAAAATTCTTTTTTTTCAAATATTTTTTTCCATGTCAGGCAATTTCAAAGTAATGTTTTGGCTTGCTACCTAGTTTTTGACAGTTACCAAAATTTTCTCGATGGGGTTAAGATCTGGATGGTAAGGTAATACGTCATGGAGTTTATATCTGCCTTGGTATTTAAACTTATTTTTTAAAATTAAATCATAGAATTCCGGTTTCAATAATGTTTCGTCAAAAGGAATGTTTTTTTTCTTGGAGCCATTGCTTCATTTCCTGCTTGCTCTTTGCAGAAGTTATATGTTTTGCAACTGTCACATTATGATAAGGAGTATTGTCTATCACTAGGACAGATCAAGGAGGTAGATTAGAAAGCAACTTAGTTTCCACCTACAGCATAAAATTCGCATGGTTAATGTCGTGGTGGTAATCAGCACCCTTAGAACCTAAAATGTGTTTTAAATTAGTTCAAATTGGGTTTTTAATAAAATAATCTTACCAGAACGAAATATCAGCAAAGCGTTATTAATAAAACCTCTTTCCCCACCAGCATGTACAATGATAAGCCGTTGCCCTTTTGCGATTGGTCTTCTTTTTCCATTCTCGCTGTCATCAAACCATCCTTTATCAGATGTGTGTCCACTATAAATGTACGTTTCATCAGTGTAGGCAATGTACCTTCCTTTCTGGCGAAACTTTGTTATTTGTTTAAGGAATTTGACCCTTTTTAATCGAATGTCATGTGATTCTATTAGTGCTTTTCTATTGTCATCAGTCTTCCTCTATCTACAAATAAATTGAATACCATTTTTTATTAATAAACGTCAATCCCTCAAAAAATCCCTAACGAAAACTAACACAGAACATACATACAGGGATGTAGTACATTTACATACTCATACTTAAAAATTTACTGCCCTATAAAATGTACTAATGCCTTTGCAATCATTTTAGAATTTACTAAATTTCTCAGTTGTTCTTTACCAGTACATATTATATTTACTTCCTAATTTTAAGCAAAATGTGTATACTACTGCTAATAATTAAATCTTTGATAGAAAATTCAGCAAATATGGTCGTCATGTAAATTATCTGGCTTATTAAATTTATTATATTAAAGTTGTACCGGTTTTGCGCAAATAATATTATTTCATTAAAATGCCTTACCTTAACCAAGATACTGCAACCAAAACGAAAATAATAGTCTATAAAAATGAACGAAATATAAACACCCACAAACGACAGCCACGAAAAGTAAATAACCGGAACGATTTCATCCACGCCAATGGCGAATGACAGCTGATTGCCGTTTGAAATTCGTCTTCTGCGCATCTGACGTCACTTGGCTCTCCTGTATTGAGACGGACTCTAAATACTAACAAGGCTACTCCAGAACGCAATTTTTTGTTTATCCTTATCTGCAATAAAGTATTCCACAAAAAATTGGACAGTGTCGATAAATTGCAATATTTACAATTGCAATGAATTGAGATTTATTAGCACATTGCCCACATTAGCTCATGAGCTTTTAAATCATTTGCATTTTCGGTGTCGAGTAACGCGTAAATCAACTGTGCAAGAAAATTATTTTTGCTCCACATTGTAGATACGGTATTAATTATTATTATTACATATACATTATCTATTTTTACATTATACTTATTATTATTGTATCAGTATTTGCTATCATGCCTAACAATAAAAAGATGTTCCATTAATTGTCCACTATCACTGAGTGAAAAAGTTAATATTAATAATACTACGAATTGTAGAGATTTGTGGTAAAAATTTTGTGACCAAGTGACCATTGCTGTTCGTTCAGTTTGATAGACATTGTTCTTTACGCGACCCTCATAAATAGAAGTCGAGACACGTTAAATCGGGAAAACTAGCCGGTCAGGTTCAACACAGCGCCCCTGAAATCTCTCGTTGATTGGTTGGGTTAATATAACGATAATTAATATAGTAAATTCTCAGATAAGCTTCAAATTTTTCAGCCAAATTTCTTAAAATATTTGGAGCAGTCGTAAGCCACAATTTTTATTTTTTATGGTGTTATTTCCATAGTATATTATAATTGTTGCTTTGAATATTTATCATAATAAACTATTGGTCATGAAAATGTGAACTAGAATTAATTTCAAATGTTAAAAAAAGTTTCTCTGGGAATAAGTCTTGAACGTTTGTTTTTTTTAAATTAATCTATTGTTTCTGTCGAAATTATTAAAAATATTTAAAAAATTATTAATTTTTGAATTGGATTGATTCAGTCAAGCGGGAACAGTTTGTTAGGTTTGTTTTTTTTAATATGCAAGGTTTCCTCTCTTGAACGAGACTTAATTTGCTCAAATATTTTGAGCTAAACTAATGTTAGAGCAATTTCAATCGGCCAGACATTTTGCATCCCCTCCACCTTTAATTGATACTATAAAATTAAAAGTTACGAACCAAAACGATGCAGAATTTTACAAAGCTCGTAGTGGTCGTAGTTTTCTTTAATCAACTTATAATAAAACATTTTTTGGTAAAATGCATGAACTTCAAAAAATGATGTCCCATATTTTCTTTTGGTTACCTCAGTTATACATTTTTTACCCTATTTTTAGTGTACAAGAAACTGACGACCGATGTTCTCGAATAAATGGAGTTGGAAAGTCCACTGTTTTTATATTATTGTGGTAGAGACACAAGGTGAAGTGGAACTTCCCAAAAAAAGTCCATACAGACCAGTAGAAAATGAAGATATTGAAAGCATAACTCAAAAAAAGTTTACTGTTTTAATTAAAAAACAGAAATATCTGCCAAACCTAGCAAAAAAGACTAATACTCGTGCATAATCGTTTGCTAAGTTTCCCACTGATTCATTGGTAGTTATAAATAACGCAAGCTATCATTCGCGAGACATAGAGAAGACTCCAACATCATGTTGGAGAAATCGATTGGTTAACCACCAAAAATATTGAATTTGAAGGTAATTTGATAAAGAAGGAACTATTACATATAGCAAATCTTGACTACTTGATCGATTGGATAGCACATTATGATATTTTAAAATTTAACTTCGGTATAAAATATTTTTTGTCAAATGTTTCATATACTACACTCCCCGTTTAACCGGAAATGAAATGAAAGAATGTTTTTGCGTATTTCCTGATACTTAACTTAAAAATTATGCAATTTTAAAAATTCCAATCTAGAAAGTGCCATGGGTAGGTGTAGGTTTTTTTTCTGAATTAGATGCAGATGATTTTATAATAAAAAAAAAGATATGTAAGTTATGGTAACTACAGAAACGAATTTATAAAGCAAAAAAACAAAAATAAATTTTATTATAAACTTAAAAACTTAATTCGGATATTTGTTAGTAAATGCTCGAATTGATGCTCATTCAGCATCCTTTTTTATTTATTTTTTGCAGCGTTAATTAGTTACAGACGCTTAATAATCTCAAACAATTAGATCTGCCATAAATAGAAATCGCACAACGTGCACAACTTTTTTAAAAATTTAATGCTGGTAAAGAAAAACCAAAAAAAATGTCTAAATTTAATAATAAGAAGTTTATTATAAAATAGTTGTTTAAATAATATTTCTCTGGTGCCTTAGGTGTGGACATATAACATATCCTATTTTTGGTTCAAATTTTCCTCAAATACATAGGGTCCTATTACTCTCCCACCTAATACCCCCATACATTGGAGCCAAATCCTTCCTCGATAACTTAAAGTCATCAAACACACATCTTAAATATGCCATTATTGGTCCCGTGTGATTCATAATTCTACATTATAGGTAACGGAAAATCATTGTCAATACAACAATTATCCAGGAACCCATTTGAAAATGCTATTCTTGGTTTAAAATCTCGATGGTGTAAGGCAGGTTCTAATTGCTTTAAACTGATGTTTTTCCTTAAATAGAGAAAACTAGCTGCTGCCGTGAGTTTGCGAACAGAAACTTGATTATTGTTATGCACTTCTCCAAGAACAGCAATTTCCTCCAATTCTTTATCTTTTGGAACATTATAAATTATAACACGTTCGTAGAAAACTAAATTAAATTAAATTCAGCATTACTGTTAGATTGATTAAAACATTTTAACATGTCGTACTTTTCTTTGTTGGAAATTATTTTTTTGCGAAAAACTGAAGATAAAAGAACGAGATTTGGGTGTTTAAAAGTACAGTAATTGCAATTTGTTGACATGTTTGCTATGAAAGCAAAGCAATTGCACAATGGCACTCACTAGATTTTCAAAATTAAGTATTTCCCATCGAAGTACCTGAAATCCCAAAGAATCTTGGACACCCGGTATATAACGTGTAATATTTAATCCGTTAAAAAAACAATCAGCAAAACTCATAAATATACACAAATCTCGACGGTACTACCCGCATTCATAAAAGAGAAAGAAATTTCCAATGCCAAACAATTAAAGTGGCTTAAGTATTACCGGATGAGGATTTATTACTCCACAGTTTTTAGAAATAGACTATAATTTTTCGACTGGCCGATTTTTGACCAGCTTTCACAGTTGTTTTTATTACAGGATACCGAAACGACGACCGCCACATTGGTTTCGATTTGTCTACCGCCAGAGAAGTTTTAAAAGCCTTCGCAGTTTTCCACGCTGTTCCAGCTGCAATGAGGCTTAAGCAACCCGAACTTTTCGATAATAATATAAGACCACATTTGCACACAGTAGAATTCTTTAATAAGGAAGAGTTTCCCCTTAGCTTAGGGTTTTTAAAATTTCTTGAAACGGATGCTGTGGTGAAGCATCTAGCAGAAAAAGTTAAAACAGCGATAGATCGGTGCAAACCTTTTGGTACGGATGATGTTCAAGATATATGGGGTACGACAACCCATAATGACAGTTGGATCAATAATATAATGGTACGGGACAAAAGCGAACCCAAAGTCAAGATTGTGGATCTGCAAGCTGTAAGCTTGGGTTCACCTGCTGCCGATTTGGTTTTTTGTTTGATAACATCGGTAAATACGGCAGTGTTGGAGAAACATTTCGATGAACTAATTCAGTTTTACTACGACCAATTTATTTACGTTATCAAAGAGGTCGGAGTTGACTACCAGCAATTCCCCTACGACAGTTTCGCCAGGGAGTTAAACGCCCATGGTCCGGCACAATTCGCGCATTGTGTTAATTTTCTGTGCGGGATTTTGGCAGACAAGGGTGATACTCAAAACGATCCGGTAAAAAAGGACTATAATCTGGAGGAACACATGAAAGCCTTAGGAGAGATATTTACCGAAAGGCACCAGGAAAGATTCAGGTTCTTAATTAAAGAATTTGCCCGAAGAAATTGGATTTGAGTATTTTCAATTTTGCACGGTTTAATGTAATATTTGAAATTCACTGTTGAAACTCGCAATATTTTAAAAATTGCATTAACAACAATTAACATTTTAAGCAAGGTGGAGAACCTTTAATATTCAAATATACAACAAAAAAATATATTGATTCAGTAATTAAAAATAAATATTTGCAACATAGTAATGATGCATAATGTAATCAGTCAAGGTTTTCTAAACACTTCCTTATTTTGTCTCATACATTGAGGACTCTATTAGAGCTGATAGATTGTATTACCGTCAATAGTTAAGACGTATATATATAATATTTGTTACAAATCACAATCCCCTATCAAAGAGTAAATCGCGCACGAACCTAAATATGAACCATAACCTTAATTTTTTTCTCATTTACCCGTGAAAATAATTGTGGACAATCACCTAGTTTTTTTTTCTATTGCCAGTCGTTTCCGAGATGTCCATCAAGGATACTATAGGGACATTCTGGTAATCCTGATATTTTATAATAAGTAGACATGATTCAATAATAACTAAATAAAAAGTTTTGGTTAGTTTTGGTAGAGTATTTGGTGCAATTGTTTTTTTAACTTATATGGCTATTCACTTCAGTTGTTACCGTTAGTATAGAAAATCTTCTATTTGGCTAAAATACACGTTAACCTTTTACGTTGTCACTTAAAAATGATTACATTTATTAAACGAATTCAAAGATTATTTAGTTTTGGTTAGTACAGAACTATTTATTTGTTATAATCTATTTCTAAGAAATAATCGTCATTCAAAATGCTACGTACCATTAAACAACCGAGAAAACGAGAAAACTACGAAACAAGTAAAAAGTCATTCTTAAATCCATTGCACCTGTGTCGGCGGCGCAGTCACCAAAAATTTTTTCAGGATAAAATTAAATTTTCGCCACTTGTTGCAGCGCAACCCAAAATACACCACTGTGCCGCCAAGTTTAAAGCCTTACAACACTGCTTCCCTGGTTTTGCGTTAACTGTGCTATTTACCACCCCAAAGCTGTTCAAACTTTTTGGCTCGCCAATTATTGTTCATCGTAAATCATTGTTGGTAATTTCTGCATCAAAGTTGGACGTTACTTCTTTGGAAATTTTCCCCAACTTGAAAACATAACTAATTGGAATAATTTTTTTATTTACCTTCGCAACCCTGGAACGATAAGATAGGCAACGCCGGGGACTAGTTTCCCGAACCACAAGCAGACTTGTTAGGCGGTAAAAGTTATTATTTGCGAATTTGTTTTGGTTAATGGTAATAGAGTAATTTTCTTACCTATAAAAGACGGCCGTGTGTTAGATGAAGCCATTAGTGAAAAATCCTGTGTTAAATTCTCCATGGCAGAATTTGGGCCCCAGACAAGTGCCGATGGATATTGTGGTAAGTAGTAGTGATTCAGATTTGTGAGTTCTTTTTCGATGTAAAACTTTAAAAAGTGTAGTTATGTTCAAGGAATGAATACGTATTAATTGTACATTAGACAATAATACAGGGTTGGCAACATTATTATAACAGAGCATCGAGAGTTCTGGTTAGTTTTGGTTATATCTACCAATTTGACTTTTGGGTCGATATTATTGATATTTAATGCATCGAACACAATATATATATAGGTAAAGGTAAAGGTAATCGGGTGACTTATTAATTGTGGCGCCGTAAATATTCCTTTAACTAAATAGAAGGAGATCGTGAGCATACATGTAATTTTTTCAGTTGTCTGCAGCATTGGCGTAAAAATAATACTGTGTCGGTACTAGTAAACTACTACAATTTTCTGAAGAGGTTAAATAAACATTTCTTTATTCAAATGCTTTGATTATACATGATGGAATTTGGCAAGCATATAGGTTACTAGAATAATCCATATGGTATTGGTTTCGGCGTGATTGAAAAATAAATTACATCGAATCCAAAGTGTTGACTACCATTGGGCATAAATTTGGCCTTTGCCACTAAGAAAAACACTTAATTTATTTTCGTATTTTTACCACGGTGGCATTTGTGGCGATTGATCTGATTATGGATATATTTTTGCTAAATTTGAATTTGTAATGAAATGTTGTTTCCGTTAATATTAAATTTAAAAAAATAGCAAAAAAACTCATCAAAAAATGTTTATTGGTGTATGCAAACCAATGTCAAGCGACTGTATAAAGGAATGCATTAATTACATCTACCAATGTTTTAAATTTTGAGACTTATCGGCAATTGATAAATACAGCGAAGCAACGATGCATAAAGCTTTGTTCAAATTCTTTACGCCCCGAACATTTTAAAATGCGATGCCGATCAGGAAATTATCCAAAAGTGTGTCGACATTCCAAATACCGGACAAGTGGCAACGATTGCGGCAAAATTCAAACGACAAACGTATCAGCGTCCAGAGTAAAATTATCGCCACATGTAGACGTAATGCTGAGTTTACACTGGTCGATTTTTTCCGCATGATAGTCGACTATAGAGAAGCGACTTAAAATCCCAACCATCAAAGTAGGGAACCATTGGACTTTTGCCGAGCGATTACAAGGGGCAAGTGACGAGTTGACTAAAATCGACTGTGAAAATGCTTCAGTTCTAGTCGATTTCTCGCCGCATGAAAGAAGCCAAAGCTGATGTGCGTTTTGCCAAGTACGTGAAGATTTAAGAATTAACACATTACCCCTGCTTATGGAACCCAAGAGAACCAAATTATAGGAAAAATGATGTTCGTTTAGTGGCTCTTAAGTCTATTGTTCTTAAGTCAGTTGAAGAACTTCAATCAAAGATAAAAAATATGCCAGCACGTAAACATTTTCAAAAAATATATACTGAGTCGCTTGCGTTTTCAATCGACTGTGTGAATAGAGAAGCTATGCGGCTTTGGCAAGGCGTTATCGAATAAGAACTCACCTTAATGTCGACAAATGGTGGTGATGGTACGACAGGCTTCAAAAATATTTATATAAATATAATGTTCATTATTCCAAGAATAGATGTAGACGAGGGTTTCGCATACATTTTACACGTTCCCGTAATGTCAAGGTGATCTCAATAATTCACTATAGTAATGCCATTTACTGCCAAATCAAAGTTAACATTGAAAATGTTTTTGTCAAAAATAATGGTTAGCGATCTTTGCTATATAGACAAATTAATAATTTTTTTTTTTATTTTGACAACTTATTTTGGGACACATGTTTATAGGAACTTATGCGTGAATAATGCTCATTTCATTAAGTAAATCCTTGTGGGTATAAAAAAAAGTGAGCCATATATTTGAATGTAGCAATTCTATTAATACCAATTCTACTAATTGTTGTCAGGTCAGTCCAGTGCATCTGTTAACAGCAAGCAGTATTATTTTCCTATGTTTATGTTAAACATTAAAGGCATATATGCTAATCATGGTGCAATCACACGATTGCCTAATAAGTACACTTTCAAAGTAAATCCATAAATATTTATCAGAAAACCAGGGGTATATAATAGAAAATGCAGTTTCTTTTAAGTTAATAATAATATGTATTTTTTAATTAAAATAAAATATTTTAATTGGGAAGGTGATAAAACAAGGATATTCTTAGTCCAAAACAAGTTTATATAAATATTGTGCTTCTGCCTATTTGTTAAACGTCATATGTATGCGTTTGGTATTTTGTAACTCCGAGTAATTTTCACAAATTCTCAAATAATATTCATAAAAGCTCGTAATAAACATATTTTCGCGATTCACGATCAAATGTGACGGGCGAATTGTGCGCTAATACTATGAAAACATTCTGCAAGATTATTGTGGTTCCAATCTATCAAAATAAAAATACGGAGATTACTACCCTCCTAAATAAGACAAAACAATTCTCCTGCATAATGGTGAAACAAAGAGCGGAAGGCATAATAAAGCTTACTTATTAAATACAATAAAAGAGTTATCTGTAATAATGTCGTCAAAAAATGGGTTGCATTTTTTTCACTTCATTTTTTATTCTTTGGCCTTTTATGTCTGAAATTAAACACTAGACACTTTTTAGCACGTTAAAATTAATAACTTTTTGTTTAATAAAAATCCCCTATATAGTGAACGACTAAAATATGAAACAACTTAATTTAATCATATAAATAGAAAATATACAAGGTGGGTCAAAAATTGGATTTCGATACTCGATACTTTTTTTAAAATCATTGAAATCATCTGCTTCAAATTTCACTCATAATTTATGTAGCATACTCTATGTCTACCTCTCACTTTTTATGAACAAAAGAATAATAAACAGAAATTTACTTTTGAAATGAAGTATGAAGTGTCAGTAAAGTTCTTAAATTGTTACAATTACTAAATGAAACTGGGGAATTGAAATTTTAATTGTTATTGGATATGAAGAGAAACCGAGAACTCAAGAAGATTGTAATTTGTTTAACCCAAAATATCCAGAAAAGCCTATTACAAGATACACAGTAAGCGAAATTGAGGTAAAATATATATTGTTAAAGAAATTATTTTGTTAGGTATTGTGTTAACTTCTTGACAATATGCCAATCCGTTTAAAAAACTTGTATATTTTCACATGATGAACTATTTGATTGATGAACTATGCACTGTATAGAGTGCCTCATAATAATATGCTGATCCTTAATGGATTTTGTGAAGGATTTTAAGAAAATAAAATATAAAAAAAAATTTTTTTCATTTTCATTGAAACTGCTTTAGACATTTAGAAACCCTTTTTTATTTTTTTAAATTTTTGTGTGCATTTTAAATGCTATTTTTTATATTCGATAGCAATTTACGCTCTTAACTGTAAATTAATGCTAATGATTAATCAATTTTTTTTATATATACGATCATTTTTACTAAGAAATCAATCGCCATTTAAAAAATCGAATAGATTTTTCCAAACCTCGGTTTACAATTTTTTTTAAATAGAAACAGCAACAAAAAATCTATTCATGGTGGGCCCCTGACAAATTTCAACAAGATATCTAAAATCTTAAAATTTATTTATATTATAAAACACCTTATATATTAGCCAACGAATAAAAACAAAATCGCTTTTGTTTTCCCTATATAATGTGACTTTAATAATTTGGGAATAGATTTTGAATGTATTCTCATGGTAAAATTCGGAAATCCGACAATTAGGGGAGCGTGGGGTAACGAAGCCACCTAAAAAATAACCATTTTTTTTTCTTCTAATAATTATAAATTTTGGGTATTCTTACATTTTTAGCCCTTTGCGCAATACCAGGGGTGAAATTGACCTCTTAAAAACTCAAGAAAAAGCTATTCCATATTATTATAACCGAATCATAATGAATTTATTGAAAGTGTTATTTTTTGGATAATTCTATGGATTTAGCCGAAAGCTAGAGCTTTCGAAAATCTTTTAAATACCAATTACAAATTTTTTAATCTATAGAAAAGTAGTTGCTAATCAGTAACTACTTTTTAATAAATAATTATAATCATTATATACCGAGTGACACAAGAAAGTGGAAACACTCTCTAACTTTCAAACGGCTTGAGATAGCGATTTTAAATTGGGAAGGGTTCATATAGGCTGAATATCCATTTTTTTGACAATATGGTTGCATTTTCGAGTTTTAAATGGCACAACCTATATTTTTTTGTATTTTTGGATTCAGGGCATTATTCTACATAGGATAGGACGGTTTTTCTCTTTTTTTTGTTTTTTTTTTAATTTTATTTAATTTTTGAAAATTGTGTCAAGGCGGCTGTGACCATCGTAAATACTATTTACCGGGTCACTTGATCATGGGAAAAATTGTAAATGGAACTTTTCTTTACTTGTTTAATGGCAAATAGCATTTAATATGGAAGGATTAATTTATCTTATCTATTAATTTTTTAGGATAACCTAGTTTTTTGAAATAGCACCCTAGTGGGAACAAAAAGTATTTAAAAGCGGCACTTCCTTTTTCAATAATTTGACATTAAAATTTTCAAAATCTGTTAAAGAATAAGCTCACAGGAACGAAAAACCAGATAAGTAAATACATTTTTACAACAACCAAATATTACTTAGGTGGCTTTGCTTCTATTCATCATCAAGTCGGCATGATTGAAAATTCTGAGATTTGGTAAATTTTTATTTGCTTATCGATTTTGTCGTGTTAATTGAAAATAAGAAACCCACAAACTAATCGACATGATAATTTTATTATAAGTGAAGAAATGGAAATCAATGTTGTGGGATACGTCAACGTAAATTCAGCTGCGTCGCTGAGAGCAGTGGCATTAGAAGTAGATATCTCAAGAAAATTTGTGAGGAGAATTTAAAAAACAAAACACGGCTATCATTCTTCTAAGTATAACCTCAACATCTTTATGAAGCTAACTTTGTAAGAAGACTTCGATATTGTAACTGACTGTTAGATAAACATGACGAGGATAAATAAGTTCGTTAACTTAATTTTGTTCACTGATGAATCGCGATTCTCAAATAACGCTATGTTTAACCGACAGTTTAAACCAGTAAACAAAATACGTGCATGTCGCTTGTCTTAATTCAGAATGCCTATTGTTTCGTAATTGGGTATTTGTGGAATTACTTTCCTCAAACTCGAAATAGTACACGCGAACACATATCCCGCTCGAATTTTGGTTCTGTCAAATGTCAACCATGTTAAGTTACCGGCAATATCATCGCAAATGATGCTCTTCGACACGTCTTCTTCATACGGATTGTTTACGCCAAGCAGCGCTATTCCAGCCTTAGTCGATGGGCTATAAGCTAGTTTCCAAAACAATTCCGGAACTGGAATCGCTTTATTACCGTTGTCGTCTACGTAGAGGTGCAATGCGACGGGGTTCCCATTTATTTCGTGCGGAAGAGCAGAAACCCCGTAACCCCCTAGAAATGACGTTGTACGGAACGATCCACTTATCAAAAAATGATCTACCTGTCATTACTATTAAGTCAAGTCCCTTATTGGCGGCGTATTGCCTAAGATTCCTTTCCAAGTAAAACCAGTTGAAGCCATTAAACGTTTGCCATTGCGGTACCGAATTGATATAATGGAAAGTGGCCTCCTGTTGAGCGTAGTAAATGAAGTCTGATCTCGCAGTGAGATGTCCCCTTGCAAGGTAATAATTTCCTGAAAGTAACAGTGTAGCGGGACTATTATTATTAGCGGGAATAAATACCGGTAGGTTTGACGTATTTGGTGTCATTATCAGAAAGCCCGAGTTGTCTGTTAATCATTGATCGTTGCGCGGCATTTGGATATATGCTATTAAGCCGCGTGTCCAAGTTATAGAAATTCCCTTCCGTCCACGATGGTCTAGTGCCGCCTGTGTTTTGATCGCCGATTTGGTGTGATAACTCGAAAAGAGAATAATATACTTCCCTAGTGTCCTCGTCAAAACAGGTAGTCATCTCTCGTATGAAGTTTCCATCTGAAAACTGAAATACCACGATATATTTTACCTGTGGAGTCAACGCAAGTACGGAGTCACGTTTCAAAACTTACAGTCGAATTTTGCTGAAATTTATGACATAAAGTATGACGTACAGTCAGTGAAAAAGTCTCCGCGCACAGTATTTTTTCAGTTGTCTTTTAGTTTCTTGTTTCACTTACATTTAATGAGAAATTTATTTCAAGTAAATATCGGTATTCTCGAAAATTGAACTGATAAGAACTAAAAGTTCAGATTTTCACGAAATTATATATTTTCACATGACAATTGTTTCGACGTCTTTATCAAATGTAATCTTTACAAACTACCTGTTACTATATATATGACAATAAAACCTTAATTAATGTTGTTTTGAGAATTTAAGTTCAATAAAGGAGAGGTATTTAAGTCTAACTGATCGTTAAGTAATACATTTGAATGTCTCATTTTGTTAATCTCCATGGCTTCCAATAAATTTAACTATACATTTTTTGTGGCTGTATGTAAAATATCAAAATTGCCATCAAAAATGTATTTTTCTGTGTTTACGTGTGTAGCAAGCACAATTAGAATCTAGACTATTGTTTTCAAACGCTCTTTTATATTCGTTAATGCGTTTCTTGAAGGTTCTATCTGTTTGTCCGATATAAATTTTAGGACAAGATCCGCATTTCAACCTGTAGACACCTGATTATTGAGATTTTGGACATTTCGTTTTATTGTTTTTTAAAAATTTTCCTATTGTGTCGTTAGTTCTGAAAGCTATTTTTAAACCACATTTTGACAAATGTTTGGAAACTTTTTCAATGGGTTCTCCTATGTATGTAATTGTTTTAAATTGTTCCTGTCCTGTATTAGGTTTATTTAAAATTTTATCTAAAATGCACGGATTGTTCAGTACAATTTTTTTAATGAAATTAAGGTTTATGTTGTAATTTTTTGTTGAGAGTGGCGTATTAAGAAGTCTGTGTATAAAAGAGTGAAATGCAGCCATTTTGTGTGTATAAGGATGATTTGAGCTGTATGTATGACTGTGTCCGTGTGTAAAAGTTTATGATAAATGGAAAAGTCTAATTTGTTTTGCGTTTTCGTAATAGTGAAGTCTAAAAAATTAATAGAGTTATTCTGTTCAATCTCGATAGTGAATTTTATACGGTAACGTAATAACTTAATGTAATTTAAAAAAGAATTCAATTGTCTGTTCGTTCCAACAAAGCAAGCAAAGACATCATCCACGTATCTATACCACCATAGAAAACTTTTACTTAAAGGATGTTCTAGTATGATATTTTTCAAATTATCCATATAAATCTCGGCTAACAAAGGACTAAGTGGGTTTCCCATAATCAATCCTTCCTTAGAGATGTAAATCTGTCCATTAAATTCTAAATAATTTTGGTCTAAAGATACTATTAAGCAATCTAATCAATCTTGTTTCACCAATGGGTTAACCTGTTTCCGAGTTAGGGTGAAATCTACTAAATCTATCACATCCATAGGTGGAATACTGAGAAATAAGTTTTGTACATCAAAAGATAATAGTGTTGCGTTAGAAGGGATTTTGATATCTTTAAATTTGTTGATTAATTCAAAAGAATTTTTTTATTGTGATGAAGTTTCAAAACATTTGTCAAAATGTGGTTTAAAAATAGCTTTCAGAACTAACAACACAATATAAAAATTAAAAAAAAAACAATAAGTCGAAATGTCCAAAATTTCAGAAATCAGTTGTCTACAGGTTGAAATGCGGATCTTGTCCTAAAATTTATATTGGACAAACAGGTAGATCCTTCAAGAAACCCATTAACGAACATAAAAGAGCGTTTAAAAATAATAGTCTAGATTCTAATTATGCTACACACTTAAACACAGAAAAACACATTTTTGACGACAATTTTGATATTTTTCATACAGCCACAAAAAGTAGAAAATTAAATTTATTGGAAGCCATGGAGATTAATAACATGAGACATTCAAATGTATTGCTTAACGACAGATTAGTGTTAAATACCTCTCCTTTATTGAACTTAAATCCTCACAACATTAATTATGGTGTTATTGTCATTTTTCGGTATATATAGTAGCAGGTAGTGTGTAAATATTACATTTGATAAAGACACGATGTTGTGGAAAGAATTGTCATGTGAAAATATATAATTTCGTGAAAATCTGAACTTTTAGTTCTTATTTACTTTGTTTAATCGTAAATCTCGTTAAGAGTAGTAAAAATAAAATAAAAATCATTTGAGGCACTTTATGTGAACGATAAAAAATAAAGCAGTTACAGAAGCAAGAAACAATGTCAAATAAGTCTCCATGCACTTTAATAAGTCACTATTCAGAACTGCAGGTAGCACCGTTAATTATCAATATTTTATCAAGTCAGCTTGTATCAGATTTCAAAATACTTGTTTATTTTTGACGCCACTTTTGAGTCATTGGTTTTGAAGTAAAAGCAAAATGATCGTTAAAAATTGCCAAATTCCAATTGCGCTTCGAAAAATCATAGTAGATTTAAGGAAAGAGAAAAAATCTTTTAGAGATCAGTAAAATAATTAAAAAATCACATTCAACTATACAATATGTAATAAATCAATACAAATCCACCGGATCTTATAAAGTGTGGCCACGTTCTGGTCGTCCCAGGAAGATAACTGCACTAGAAGCACTCCAAAACTTGCAGAGGAAATCAGGGAAGAATGCTCAAAAAATGTTAGCCCTCAAACGATTAAAAACTGCTTTCATCGAGCAGGTTATAACGGCCGCATTGCCAGAAACAAACCATTAATTTCGGAAAAAAAGCGAAAAAACCTTTGGAATTTGAACGAGAACACATTAACAAAACCAGGGAGTTTTGGGGAAACGTTATCTTTAGCGACGAAACAAAAATTAATCTTTTTGGGTCAGATAGTAGGGATAAAGTTTGGAGGAAAAAAATACTGAAAATCTAAAATGTCTGTCCTACGATTAAACATGGTGGAGGTAATGTTTTATTGTGGGGCTGCATGTCTGCTAATGGGACAGGCAATTTAGCTTTTATTGACGGAATCCTAAAGAATAAACCAAAGTGTTGAAAAATTTAACCTTGAGGGACGTTATTTATTCCAACAGGATCACGATCCTAAACACACTGCTACGCTTATACGTCACTGGATGATCCATAATGTCCGCCATCAACTTCATACATCACCACAATCTCCGGATGTTAACCACATCACCTGTGAGAGAACCGTAGGAAAACATATCGCCAGAAATTACAAAAAAGCTTATTTTAAGCCTTTCAAAAAGACTAATGCAAATTGCAATTGTACAAAATATTAGAGTTTAAGAAACTTTTCAATTTATCATAAGAAATAACAGTGTAGGGAGACTTATTTCACATAGTTTCTTGCTTCTAAAACTGCCTTACTTTTTATCGTTTAAATAAGGTGTTTCAAATGATTTTTATTTTATTTTTATTACGCTTAATGAGATTGGCGATGTTTTTAAGACTCGTTAATGGTTATTTGAGAGTTATCATATTCAAATTATCTTTCAGATGGTTGTTGGGATGGTTCTAAGCATTGTTAGTTTACGTGTTACGTGAGTGAAGTGCTGCTTTGGTACGAATCGTTTTGCCTTTGCGTGACAATTCCTATCGTAGAATAATTTTATTTAAATTCGCCTTTTAATTCGTGTATAAACTTCAAAACGGTCGTCAAATTTTATAAATACCTGCCTTGAATCCAATTTCAATTTCTAGTCCCCTTTCGAAACATTTGTGGGTCGTATATCGTGCTATGCTGTTAATTCTTCTCGAACAAACAATATCTTCGAACTGGATTAGTTTCTGTTGCACCCTGAACTTCGTTCCTGAGATGCACAGGGCCTCGGTTACTTCTCCCAATTTCAAAGATCCAACTAGGATATCGGCACCAGGACAGTCTATTTCTATGAAACAGCCCGCTCGTATTGTTATAATGCTCGAACCAGCGGCATCTGGTAGAAGGATTGTTTTCGACTCAGGATTGCGTAGTAGAGGTTTCCTTTGCGACAAATCTCTGATGTTTACGCGACAATCTACAACAGCACGAAAGTTTTAGTCACCACGTATATGGACAATTGTCAACCTAAATAGTTCTTACGAATTTGAAAATTGAAAATATTTAAAATCCTTAAGGTTGACGTATCATAAGCCCTAACAAAACAAACCCTTAGTGTGATCTGATATTCTAAAATACTACACACTTTCAGCACTTTTAGACCAACCTGTAAAATGCGAGAGTCATTTTAAAAACTAACCGTAACATTTTAAAAGTAAAACTGTTTGAAAGTTAAGTATTTTGGTTAGATATAACGATATAAAAAAAAATAATCCTTGTTTTGTTTATAATTCCAAGAAAAATGACTGAACGGCTTGTGGAAATCACTTGCAAAAATTCGAGTTTCTAATAAATTAAACAACGAACATGTTAACTATTAAAATTTTTATTTAAAAATAGTGAAAAATATTTTTTATTTCGCAAATGATTAAGCGCTGACAGGCCACCAAAAATAAAATATAGGTTTCAGTTTAATTAGGCAAATTTTTGAGGATTAAGTGAGAATTTATGATAAACAGCTCAGAATTTCTTGAATTGAAACATCAGATATACAGGGTAATTCACAAAGAAAGGACAAGGTCGTCTATACTGGAGGTATATTCTGTGTAAATCTTCACCCAATAAAACTTTAACGATGTTGTTATGGTCTGTTCGTAGATATAAGAAAGTGACCAATTGCTTTTGAATGGGATTATCCAAGGTTTACCTAAAGTTTCGGAATTTAAATTCAGGTAAAATTGTGGTCCTTAATAAAAAATAATTTTATACCTACCTGTGTTTAATATTCTTTGGTTTGGTATACTACTTAGTTTAAGTTTATTCGTAATCATTCTTATTTCGTGTGTAATACAGCGTGTGTTGAATCGTGTGCGAATTATGCAAAATATGTGCGAGTCTGGTGTATCTCAGGAGATGCTCCCGCCCAAATTTAGAAAACATTATTCTATTGAGACTAAGGAAGTCATAAACAATGTTTATTTGACTCTCATTGAACATGATGCCAGCAAGCAAGCATCTTTAGAAGAAACCGCCACATTTACGAAAATTCCAACATCAAAACCTGATTGGACACTTATGATACCCCGGTGAAGGGTTGGGTTGACTCAACTGATAAGTGTAAAACAAATGCGCAATCAAAAGCAGGTAAAAGAATAACTATTTTGCATGCTGGCTCTAAAGATGGTTGAATTCCGAATGGACTTTCTCTGTCTGCGAAAAATATTAAAGATTATTCTCTGGATTACCATGAAGACACCACCGCTAGTTTATTTGAAAGTTGGTTTAAAAACGAACTAGTTCCAAACATCCCTTCTAATAGCGTAATTGTAATGGACAATGCAAGTTATCACAGTTGACCAAAACCCCTTTCTCATGTGACACAAAAGCAACAATCCAAAACTACATTTATAATAACGACATTTATTTTCACGAAGATTATACCAAACAGCAATTAATTGAGGTTCTACAAAGCTTGAACCTACAAAAGGAATACGTGTGTGATAAATATGCAATAAATCTAGAGCTTCCACCTTATCACTGTATATTTAATCCCATTGAACATGTTGGGCACCAAATGAAATCTGCCATTTGTCGTAACAATGTTTTTCCCCGTGTTAACTCCAATGTCCGCAAACTTATAGAAACCAAAGTTTTTAACATCATATATAACATATAGAAAAAGCAGAACAATCGTATATCCATATTGCAAATAATATAGAACAAATAATAATTACAACGGGCGATGATAGCGATAGTGATACTGATATATTATGTGAATAATTTTAAGTAATTTAAGTAGGTAATAAAAATAATTTGTAATTTTATTTTAGATTTAAACAGAAATACATACATAAATAAATAAATATTGTTTAGTATGTTTCCTAACAAAACCACAAATAATTAAATTCTAAGCAAAGTACGGACCTGTTCGGCCATATTTCTTTCTTACAGCTTGCCCGGGTTTTCCTTAATTGGTATCAGTTAGTCACTTTCTTATATCTATGAACAGACTTCACCTATTTTTATTGGGTAAAGCCATTGACAAAAAATTTATTCTTACTCGAGTGACAAGGCAGGAGTGGGCCAGGTATATGTATTTTTTTCTTTCTGATATATTCCTTGAATGTAGACCATTTGTTTCAGTGATGAATGACAGCGCGATAAAGATTGATACAAAATTATTAGGATGAAGTTCAACATCACAATCACAAATGTGACTGGTTTCGGAGATATAGGACATTCAATGTTTTAATTTCATTCTGAATGTTTTCATTAATTGAGAAAGTTTTTTTTTAAATCCAATCATATTTTTTTATCCGTCAAGTTCTGATAGAAACGTGATAGAAATCTAAAGAATTTTGAATTTTTCATAGAAAGGTCGGTTTTTGATTAATTGGACTAAAAAGTGTTTTTTTTTTATAAAATAAATAAAAACTGAAAAAGTACGGGGAGCAATAAAAAAAAACAACCTTTAACAACAAATAGTAATGAAAAATGTTAGAATTTCATAATATTTTGGTGTTTAGTACATTCAGTTTAGTCAGACACATTGTTAAGTCAGAAATTCCGCCATTTCAGAAATTTTGACTTGTATTTCAAAAATTCTGAACTAAGTAATAAATTTTGACTTATTCCTCAAAAATTTCATTAATTAAACTAAAACCTATATTTTATTTTTGTTAGTCTTTCAGCGCTTTCGTAGAGAATGTCCGAACAGAGTGAATGTTTTTTAAAGCAGTGACTTCCAATTTTGTTTTAGTCGATTTATAATTCCTTCTGAATGACGAGTCTTCGAAAAACTGAACAAATAATAAAATTGATACTACCTTTCTCTATCCTTCTTGTCGTAGTAGCGTTACTGTGATTACTTAAAGTTAAATCAAATGTATCCGCATTCTCTTTTTCTTCCTTAAAGTCGAACGAACTGGGAACGGGTGGCTTAACCCGATTTTCACTTTTAGTCCTATAACACAGCCCGCATAAAATAAATACATAGCACACAATTGGGATGTTCATTTTCTTTGGGAAACGCTTCCACAAAAACCAGACAAAATATATCTAGATTTGTTGAAATCACCTTATCTGAAAGCTTAGCCATTGTTTTTATATTCCGTTGGCAAAGTGCACCCATTTCCGTACCTTGCACGTGATAGATAATGCGACCTTTGTGTTTTATGAGTAAATCCCGTTGATTAATCCTAAGTGAACTAAGATGAATGATTTACTACATTTTTTCAGTTTTATGATCGCAAAGTGTCCGACTTTAAACTGACTTAAGGCGATATTTTTCTTATGTGATTCTGATCTACGGTTATACAGAACAAAAAAATAAGAACAATGCTACAGATTGCGCACCGCACTTTGTCCGTTATTTTTTGTAAAACGTTTTTTGGTTTTCTTGAAAAATAAGCTAAATAGTATTCTCGTTAACAGTATAATTTGCAAGACGTGTAATAAATGTCGCTTTATTAATTAGAATTTTTTTACGACCACAGTTGTTAATATAGTGACATAGAGCACGTTAAATAAATTTTAAAAAATCTTAAAAAAATTAAAGTGGAATCTTTAACGAAAGATTTTATTAATTAAAATTAAATTAATTTAAATTAAACAGCACGGATGACCAGAATAGCACACTTGAATGTTTTTCGTACATTGATAACATGTGACCACGACAGATATGTTTTTTTAAGTAAATAGTGTGAAGTATGAAATCACAACACTCCGAGCTTTACAGAGTGGAAATTATTTTTAAAAAAACTAATTCAAAATTAGCATATGAGTAAAAATAAGTATATTAAATTATAAGTTTATTATATAAGTATATGAAAGCCAAAATTAGTACCGAATTCGGATTTCGCACCTTCTAAAGCGCTGAACTTATTATATCTTCACCTGTGTTTAAATTATTATAATTTTGAGAAAATTGAATTTCACTTTTAACTCATCTATTTTTTGTTAACATTTGCCACCACACTTTTATCATAAAATGGCGAAATTAAAATTTTCAACGTACACAAGTTCCTTACATAAAAAATATATTTTAGGGTGTAGGTTAATACACTAAATTATGAATTGGGCCACTTTACTCGGTCAATATAATAGTATATTATGCAACAAGTGCGGCAAACGGCATTTGACTCACGAGTTTATTTGACACGAGCGGAGCGAGTTTTTAATAAACGAGTGAATTAAAAAGTCTCCCGACCGTTAGTTTTTGGATTTTCGCAAAATACAAGACTGTCAGAATTGACAAACGTCAATATTCAAAGCGTGGGAAATATCTCCGAAAACATCCGATTGCTCCCAAACCCGTGCGGTAAAATCCCGGAAATGTCCGAAGTGGCTCGGATTCGTGGGAAACGAAACTGATGTGGTAAAGCGACGCTTCCCGCACGCTAGATCGGTGCGTAATTAGGTATTTTACAGACGGGAGTAGAAAAAGAATCTAACCAACAAAAAGGACATTTCTTTGAAGTTCATCTTGCTGTTGATGTACATTTCAACATAAAAATATTATATATGTCGCAAATCCCAGCGCCATGGGGGCGTCATTTTGTTGGTTCCGGGTAGGCATTTTCGATCACTCTTATATGTATTTTTCTTATAAAATGAGAAAATGGTGTTCTGTTACGAGAAAAAAGTATATTTGATTGATATCGCTAGAATTGGCCGTTTTCGAAGAAAATGTATTTAAAAAATACACTGTTTAGCATGCACATCTTATTTTCTAATCGAACATTGAAAAGTGGGCCTGGGAACAGAATTGATGAAACTGTTATTTTGTTTTCTGTTTTACATTTCTGTTTTTTGTTCACTGGTCTGAATGTCTCTTGATTTATTAAAAAAAAACAACTTATTGAAATTAAGTTAGTAAAGAGCCTTCTAAAAAAGTGTGAATTTGTTTTTGTCTTAAATATGCCTTATTTAGTTAACATTAATTAAATTTTATGCAAAATTAACGTCACAGCTTAAATGATACAAAACAAAATATAACCAAATCAATAGAGAAAAATAACAAAACTAACATTATCGATAACGGCTTGTAGTCTTCTGGGTCTTGATCCAACTAATTTTCTAGTATACTCCGGGGAAATTGTGTTGTATACTTCAGTAATTTTTACTTTTAATTCGTGCTTGTTAGATATTGCGGCATTATTTACTTTGTTTTTTAATGTCAACCACAAATTTTCAATTACATTTAAGTTTGGTGACTGGGCTGGTGTTTTAATAATATTTGGGCAGTTATAAAACGACCAACTGCTGACCCGAACTGACGTTTGCTTTGGATCATTATTATAGAACCGATAATTGTTACCAATATTTAGTTTTTGAACACTAGCAACCAAATGCTGTCTTAATGTATCCAAATACACATATTGGTTCATATTTACTTCAATGAAATGTATATTACCTACTCCTGCAGATGACCTACAGTCCCATAACATCACTCCACCTCCACCGTGCTTTCTCCATACTGATATTTTTTCATCGGATTCAAATAAGTTTATTTTGGTCTCATCGGCAAATATTACTAAATTCCAGAAGTTCAAATCGTTATCAATATGCTCTCTAGCGAATGCCAATCTCACGAGTCTATTTCTTCGGCCAATGAAAGGCTTATTTCTGGCAGTTCGACCATGTAAATTATTTTTTGCAGGATTATTCGAATTGTTTCGGGGTTTGAATAATTCGATAGCGCTTTTACAATCCATCTTTGGATTTGGAGCTAACCTTGACTTATTCTCGATCCTATTTTCGTTACAGTAACGCTGAATGACATGCTGAATAGTTGACGGACATTTACTTACCATTTTGGCTGTATCCATTTCTGTGATGAGTAATAATTAAATTTATCTTAGAAATTGTAGTCCGACGACCCATTCTTTAAAAAACTCGTTTTACTGAACGAAAACGTGTTTTAAAATGTCAAACTAAACAAAAAACAATTGCAGTAGTAATTAAAAGCTTTAGTAAATTTCAAACTGATTCAATTTTTGATGAATAAATAATGAAGACGTTTCATTCTAGTTATATTAATCAATGTGTTTTTCGTTCAAAAGTTACGCCTCTAACTAAAGTTACTAAAACGCTAATAAATATTAATAAAATTTTAGGACCTGTAATCCTTATTTTGGACGTAGAATATGCTGTTATAATTACGCCCACTAATTTCGGGACACTCTGTGCTCCTAATGATTTGGATTGTCAACTTTTAACATTATTATCAATCCAATTCCAAAATTATAATTTAAAATTCTGTATAATTCAATATTGATATAGATTTGGAATATACCTACCCAGAGTAATAAAAAAATATTTCCGCGTGCAAACCAAGTCAATCAGTATCTCTTTTTTCTTCATTTACAAAAGAAACAATTTTTTATCGAAATACGTATAAGAAGTCGCATTTGATTTTTAAAATTTCTCGAGGCGTTAAACTTGGCTGTAACAATACAGTATACTATCCAAAATTTCTCAAACAGGTGTAAAAAATGTGATGAAGAAATGCGAAAAAAAATCAAGAAAATCATTTTCAACCCAGTTTTAGACGCGCCATGGGTCCCCAAACGAGTAATTAAGGAAGCGAAACATTTGGATGACTTTGTACTAAATCTGACCAAAGACGGAAGTAGTGCTCAAGATTTAACGCTTCCTAAGAAAATTGTATGTATATTTTGATAACTGATTTAAACATACCTTTGTTGGTAATAGAGGAGACGAAATCAGTATTTTAATTAATATCCTATATACAATCATATTAACTTGATATTTTCAATTCTTACAATATTCTTGCATATTTTATGTCAGATTTTTTCGACAATTTTGTCCCCCTTTCAAGTATGTATGTTTTGACTTTGTTTCCGATGGTAAATAACTTTGCAGTTCAATTTAAAATGTCATTTTCTTTTGTAAATTTAATTTTTATATTAAATATAATATAGAAATTTAAAATTAGGGAGTTGGTACTTACCTCATAGAATTCCCAGAGAAATAGGTAGTTTTTTAACTTGTTCTTTCATTGAATTTTGCGTTTCATTCGAAAAGATTTTTTTATTTCCGTTGTAGTTTTTTGGTTTGTTGTGAAGGAAAATATTTTCCTTGATGGTGGGTTCATTTTAAGAAAAAAACATTTATCTAAGTATATCCTAAACGCCTTAATTTTGGGGTACAGGGTGGTATAGTTTTCGGGAAAACTTTTTTGATATTATCTAAAAAACGAATGCAGATATCTTTCTGGGATGTGGTAAATGCATTCTGAGCTTCAGGAGGAATTTTTAAGTGCATAGTATTTTTTTTTATGTCTACCAGTGGCGTCGGTCCGCGATTTGTCTCGCGTATTTTATAAGAAAAAAATTTCTCTGACATTCTTTTCAGATGAATGTTGGATTTTTATCAGATGCACTGCACTGACTACTAATTTTTGAAGATAAAGTGTAGTTGGATTAAATTAAAGCTGACAACCGTTATTGCCCTCGTCCTGGCAGCACCCTGTATCCCAAAAGTTGGAACCAGTATCTAACCAACACTGTATGGATTAGAAAGACTTATGCACCTACTATTTCGTCTTTAAATATATATGTATACTTATGTTTATAGCGGCTTCTCTCAGACCACAGATAAGTGCTGGTAACTGCATGACTAAAAAATCAACGGGTATATATATATCGCTGTTTTTTGTTAAACTGTGCCTTTTTTCTACCATTTTTAAATTATGACCTCTATGTTTATAGAACAGAAATTACACCCACATCCCGATAAGACCAAACAAAAGCACCGTAACGAAAATTTACACGGATATGCTAGCTCCAAAATATCCGGAGTTTACCAGAACCCAAATTCGCAGTGCCCTGATGCTGGCGGACAACAATTTGGATGAAACACGAATACTTCTGGACTTGAAAATGAGATTCGATTTTATTAAGGATAACACCGTTTTGCAGTTAAATACGACGGTGTCAGAAAAACCACAAGAAGCTTGTAATTATACTGTAAGTACTTACTGGTTAAAGTCTGTTCATAGATATAAGAAAGTGACTAACGGATACGAATTAAGGAAAGACCCGGGCAAGATGTAAGAATGAAATATGGCCGAACAGGTCCGAACTTTGCTTAGAATTTAATTATTTGGAGTCTTGTTAGGAAAGATACTAAACAATATTTATTTATTTATGTATGTATTAATGTTTAAATCTAAAATAAAATTACAAATTATTTTTATTACCTACTTAAATTATTTAAAATTATTCACATAATATATCAGTATCACTATCGCTATCATCGCCTGTTCTAATTATTATTTGTTCCGTATTATTTGCAATATGGATATACCATTTTTCTGCTTTTTCTATATGTTTAACAGAATTTGCCTAACTTTGTGGAAGGACGTTAAAAACTTCGGTTTCTATAAGTTTGAGGATATTAGAGTTAACACGGGGAAAAACATTGTTGGTGTCAAACATGTTCAAGATTCCATTAAAACTTGCCTTTTGTCAATTTTTTAAAATCTAAAATCCATGTGTTGAATACACTTGCATAAGGTAGTTCTGCCACATTTAACACCTGATATTATTGTATATTTATTTTTATTGTTTGCTAACATTCTGCACTCAACGTGTTGGTCCGATAGGAGTTCCACTTTTTTAATTTTAAATATTTCAAGCTACAAATGGTTTTTATTACATTGGAGCCCCTATATACATGGTGTCCCACCAGGACCTTCATCAATCTGTTTTAGAAAAACTATAAGTAGCAAATATTTGAAAATTTGCAATTAAACTAATGTTTCGATTTTGCCACATTTTTGCTACTTATAATTTTTCCAATAACAGATCGATCAAATTTCCTGGTAGGACATGCTGTATATATACAGACGTTTGTAACAATTTAATTTAATTTAATAGCTACGTTTCGTATCCCCTAGCAAGCCATTCAACAATTGTATGTTTTGGCCAAGACGAGTCATAGTGGAGTCAGTATAAAATTTTATTATTTTTATTACATATTTCTTTAATAAGGCAATGGAAGATCCCTAAGTCTATAGTAAACAGAATAGGACAGCAATTAGAGTAACCTACCTTCAACCTATATGTAAGTTTATTGCATTTACAAGGGTTTCTATTTTATTATTATGGTATAGTAAAGTGTTATATAGTGTTCTTTTCATATAATTATTGTCATTACTGACGTTTTATGACAAATTTTCTCATACTTGAAGAACGTAGGTACTCTTGTACTTTATTGAGACTCTGACTTATGTTCTTCTTCTAAATTTGTAGTAAAACAGTGAGAAAAAAAGTAGTTCATATAACTTTATTATTGAAAGGTATATCGATATATATGATGGCACCACTACTTTAAAAATTTATTTTTTGTTTTAAAATGTGTTTCCTTTTTTTATTAAAAATCTCTACAGGAACTTGTGAAAAGTATAAAGTATATAATAATATAAATATATACTATGGTATATTCAGATAATAATTGCGTCGAATTTTAAAACCTATTCACTAACATCGATCAAGAAAAATCAAAATGTAAGTGTAATTAATAAACTTAAATAACCTCCTGAGATATAAACATGGATAAATTGAAAAATAACATCGTTTGTTGAAACTTTTTTCCCTTTTTGCGGTTGTTTTTCGATCTAGATTGAGCGTCAGTCAGTTTTGTTTGTTTCGAGTTTGGCAATCATATGACTTGGCCGCTACATATGGGAAATTTTTTTTGTGTATTGGATTTGTATGCACCATTAGACCCTGCCCATTAACAGTAACATAAAAGTACAGTTTGGAACGAACGGAATAACAGCACATAATAAAATTTCCCATATACATATGAAATTATATTCAGGGTGTTCGGAAACTTGGATTCAGGGTTCTGCGTGCTACAATAATGGTAACAAAAAATCGAAATCGTAATATTTTATTTATTTATACTGATATTGCAAAAAGGAACAGATTGCTATAAGCAGAATCACAAATCCTTAAAAATTACTCTTGTTTCAAGTCGATGAGTGTTATCGTTTAGCCACAAATCGACTTTTTTATTCTCGGACCCAATACCCCGCATTTCTAATTTGCAGAAAGGTGATGCCGGATATCGCGATATGCATTTCTGTTACGGAAAGGCAAGTGGAAATGCAGGCCAGCAGGTTAATGCAGGCGATGTGCACTTAGTTTTCCAAAACAGTATGCTAAAAATTAAAGTTAATGCAACATGTTTAATTTAAGTAACATAAATTCATTTAATATTTTCGAAAATAAAAAAATATTAATATCAATCGGGAATTAATTGATTAATTAATTAATTATACAACGCTAATAACAATTCATTTTGAAAATGCGCACCTTTCATTTCTAAAAATTTTCTTATACATGCTATAGAACACGAAAAAATATCTAAAAATAACCTATTTCTTACGATTTTGCAACCGTTTATTATTTTCTGTCGTAGATCGTTGATATCTGTTATAGGTGTTTCATACACTAAAGACTAAAGTTTTCCCAAAAAAAGAAGTCCATCGGATTAAGGTTTGGTGAGCGAGGCGGTCAAGCTAGAGGTCCGCCCCAACCTATTCATGGATGTTCAAATGCCTTTTTTAAATACTTTCGTACAGCCAATGTAACATGGGGTGGAGCGGCATCTTGTATTAACCACATGTTTTGTCTCCAAGCAAGGGTACCTCTTCCAGCAAAGGTGATAGTTCTTCTGGGAGAAATTGCAATTACATTTCCCCATTAAGCGATTATCCCCTATAATCCTTGCCTATACATTTAAAGAAAGCCATGTGGTTCTTTTATACCTTGGTCTCGCTTTATTCATATTATCAGGTTTGAATGTGTGTATGTGTGTATATTGATGAATGTCTTAGCAGATGGATAAGGATGGATGTATGGCATAAGGCTCGATATAAAGCCGTCGCGCTTGTTCTGCATTCCCATTTGCTCTTCCGTAGCAAAAATGCATATGTATTTGAATATTCCTGATGGGGCCATCACAGTAGCAGTTGGACAATAAGCTCTTTTAATAGAAACCAATTTTTAACGGATTGTGACAATAACTTTTTCAAATTTCATTAAGTCCTGTTAGGTAAAATCACATTTACAGGTAAAATTTGTGGCTAAACGAGAACACTCATCGACTTAAAACAATCTGCTCTATTTTGCAATATCAGTCTAAATAAATAAATAAAAAAAGTAGCTAAGACTTATTCAGTTAACAATTAACCGTTAAAAATAAAATTAAAAAAAATATCATTATTTTGCCGCCTTGAGTCTTTCCTCCAAGTTTCCGAGCATTTTGATATAAAGGACAGGACTCTTCCATAAGAGTAACTTCTAAAATTGCGTTTTTGGAGACTAAAGGTTGCTCTTAATCGATTAATGACGCGGTTTTTATTAGATAATACTCCAGAAAATTGCATTCCATAATATATGTTTTGTTCGCAGAAACGAAATCTAACTGCTTCCATACCGGATTTGTCTCACACATGTGAATCAGACCGACCGTCTTCGTCGACACAAAGTTATGTTGCACCTTTGGGCACATTTCCTCATCTGGAGGGCGTACGCGCAACTGTCAGCCTTCCCGACTCACCGCACCCCCAGCACCAATCGCGTTCTGCAACTGGTGAGTATTAATTATTTCATTTCTGATTACGGTGCGTGGATAGGAAACTGCGTTCACAGCCTCCGATTCATTATTATCTTGGTCCTCCCTGTCCTAGAAGCTGGTTAGCGCAGCTAAATTGAGTTTCCATATGCCCTCGTCGGCCATGATCGATATGGAGGTACCTTCTTAGGATTTACCAGCGTCCATAGTCAGCTCTGACTGACACCATGAGTCCACCATTGGGCGTGAGGTCTAGAGGCTCCTACAGTTAGGACTCTCCTCTGTCTCAGTCTCGACAGACTGACCCACCTCAGAAAGAACTGTTTCCCAATCAATCACAAGCTGGACTATAGCTGCGTGTCGGATATCCACGAGACATCAGGATATTTTATCCTGTACTGTCCTTTGTAGGGATGACCACTCTGTATAATGAAAGTCGAAAGCGTAAGGTAGCCCCAATCCTGTTTCTCCTCATAGAGAGAACATCTTGTTTCCTGTCCAAGACAGATAGGTCACTTGTCGATGCTCCTTAGTCCCCCGCTTTCAGTCTCGAGGTGAGAGCGAATCTCAGCCAGTTAGTAGAGATTCGTTCAACAAGGTACACTTGTATTGTACATTCACATTCACAACACATTCTGGAATGTAACTAGAAGATTTATGGCAGGGACAAAAAGCGAATGAGTGTTTTTGCTGTATTTTGCAGTATACGATTTTGACGACTTAGACATTCAGGCTATTCCACATTGGAGATCTGTGAGAAGTAGTGCAAGACTTGGCAAGTACAGAAGTCTAAGGCCTAGGGTCAAAAACAAGGTTGGAGTTTTAATTTTAAAAGAGACGTCAGGATACAAATCCTCTTTACTTTAACTTTGTAACCGATCTCGACAATATTCCAGAATGCCAGTTTGATTTATTTTTAATTGTTTTTCCATTACTTGGAGTTTTCCTTTATTTTGATTGCTCCACTATGTTACGTTTAACATGAATTTTCAAAAATGTGGAACTGTTTCGAAAGATTTTGGGTTAAGATAACAGATTACTAATAGACGTTTTGTTGAATGTGATATTAGAATTTTGTTTTAATTGTCAGTGTTTGTTTTTTTCAATAAAGTTTATCCGTACCTTTTGTTGTCTGTTTTATAAAAAATAGTTGCGGATTCTTCAAACTTCAAAAATTAGATTTGGAACAAGCGTATGTTCAGCATGTTCCACATAAAACTGCCCACTATATTATCTGGAGATCTAGCGCCGTTAGAGAAAAAACTTTAATGGAAAGGTTTTATAGTTTGTAGAATTATTTTAAAATTTATTAGATGCATTTTAATTCTTGTTCCAAATTTGACTTAACTTACCTATTTAAACTATAGTCGAATTTTACGTAGTATTAAAAATATTTGAGGTTATGTGACCGTTTGTGCAAAATCAAGGCATTCTTTAACGAGCTATATAAATTGCTCAACTCTTTTTGAATGTTCAAAAAACAAGTGTACTGATATTAAAATTCTCACAAAACAAAAAAGATCTTTCTGAGAATGTCTGGTCGCGCGGGGAGGCCGTTGAAATAAAAAAGCACGCTAAATTTTTAGGACTAGAGCTCGACGAAACCCTATCTTGGGAAACTCAATGAAAATTTTTTGACTGGAAAGTGCACGATAAATGTCTACTATGCTCACATATATTCGAGATTACTCTGTGGAAATTCAAGTCATGCGACATCTGTTTTGAAATCCCAACAAAAAGTCCTAAAGTGTATTGCTGGATAGTTCGTGCAGGATCCTCTTCTGGGAGTTTAAAATACTGCCTTTAGCGCCAGAGCTAAAGAGCACTAGTAATGTAAACATTTTTAAATCTAAACTAAAGTTTTTCCTCCTAGAAAACTGTTTTTATAATTTAAACGAATATTTTACTTATTAACGTTTGTCATCACTCTATTGTTGTGCTCTGGCATATTTTTATTTTATAAATTTTTAATGTAATTTTCTGCCTCATTTGCATGATCTATTTTGACCGACTTGACGGAATCCAAAATACGCTGATTGTATTCAAATATGTGGGATAATAAAGATATTATTATTGTTATACTTAGCTCCAAAAAGTACGCTCTAAACGCATATGCAAGATCTGCCGTGAAATATAGCTTCGCGATTATCTCCTGGGCCAGAAGGGAACCCCACCAGGCCTAGAAGTGAGTTTCGACGGTCCAGGACGTACCATCCAAAATCCTCAGTGGAAAGGTTTCATCTTCCTAGAAACTTAGGTGAGAGAGGTGTAATTTTTTAGGCCTGGTACCTTTAAATGCGAAATGAAAGGGGACCCTGAGAAAGTATTTCCATAACAAATTCACGATAACCCCCCAAATAGAGCGGTAGCGTTGGCAGATAAAAAGGACACACCGTTGCAGTGTAGCTACATTGAAGATTTATTTAATGACGATACAGATCGTTGTCTACTAATCACGCATCATTCCCTCCGACTGGTTCTAATCTACATCCAAATGTTAGACCAACGGTGCAGATGAAACATGAAAGAGCCTTGAGACTAATACAAATAGATACAAATAAACTCATCAGCAGTTGCGGAATATAAACAGGAAACCGGACATACAATTTTATTCGATAAAACTAAAATTGTTTTATGTAATCAATTCTTCACCAACGAAGAATCCGAGAGTCATTAGAAATCTACAATCTAACCTAACAATTTTAACCGCGACTCAGGTCTCCAATATGGGAATCAGTCATCCGAGACTCTGTTTATGTCCCTCATTTAGCTCCCGCCCTCTCAAACAATATAAATGCAGGTACAGAGTAAAATGCGAGCCAGTTTCAGTCAAGCTCTGAAGAAGCCAACAGGATGATTGGCGAAACGTTAGCTACTTCGACTAAATAAAAACCGACGCAAGAGGAATTCAGAATTTTTATAAAAAGTACGATTGCATTCTATTACACAGCTACTCAAATAGAATTTTGAATACTGCATTAGAAAATTTCTTTCAAGGAATTTCCATTAAGTTACTTAGCGTACTAGAAGTACTTAACATAATGACTTGAGGTCATGTTCACGATCAAAAAGCAAAAATTAGAGTACTTCTCAAATTAATATTAGAAGGAAAAATCGAAGGCAAAAGCGGACCCGGTCGTCGAAGAAGGTATGGTAAGGCGAAGCACTTGAAGATGAAGAAGAGAACTTAAAGCGCACAGAGAGGCAGTAGCATTCCAACGCAGTCGGAAAAGTTTCTGCACTGATAATGGAAATATGTAGCACCTATCGATAGCAGTGCCTCCATTGGGAGATCAAATGGATAGGGGCGATAGGGTAGGAAAAATAATGCATCACTAACGGGCATGGTTAATGTGAAACTGTACTGGAACCAAAAAATTCTGACAGTCTGATCTAGTCCTCACAGCCGAAGCATAGTTGTGTCATTTTGGATTTTGGTAAGGTGAGTGATTAAGGAGTAAAATAATAATCTAATTTATTAAATAAATAGCAAAACTGTCAAATCAATGCAAAACTCATTAATTGCACCACAATGTTTTTTCCACAAATCCTTGCAATTTTTCATTAAATTACGATTTTCTACGAAACTGTTAAATTTAGGTATAGGAGATGCACGAAATAACAGGTAGTTGTCCTTGGCATGCAGTTACTTCATAGCTTTATTAAAAAAAATTTTTTTTAGTTTTAATCTTCTCCTGAAGATGCCAAATTAGTTGGCGAAACCCGGGTCGAGTACGTAAAATTGAGTTTCGGTTTGTGGTAAAACGCGTTATTGTATGTTAGTGCAGTGCCGAAGGTTCCAGTCAAGAGTTTGATAAATATATTTGAAAGCTATACTTCCAATAACTAAATAAACTAATTTTAATGCGGCTATAGCAAATTCGGAACCTCCTGTATATATGAAACTACTGTATTTTAAAATATACCAACAAACTAGCATATTTATGTGTTAGATTTGGAGATAGCATACTGGATAGTTTTGTGTGGACACCATGTTCTATATGCTATGGTCGACTGAGAATTGAGTAATCGCCAACTTCTTCTGAAGTGAAAAAGTGAATTTATTTTTAAATCAACACGGAGTGGACATTTAAATTAGGCGCGCTATTCACGACTTTTGTAAAATCGGCAACTGTGCAGGCGTAAATATAGCCCAGTGTCACATTCCGTTGGTTTCTGCTGAGATTCGAACTAAACCAAGTAATTTTCGCCGACACATCAGGACAAATAATACTGTTGGATAAACTGGTTTCGTAAGGATTATTTAAACCAATTACGACTATCCCCTGTTTGGTTTTGGGGTTATAAATTACTTTCCAAAATAGTTCGGGTATAGGCATCACGTGTCCGCTATTGATGTCTAAATATAAACCCACGTTGCGACCGTGTGTTTCGTGAGGAAGTGAGGTGGTGCCGTAGACCCCCGTGTATATTTCAAGATCATCCCCTAAACGAGACGCGTAATTCCGTACACTAATTTCGACTTCGTTCCAGTTTCCACCGTTAAAAGATGCCCATTGAGGTGCGGCATTGACGTAGTTAAATGTTGCTAATTGCTCGAATGCATAAACAAAATCGCCTTTGGCGGCCAAATGACCTCGGTTTACAAATAAATCTCCTCTGCGCTCTACATATTTTTCAGAAGAGGGCGATAATCCAACCAACGTGTTAATAGCATTTCTGATACTGTCTCTGCGATATAATTCAGCAATATTTCTCGAGGTCGTGTAAAATCCAGTGTCGCGGAAGAAAGGATTAGCCACCGTGCTGTCCCTATAAGCGATGGTACCTTTCAGAGTGTAATGGGAGTAAACTGGAGTTAAGTTGACGTTATCGAAACAAACTCTTATTTGCGTCACAAACCAATCTCCACCTAAGTCGTATCCGATTTCTAGTTCTTGGTTTCCCTGCGCGCATTTTCTTTGGGTATACCTAACGGTTTCTTGGGGCTCTTGGAGGCATTTTACGGACCTGAAATACATTTGCTCATTATTCATTTCGAATAATTCGTCGGAGATGCATTTGGCACTAATCGTGCTAGACTCGGTGATCCCATTTACGACAACTCTGTTTCTCGGACAAGATATGGTTATCCGTTCTGATTGGTTAATTGCTGCCGAATAACTTCTGGGATCCGGATATATTATTTCATTTGCCCCGTTGAGCACCAGCGGCGCAGGTTTTAATTGCAACGGGTTAATTCTACATTCTACAGGGAAGAAACAGATATGCTACTCTGTTATTTTACCTTTTGGATCTACCTGAGCGAACGAATCCAACTGAGAATAAATTTAACCATATCAGGATCGACCATACGAGTAAAATGGCACGCAAAATTTTGAAGACGAAAATTTGTGTCAGAGGATGATAAATGAATGCTGTCACTTATTTCTGACATCCGAATTGCTAGGTATAATTATTTTAGTTATGTGATAATATAGTATAGTGCTGTTGGCGCAAATACTAACCTTCCTTGTTTATTACTTAGTTTATAAAACCTGAGTACCTATCAATTCTTTGTGAAACGTTTTCGTTACTTTATACATCGCACAAAAAACTCACTATTATTAGTATTAGTTCGGTAAAAATGACTTAACTTACAGTGATTTTTTAAAATTTTTCTTTATATTTAATATGCAAAATTCAGGTTGTGAAATGGTAATTTTAACATGGAATATTTATATTTCAAATCGCGTAGTACTTTTTATTGATTGATGTAAATAGTTCAAAGGAACTTTGTGAGATTCCAACAACATTTCTGTTATTCTTTGCGTGCGTTTGACACATATGGCTATTAGTGACCTTACTACGATAAAAATTGATATTTACGCCTCTACATTTGACCCAATAACCTGCACTGCGCTACATTTTCTTTCTAAAGAGAGATTTTCACACACTTAACTCGTCTTGCCAGAATATTTAACGCAATAAATGAATATTTTGAGAAAATGCTGTATCCAAATTTATTGACGATATTTCAGCTGCCATGTTGGCTGTTGAATGCCGCTAGGTCATTGGTTTAAAGCGAGATTTTAAATCTCGCGCATGCGCATGTCGAATAGACCTTCTCGGCATTTTTTTCTTTTGCTTCATAAGTTCCTGTATTATTAGCATAGGCAGGGCCTCTTTATCTCTAGTAGTTGTAACGAAATATGCACTAAAGGGGACAAAAAATAATGAATTAGAACTTCGTATAGGATTATCCAGATATTTTAAGCATGAAACAGAGGCAAGAAAACTTAAAAATATCCTTATTACTATGTTCATTATTTATACTTCTCAGACCTATAATATTGGAAAACGGAAAAACAAATTTTCATTAAGGGCATTTGTACTGATGAGTTAAAGTAAAACCAAAATAAATAATAATCAAAATATATAATTTATTGACCTTAAAAAAATCCTTATTTTTATCTATTTATAAATTTATTTGATTTTTTTTTACTTTTTAGAAGCTACTAAACTCTTACCACGTTTTTTTAGAAACGGGTTAATATGGAGGGTTACTTGGAGTTTTTGTTAGTTTATTGTAGAGTGGCATTTTATATTTCGATTGCTTGACTTATCCGTCGAAAATTGGCCCTGCTGGAATTTATCCAACGTCATTGCTTTAAAATCGTTCCCGATCAAGGCAACAAGACCAAAAAGGTGTCTGCCTTGAGAAGGTGTTTACGTCATGAACAATTTGAAGAATTAAAATTGTTAATGTCTTTGACATAATAAAAAAATCAGATTTTAATGTTTAAATTTCTGTGAAATTTTCTAGAATATTAAATATTTTGGTTTTTAAGATATAGTTAATTTTTAAAAAGTTATAACGTTCCTGTTTTTTAAAGTGTGTAAATGGGTAGTTTTTGGAGAACATTTGTTTCTTTTATTGACATTTTTATTTAACTTGTTTCTACTTCCACACTACAGGGTGCTTTCTTAAAATGCATGCTTATTATAAACGCCCATCATAAATTATAATAAAAAAATAAGTTTTACTTGAATAGCTAGTGTTTTTGTTACGTTTGTTACGACATTTTAGAGCATTGTTCTGTAATTAAAAAAAATCTGTAAAATCCTGTTACAATTTATGTACTTAAAAAAAATGCAGAACTCATCACGTAAATGGTTTTTTATTAGTTTCTCATAACGGCAAGGAATAGATTTTCATTATCACAATAAAACAATTCTAGTGTATAAAAACACCAAACAAACAATTTTTTTTTTGATATTATTATTAAATTATTAAAACTTAAATTTCCTACAATTCATTTTTATTTGGCACGAAAAACTTATCGAAGTTTTATATTTTACGCTCCCTAAAGTGAAGCTGCCTTGAACTTTATAACGTAATTTTGGTAAAAATCTGTATGTTAAAATTGTCTAATTAAAATTGTTTTTGAAGAGTTTCAGAAATATTGCTTAAAATGCGATATTATTTCTTTTTTTATGAAAGTGTTTATGCCATTTTGAAAAAAACATATAAAAGAACGCCATGTTCACCAGGTTCAGTTTTTAAAAATTTAACAAAGTAGAGTAACAATTTTTTATTATTTTTCAATATAATCTCTTAAAAAAAATATTCTTTTGGTTTGTCTGCAAAATGAGCTAAAACAGCCTCTTTTAACTCAACTTCGTCGTTGGGGGCCATTTCTGGGCTATAGAGAAAACGATTTGCTCATTCTTTCACTACAGAATACGAAGGAGAACTTTGATCGTACACACCACCCAGCCTTTCTTTAATAATTTTAGGTGCTAACCCTTCTTTTGTCATTTTTTTTTCATCCTACCAAGATATATATTTAAAAGAAGACAAAGTTTTATCGTGATACTGGAGCTGCATCTATGTCAGGCAGCGAAATTTTGGCGCTAACCTCGTATATGGGCTTTCACATAATACTAAACACCTTGGAAACTTTTATAAAACTTACCTAAGTGGTATATAAAATTGCTCTTAAAATAAATTTAAGGTGATTTTGCAATTCTTATAATTTTATAAGTTATCAAAGAGGTATTTATAAAATTCTTTCGTATAAAACGAAAAATAACGTAAAAGTAAAATTCAATTGAAAACTCTTAGTGAACATGTTAATTATGCATTCATACCCCAATGATATATGTATTATTTTTAAATCTGTTGAAAACCAAGAAGCTGGGAGACCAACTATCTCCTAAAAGAGTTAAAAATGGAAGTTGATCTGGAAGTCTAATTCAATACCGGCATATTAAAGATAATTTCTATAAACGCTGCCATCATATTTAATTTTTGTCGATTTTTCATAACTTGTGGCAGCTGTATATAATGATTTATTAAACATGATAACCTTAAAGTTTTATAACATTCTTTAAGTTTCGTAGAAGTTGTAGAATATTTTTTAGGCACTTTAAGATTTCTTTTAAGTAGTAACCCATAAAACCCCAGGAATAAACGTCTTATAGTAATGTTTTTAAGCAAAAACGGAATTATTTCGGATGCAATATTATAAAACTTATTGTATTGGTCGTCATACAAGACTTGTAATATGAATGGTTTTCTTATAAAAATGTTATAAAAGCTAAGGTTTCTTAAAAACCCGTTATGAGGTACTGGTTATATCTTAAGCTGCGAAAAATGTTAATTGAGATGTAATTCATGGAATTCCTATATTTCAGCAATTTGAGATATTTTCCAGAATGTCCTTTTAATATTTAGTTTAGAACCTAAATAACTTGCAAAATCTATTTGAATTTCTAACATAAATTTGCTTGATTTTGTTATTTATACTTTGCCTTATGGGGTATCGTTGAACCATGAGTATTGGGTAGAATTTAGCCAATTCAAAATCTAGACCCGCACTTCTAGAACTCAAATAATTAAAAAAAAATGAAATCGAATAAAATTTTCCAATATTTAATGACGATGATTACCTAATAGGCAAAATATAATTCAAATAGGTCTTTCCGGAAGCAATTGATGTGGAATACTTTTTAATTTTTTACTTCTTAATTAGTTTCTCTCGCTTGTTTTTCGAATCTCTTATCGATTCGCAGGGAATAATATTTATTTTTTAAATTTATGTTTATTCTGGTTAACATTTATTTGTTTTTATATATTAAAAAGTCTGTTGCATCATTATATCGTTTAATAATTAATTGATTTTTAATTTTTGTTACAAAAGTATTCTACCAACAAATGTTAACATCTACATATAGCCGCCGTTCTCTGCACTTTTTGCTACGAAACTACCGTTTCCATTTAAATTTGTCGAAAATTTGGCACTGATGATGTTTTGGTATTTTCTATTTGGTAAAAAGCACAGTAACGGTAATAAATACAATTAAGTAAAGACGACTTTTAACTATTAAACTACATAAATTAAATTAATTAAATTAGCGTTGAAAAATTTGGCGTTGGTGCCAGCACCGAACCCCAAAATATGATTGTTTTAGTCTCTTCGTGCCAAATGAAAAAGAAGAAAGGGACATCAACTCTAAAAGTAACTCGCGCTCCAGTCCTTGTTAAGCTCACGGCAGTTGCGGCTGCAGCTTCAGTGCCGGTTTCCGTGATATCCATATAAACCTGAAAAAAGAACTTAATAAAGTCTAATCTGCATTTATATTTTTGGTTAGCCTCCAGATACGCGATTGAAGGCTGTTGGAATAAATTTTTAATTGAAAGAAAACATAAATGAGACGTTTTTTTTGGCGAAAATTGCCAAACACATAAATATAATAAATACGTGATTTAATGTCAAATGAATAAGTTGGGTAAGAATTGGTAAATAGCTTGGAAACTACCTTGGAAGATGTAAAAAACGCGTTCAGGGAAATATGGGTTAATATTGATCAAGCACAAATTACAGTCTTGTTCGATGTTACAAGCAGTAGAAGACGAAAGACCGGATATCGACTTTTTATTTCTTTATTGTTTATGTTAATTGTTGCGTTTGACATTAAATTTCGAATTTAATTTAATAAGAGATAAGGACGTAAATAAAAGAACAAAATGCTGAGGAAAGAGGAAATTGCTATGCACTGACTGAGACAGACAGCTAATACATTGAACACAGAAGTCGTTTTTCTTTAAACACGTACAGGGTGTCCAATTTTGACCACTTTTATGGGGCATCTCAGTTATTTTTAAAGATTAAATTAAAGATGCCGTCAACAAAATTATCATGGCCCACTTGGTTTTTGAGATGCAGGGTGAAGAGTTGAAAAATCTTTCGTAGAATCGAGTGGCGTAGTTTGTTTTTTACTTGCTCTAACCGTTTGTTAGTTATGAAGCAAACATATATTTTTTTAAATACTCTAAATATAATTTTTGACCTTAATTGGAAGTCATTTATGCTTTTTAGTGTAAAGTTGTTTTGAAAATTAAGCTGAAAATTCATTTTTTTCATTTTTTACTTTATTTGTAGAAGTAGGCCATAATAGATTAATTAAAAATAAGATACATACATCTAAACAGTTACCACTATATTAGAGACTCTTTATTTAATTTCGAAAAAACGGGATGAAAATATATTTTTTAAAAATAATAATGTCTTATTAATGTGGTAAACATTATGTTATTATAATGTTACGTGGATAGTTGGCTATGACTTATCTATTAAAAACAAAGAAGCAAATGTGTCAAAAACTTACGAGACTGTCAGTTTTCAATTATATGTTTATTACCTATCCATTTGTTCTCTCTGTGTTTATTTCATATTAATTAATTTTCTATAATAATGGCATGGCCATGGGTATGAAATTTCTGAAAAATATGATATGTTGGTATGTTTTATACAAGGCAATGAAAATGTACAAGAATCTTACTTTTCAAGTTCGGGAATTTTTAATCGCCATAACACGAGAAACTGATCGACAGAACACGACTATTTAATTTCTGAAAGGGTCCAACAAGGGCGCTTTGGGGTATCGTGTTTTATTTTGGGACAACGAATAGCCTACCGACTTTATGAAGGAGGTCTGACAGCACGTAGGCACCTAGACATTATTGAGGAAGTCGTTCCAGAATTACTGGAAGATATTATATTTTCTTAGTATAGTATAATGCTATATAACTGCAGCAACATGGTCATAACTCTGAACTTTTAAGACCACTTTTAGATGACCACTTTCCTCAAAAATGGACAGGTACCAATGGACCTGTAAGATGGACTCCATGATCTTCGAATCTTTCAGTTTTAGATTTTAGATAAAATGTGCGAGTTTTGCATTCGAGAAAATTGTGTCCATTTTGAACAACAGTTTTAGGTATTTTTATTAAGTTCATATTCTTTAGATAAAATGTTATTTCGTATTAATTAATAATGGTCTATAATAAGTTGAAAAAAAAATTGAATTTAAAAATATTGAGTTGCTTGTTTGTTAATAATTGTTTACATGGATATTATTTTTAATAGATTAATCATGCCCTACTGCTACAAGTACAGGTTAAGTTTCAAAACAACTTCTGAAAAGCTCAAAATGCTTTGCAATTAATATAAAAAAATAAAATATACAGGATTTTCCATTTAAAAAAATATATGTTTGCTTCATAACTAATAAACGGTTAGAGCAAGTGAAAAACAAACTACGCCACTGAATTCTACGGAAAAAATCCTATATGAACGTTTTTTAAACCCAATAACTTAAAAGAGATTCGGGGGTGATCCTAAAATCGATAGTTTTGGTTAGAGGGCCATGATAGTTTTGTTGACGTCACGTTTTATTTCACAAAAAAGTAGTTCATGTCATGTCTGTCTTAGAAAATAACCGAGATACTTATTGACTCAAATTTTGATGTGAAGTGTATAATGTAGTGGTTTTAGTGGTTTAGTAAAAAAAATAAAATATTAAATGCGTGTTATATGTTTTTTAAAATCCTTTTCTAGATAAGAAAACAGTGATTTTACCCATCTAGCTTTAAAAATGGAATGGAAGCCGTGACATGTGATAGGTCAACAAATCAAACTTGTCCTAGACGACGCCGGTTAGAAAATATAATAATCTTCATAAAAAAATTGTTGCTGTTGATTCTTACGGGGCCCGTGAAACTCGTGGTAGAAAAGCGTTTTTTTTTTATTAAGGGCTTTAGGATTTTTTTTTTGAACTCCTACTAAACGAAGATCGGCAACTTATATCACCTACCTTATGAATTATCTGGTCTGCATATAATCCCGGATTTTGGTACTTATTTGAGGTTGACTGCTGGTTGATTAATTGCCTAATACGATCTAAAGTTTCGTACGCCACTTTCGCCGTATCTATCCTTGAAGATATGTCTAAACGATCTTTAATTGTTTTCTGCGTTTCAGTCTCGTTCTCGTTTGGATCGGTCACGCTTTCAGCGTCCGTATTATTCCCCACTCTTGTTCTCGATTTGAAGTCTTGGGATGCGAGCAGCGCCAAATTCGCCTCGTTTGGGTCAAATAACGACCTAAACAAAAATAAAAATGGTAAAGCTGCTTTGAAACACCAGAAAATAAATTAAGTACCTAATACCCAAATCCTGCAAGGATCGACGTAAATCGATCGTACTCTGAATTTTCATCTTCGGAAAAAGTATTAAGGAGTCGGAGTAAGTAGTACTTTCCACCAGCCTATTCAGATTCCAGACAGTTAGTTTACTTTCCAAGTCTTTTAATTTTTTCCGATCGGAATTAAAAGGCATGACAACGTACATGGTAGTACTGTTTCCTTTGTAAGGAAATCCGAGAATTTCGCATTCTAAATTGGGGTCTTTGTAATAAGGGAAAAATCCTCCGTTCACCATCATATCCGCTTCGATGTTCGTCGGGGCTCTTCGACCGTTAATGTAGAACGGCTTCCTGCAACATGTTACGAGGTATTTTGTGAAATGCTGGCCAATTTTACTACAAAACGTAAAAAAATAATTCATTACATTTTTGTAAACCAAAAAGTATCAATCAATTATCGACTATCTTACAACAATTTTCGACGATGCAAACACTGCTTTACTGCAGCACAAAAAAATGTACTCTTCTAATTTTTCAAAGAAACTTTCACAGGCTACTGTAACAATTTTTACAAAACTTCTGGATTCCTTCGGTGTCGGTTTTGGCTTAGTCGAACTTGCTGACGTTTCACCAATTATTCCGTTGGCTTCTTCAGAGCTTGGCTGAAACTGGCTCGCATTTTACTCTGTACCTGCTAATATATATATGTTTGAGGGGGCGGACCTAAATGAGGACCATAAACACCGTCTCGGATGACTGATTCCCATATTGGTGACAGGTAGAGACCTGAGTCGCGGCTTATAGATTTCTATAGACTCTCGGAATAAAATTTTATGTTCGGTTTCGTGACTAGGTTCGGCAACAGCTGATGAGTTTATCTTTCGTGTTCTCTGAGCCTATTTTTGACGGCATATGGATGGAATGCTGGAATTTTGTCTTTAACGGACCGAAGATGTTGAGAAATCTTTATATATAGGTATAGATATAGCTACTAGACATATAGAGGCCCTGTCTATGCTAATAGTACAGAAACTTGTGAAGCAACTATGTAACAAAATTTTGAGGTTTGGTCAATGTGCGTGTACGCGAGATTTGAAATTTAGTTTCTAACGAATGGCAGCTCTAATTGCATTTTCTGACGTTCGACCCATAAGGCCTTGCAGCTTCCAACAACCAATATGGCCGCTGGCAGGTCGTTAATGTTTGGATGCTACATTTTTACGGCAGTATTTTATCAAAATATGTCGAAATTCCATTAAATTTTAAAACAAAAATGGAATTAAGGTGTAGAAAATTAGCGACAAGTGCAGACTCAATATTATACTGAATTACAGTACATGGATCAGCATCCTTGGTATAATACTATAAGTATCTTAGCGTTTTGGTTCTTTAAACGCTATAGACACGATATCAGCTAATTTTTCCTGAATTTGTGCCCGTAAATCGGCGCAAACAGTATGTTTTTATAAACTTATTGGTTGAAGTTCTATTGAAAATGTATATAAAGTCGAATTCACGAAATGTGACTATAGAAACCACTTTAAATCTTTTAAATTAACTTGTACTTAAGGCAACACTTACCCGTATCTAGGCACATTCTTTTTCTACTCCCGTCTGTAAAATACCTAATTACCCACCGATCTAGTGTGTGGAAGTGTCACTTTACCAAGTCAGTTTCGTTTCCCATGAATCCGAGCCACTTCGGACATTTTACCGCACGGATTTGGGGGAAAACCACAAATGCTACAATGTGCATTTGTCCAAATCACCCGAGGCACCCGCTACGAACACCCAAAAGCGGCCGAAACATTTATCCAAATAGAGAGAGAGGTTAAAATACAAGTGTAAACACGGCTCAGATAGCAAATTAATTAATAAAATGCGGTTAAATTATTTTACTTTGGTTATAGGTGTACAGTGTACTTACAAACAAAATAAAATTAACAGTTTACAAAATAAAGTAGAAGTTACTGGACATGATATAAAGAACAACAATTTACGCTATTGTTTAAGCTAAAAAAAACTTACAACTTCTATTAAACATACTACAATGAAGGTGTAGGTAGGTATTTCATTGGCACCTAAGGGATTTTTATTTTACAATTTGACCTTTTAAAATAGGCGTCTTTAAGTAATGGGCGCTGTTCTTCTCCAGAATTTTAATTCAGTTTTAATTTTTTCATACTTTTTATCCTGATAACTACTTAGGTAACTTTTACTTTTTCATACTTGGGTATGCTAGGTAGCTGGGTTAATTTTTTTGCAAAATCCACAATGTACTCAAAATAGTCGCAGCTGAAGTATTGGATAAAGATATTGATAAATCATATTGCTAATTGAATAAATTTAAAAATTATCAATAATTTTAGCTATGAGAACAATTGAGGACACGTTTTTATTAACATTTCATCATTCGTGATAATCACCGTGTGCAATTTTCCAAGTAAAAGGTACCTAAATACAATTTTATTACACATTTATGATAGGTTTGACTCTTTCATTAATTAAAATGCACCTGAATCTTTTAATCTGAGTCACTGTAAATAATAACAGATGTATTTTAAAAATATTGTAATGTAAACAAATCATAATTATTCTCTATCGAGGAAAATTCTTTTTCCATGGAAACGCTTTGCCGACCTCCCTCCCGCACTGCCCGAACGAGCCACGAACCCCCCGATACGATTTGGATAAATGAACATTTGGACAAATACGACCATCTTGGATTTGGGAGCAATCGGATGTTTTTGGAGATATTTCCCACGCTTTGAATTTTGACGTTTGTCACTTACATGACTGACCGTCATGTCAGTGAATGTATTCGTGTTGTTTTACAAAAACTAACAGTCGTAGAAAAAGTATAGTATGCAATATGTTCAGTAAACTTTTTAACTCACTCGTTTATTAAAAACTCGCTCCGCTGCACTCCGCCCGTGTCAAATAAACTCGTGAGTCAAATGCCTGCTGCATAATATACTATTTCCTTACAGTTTTGACCACAAACACAAGTTTTTTGCAAAAACACGAAAAAGGTACGGAGAGAATCATAACCACCAAAAATAGCAGTTCCTACTTCGGCGTTGAAAATTATATTCGGATTTCAGAGACCGATTTTGCGTTCTTATGAAAACTAGTCAATTTTTTCAGAAAAATTACGGAAATGTGGCAACTCAGTTAGTTGGGGCGTGACGCATGCCCAAAACATCCACACCTTCTCTTCGAAAATATCAAAGCCACCTGCGGCGCATCACTTTTTATTGTAGTAGTCACCAACATGGCAATTAGTCATCCGAGACGGTGTTTATGACCCTCATTTAGTCCCGCCCCCCTCAATCAACATATAAGCTGGTACAGAGTAAAATGCGAGCGAAGTCAAACTCTGAAGAAGTCAACAGGATAATTGGCAAAACGTCAGCAAGTTCGACTCAGCAAAAACCGACGCAAGAGGAATTTAGAAATTTTGTAAAAAGTAGTTCTCTTCTAATACAATTATTTTTAGTTTTCTTTGTTTAAAGATTTTTAAAATTTTAAATGTAACAGGTACATTTCTTGGGGGTGGAGGCATCTTTATCCCCCCCAAACTTTTCCGTAGTACACCTCTGACATCTGCCAAATTGGATGGCTCGTTTAATTTAGAAGGTGTGTTTGCGGATATGATTATTTATCTTAAAAAAAAAATGAAAAGTTAAACCCTCTAAACGAATCACCTAATTTGGTATGTGGAAACCTTTTCCCCCAAACTAGTATCACCCTGTAAATTTTAAAAATCTTTAAAAACCAGCGAGATGTTTTAATTAATAGAAAAAAATTAAGAATCTTTGACCCTATTGATGGAAATATGAACTTTCATGCTTGATCTATAATCTACTTCAGTTTATGCCTTACAACTTGGATTACCCCTTAAAAAACCAATAAATTGTTTAGTTGAGGTATTTCTTTAATTTTATTTATTGGCCAATGATAAAAAAGTAGTAAACGTTTCTCTCAAGGATATTTTATTTTATTTTGGAGAAATGTTCATTTCTTAGCAACAATTGATATTTCTTTGATAGAATTATAAATTTATTTATTTCCTAGTCTCGGTAGACTAATGGTGGGTAACCTGCTAAAAGATATTAGCTGAGATTTTCATGTATTTTTTAGGGGAAAAATATCTCAACATCAATTATTTAAACACTTTTTCTATTGACATAGATACGTGAACAACAGGTTAACTTGTTTTACTGGTACTGATAGCAAGTTATCCAGTTTTCTAAATATTTACCATAGAACAAGTTAATTCAATTTTTATACTTTTTTCACTTTTCAAATTTTTCATGTACCTGTATATACTGAGTCACTGAAATTAACATCCATACTAAAAAATTCTACAAATTTTACAACTCGATTAAATATCATAAAACAAACAGTTTTTAACACCGATTATTTGCCAAATATTATAGACAAGCTCAAAAACGGAAAGAAGCAAAACCATCATTATTTAAAGATGATTTTTTTAATAGACTAAGAGCCTCCTAAATAAACAACAAATTTGTGATTACCATTAAATCCCTGCTACAGTACCTAATATAGGTTTTTAATTAAGTTTGTAAATTACCTACACTTAATATTGGTGTGAAAAAGTTACAGGGTTAACGAAACATGCCACTTTGCTTATCTGAAAGTCCTCAAATTGACTTGATAAATAAACTTTGTTAAACTTTGTTCATATTATTGTGGCAGTAAAACGTCGCAAAATCTTTTTTGTTTTTGTTTTAGTTTCGCTTTTTATTTTATTGTCATAAATTGGTGTTCTCCTTTGCTGATTGCAACTGATGCAAGATCTAGCTAGAGTCGCGTTATAGTATATCCTGGGAGATTTATTACGTCCTTGCAAGGTTTACGTTTTACTTGATAATATATTTCGAAAGCTAGCTAATTACGGAACGACTTAACATTTTCAAGATTCCAGGTCAGTTCAAGTTGATCCGAATATCTGTAGAATTGCCTTAGAATTTCTTTTAACTTACCGTTTGGTAAACCCGTCAAAAAATTTGTTTTCCCATTCCGCATTGAAATATAGCGCCGTGGTTATTATAACCTTCGTATCCGTGGATGGGGCCTCGCTCAAAATTGTACGTATTTTGCGATTAGTTTCTTCTGAAACCCAAGAATTAATGGTCCCTTGGGCATTTTTAGCGTCTCCTTCGTAATCAACACTAACAACTTCGCTTTTATATATTTCTCTAGCCGTTTGCAGGTATAATGGCCTGATCTGAAACAGTCCAAATTATTTATTTAATTATTTAAGAAAAATCAACTTTTTCATATATTCAGAGTGATTTTCGACTTTTCGCTCGCAACTAAGGTACAAGAAATCATCATAAATGTTTTCAAAATCCTCTTGAATATCGAATGCTATGAAAAAATTTGAGAATGAAATCAATAACTTTGTTTATAGGGTGGATCACATTGGTACTTTGCTCCTAGCTTCTTCTTTTGTTTTATTAGATAGCGTCAAAAAATCATACTCAAAAAATCTGTTGTCAAATTCGAAAGCCCTATTAGTTTTTATTTATATTCCGCAGGCCACTGTAGTGCTATAGTCGGTACGATTTGCGATGGCATAGTCAGTCATAAAACCAAGTTTTTTTTCAGTATTTTTTCTGCTTCCACAGAGATAGCACCAATATATATTATACATTATATTATAATTATTATGAATAATTAATAATATTATAATAAGAAAAGAAGAAAGTATCGATTGGCTGCCCAGTGAGCGGATTAATTACCCAGAAAATGTTATAAAATGTGAGCTGTTAAAAATTGTCAAAATTTTTAAAACGATTTTGCTGTATGCTACAGACGAAATAATTGCTGAAATGGTCATCAAGATTGCCTCGAGAAGTATTTTAAAAAAATTAAAAATCGCGTTTGCAAGGGTCATTTGTCGAAGACGGTTTACGCGAACTCCTTAAACGAGAAGACGCAGAAGATTCGGTTCCATAAAATTTTATGCCTGAAAATTTTTCAAAAATGTACAAGGTGCTCCGCAAATTCAAAAAAACGGAAAAATGTGTCCTCCTATTATTGAAAATTGACTATAACTGAAAGACTGTGCTTCGGATGTCAATTAATTTTACGCGGCAATATAGCCTTCATAAGCAGCTAAAATTTTTGTACTTGTAAGTGTAACCTGTTGTATGGGGTGTTCAAGATATTGAGTGCTGTATTAAAAAATTAACAGGTTTCTGAAATTTGGCAGATTTGGCAGAAGGGTACAAGTCCACATACGTATTTCATCTGTTAGAAAAGGACTTATTCAAATCTCGCAAGTATTTAATATATATATATATATATATATATATATATATATATATATATATATATATATATATATATATATATATATATATATATATATATATATATATATATATATCATCACATATTATATTATAAATGCCACGTACAACTGAGTTGCTTCGAAATAAAATATGTTAAAGTATAAGTGGAAACAAGATGAACAATCTATTTTATTCTGTCTGGCTTCTTGGGGCTGTTGGGTTCTTCAGAGATTAAATTATATATGATAAATATTTGTTATTATTATTTATGACTTGAAGCCTTGGCCTACTCACCACGTAGCCCGTTTGCACGAAAATACCACTGGCAAATGTAACGTCTTGACCGATTTGAAATCCGGTTTTTGAAATTAGTTTTTCAATCATACGACCGAACTGTTCGTGGACCAGTTGAGATTTCGATGCAATGTCGGGCGAGACGGAAGCTAATCCCAAAAAGGTGATTAGCTCGTCAAACGTTTTACCATTTGCTCCCAAAAGAACCAGAGCAAGAGCACCTAAAAGAAATAATCAATAATATCAATTGGAATTGTATGGTCTGTTCATAGATATAAGAAAGTGACCAATTACTTTTGAATGGGATTATCCCAGGGTGGTCATTATGGTCAACATACAATGCAACAAGATTATTACCTAAATTTTCGGAATTTAAATTCAGGTAAAATTGTGGTCCGTAATAGAAAATAATTTTATACCTATCTGTGTTTCATATTCTTTGGTTTGGTATACTATTTAGTTTAAGTTTATTAGTAATCATTCTTATTTCGTGTGTAATACAGCGTGTGTTGAATCGTGTGCGAATTATGCAAAATATGTGCGAGTCTAGTGTATCTCAGGAGATGCTCCCGCCCAAATGTAGAAAACACTATTCTATTAAGACTAAGGAAGTTATAAGCAATGTTTATTTGACTCTCATTGAACGTGCTGTCAGCAAGCAAGCACCTTTAGAAGCCACATTGACGAAAATTCCAAGATCAACTGTATGGAAAATTGTGAATTATCCCATTTCAGCGAGGAAAAAAAGAAGTGATGCAGACATTTTCTCGAGTGTAGATGAAAGTGATCAAGATATAATACGACGCAAAATTTACCAGTTATACGAGGAACAAAGCGTGCCTACATTAGATATCTTAATTAGGAGGCTTGAAAAAAATGAAACCGGTGTTAAATGTGGCAGAACTACCTTTTGAAAAATTGACAAAAGGCAAGTTTTAATGGAATCTTTTAGAATTCGAAAATGGCGACTGGAATATCTAAAAAAAAAGGATTTACAGAGAACAACAAAGGCCAATTATTTTCTTGGATAAAACCTGGTTCGACACTTATGATACCCAGGAAAAGGGTTGGGTTGACCCACCTGATAAGTGTAAAACAAACGCGCCATCAAAAAGAGGTAAAAGAATAACTATTTTGCATGTTGGCTCTAAAGATGGTTGGATTCCAAATGGACTTTCTCTATCTGCAAAAAATATTAAAGATTCTTCTCTGGATTACCATGAAGACACCACCGCTGATTTATTTGAAAGTTGCTTTAAAAACAAACTAGTTCCAAACATTCCTCCTAATAGCGTCATTGTAATGGACAGTGGAGGTTATCACAGTAAAGCAACAATCCAAAACTACATGTATAATAACGACATTTCTTTTCACGAAGATTATACCAAAAAGCAATTAATTGAGGTTCTACAAAGCTTGAACCTACAATAGGAATACGTTTGTGAATATTATGCAAAAAATGTTGGGCATACAGTTTTAAGGCTTCCACCTTACCACTGTATATTTAATCCCATTGAACATGCTTGGCACAACTGACATCTCCAATCGTCGTAACAATGTTTTTCCCCGTGTTAACTCCAATGTCTTCAAACTTATAGAAACCGAAGTTTTTAACATCCCTCCACAAAGTTGGGCAAATTCTGTTAAACATATAGAAAAAGCAGAACAATCGTATATCCATATTGCAAATAATATAGAACAAATAATAATTAGAACATGCCATGATAGCGATAGTGATACTGATATATTATGTGAATAATTTTAAGTAATTTAAGTAGGTAATAAAAATAATTTGTAATTTTATTTTAGATTTCAACATAAATACATACATAAATAAATAAATATTGTTTAGTATCCTTCCTAACAAAACCCCAAATAATTAAATTCTAAGCAAAGTACGGACCTGTTCGGCCATATTTCATTCTTACAGCTTGCCCGGGTCTTTCCTTAATTCGTATCAGTTAGTCAACTTCTTATATCTATGAACAGACTTTACCAAATTGCCTCATGCGGCTCTGATAGATTTTCAATTAAATCGATGTCCCCGCATTAATTCTTACCTGCAATACTAGTGGGCGAAAAAACAACGTTGTCCCCATGCGGGTTTTGGATCAGCAGATTATTGATCGTCAAGGTCGTTTTTGCAATCGCCATTGAAATGATTTTGTCTACATAATTTTCGTAAACTGTAGTGCCTCTTATATCCGATAAGTTCAAATTGGGAGGAATTACCTATATACGAAAAACACAATTTTGAAAGATTTTTTTTTGGTATTTGTGAATAGGTGTTCTTGGTGATTTCTTACCTCCACCACGTTGCGTTCGCTAAGAATTTGACTAACTCCGCCATTTTCATTGGGAAAATATAATAAATTACCATCTTGAGCCCTTGCTAGTACTACTTCCAGGAGAATGGTAGGTACAATAATTGTAAGTGAAGACCAATGCATCTACAAAAAAGTCCCTGTGTAAAGGTTTATGACGGTACACCTTGCATTGTTTCTATGAAGGTAGACAAGTATGAAGTACCATGTATTATCTCTTAACAGGCAGGCAGCGAGATGCAGATTGAGGCAACACCTTGACTGTCAATGAATAGTTCGGAATAAATGATTTTACACTTAATAAATTATTTATATCACTTGAGTAGTTGGTAAATACCCAGGCTCGCGGCGTTAGACGTTTTAATTTTTCCAGATTTTCTAGTACTTAAAATTTTTATTAGTTACTACCCATTAAAGAGCGGTGGCTCTGAGAAGTTTCAACAGAAATATTTTTATGGCACCCAGAAGACACAACGTGTTTGAAAACAAATGCGAAAAATGATGTATTTATTTTTCATTATTATAAAAACACACTTCTGCATATTTCTTTTTTTTTTAATGACGGAAGGGCATTGAATTAGACTACCCGTATCATTCTTCTTAACTAAATTTAATTAAAACCAAACAGTAGCTTCACTAAGGTAAAAAATCTAAAGCAATGTATAATGGGAAAAAAAACAGATTAAAAAAATATCCGTTGTCACTTCTTAAGGCGTTTATCTTAATTAAAAATGTATTATCTATTCATTTAATGTTCAATAACAAGAATTATACTAATGAAGAAATGACAAAAAATCATTTTACAAACGGGCATTCACGGTATGCATTTTCAATACTTACTATAAACATTGTAACTGTCTTGCTTATTTGAGTTACATTGTTTAAATAAAATGTCTTTAAAGAAGAAGAATGCATTTATTCGTAGTTTATGCATGAACAGATCAATTAATTTCAGAAATGTTTATTATTAAAAATTTTTTTAAATGTAATTGTTTAGAAGATAATTGATAAATGTTGGTACGTGATACAATTTATTGACAGCACCAAACTAAATTATTTTTCTAAAATATTTTTTTTCGACATGCTTTTACATTTTGTTTGGAAACCGTAAATTTTATGACAAAATTGCCGGAAACAAAAAATAAAGCATAAAATATATTTTTAATGTTATTGCATAAGTTTTTTCTTCAATTTTAAAAAAGTAAAAAATAAACTACCCTTCGTATTAAATAAGGGGTAAGCTTCGTTTTGTTTCGAAACACCCTGTATACAGTACCTGTTTTTTTAATCATAGAAACAAGTATCCCAATATTTCACAGAATTTATTTTCATAATTTGGAACTCATTTTAAATTATAGTATCTAAGTTATTTCTAAGACAAAAAAGTCACCTTCACGATATTTGATCGTGTTCTATAATGTTATCATTTTATGATCTCGAAAGGGTAAAAGTTGAAAGGATCAATTTTGCTTATTTTTATTATAAAGTTTTATTTTCAATAGTTTCTACTAATACATGCACAATATACATAAATAACACAGTAATTTATATTGTGTGATTACGTAAAGCTTCAAGGCCCGAAGTGCGATAAAAAGTGACCACAAATTTTTCATAATTTTATGGAAGATGTCACAACATCCACAATATACCAGATAATGTGTGTAGACCGTTTTCATTTACAATAATTAGCTTGGGGAGGGTACATGTTTACATATACATAAGTGGAACTAATTCAGTCGTATTGTTAATATTAAATTATAATTTAATTCATTCATTATCGTTAACATATCGTTAAATAATCAAATTATTTTGCCTGGGTCCGGAAGAACATTAGCAATACGAATTTTTTGACAAAAGAACAATGGTCTTTAAATGAAAATAGCTGAAAATATTTGGTTCTTTTTTAAAAACAGTGAAATATTTAAAAACTATTTTTTAGACACGGGCTGGATATTTGCGAACATCCACTTTTACAAACTGGATATGTATAATTGACCAAGCGTGGTTTCAATTTAATTCGGGAGCTAACGATCCGAATGCAACAACATTAAGGCCACCACCAATGACAATACGATCCCCTCGTTACCGGTAATAATATTTTAACCAAACTTATTTTATTAATGGCCTCGAATTGATGGTATTTTCTAATTATTTTTTGCTCGACTAGTTACAGCTGGAGATATTACATTACACTCAATGCCACTGTAAAACTCTTTTTGTCAGGTTTGATTTGATTTTTCAATGTCTAAAAAGGAAAGATATCAGCAGAATTGATATAATGGGCTTGAAATCCGCTTCGTAATTAATCTTTGCAGCTTTGTGTAGGTGTTAAAAGAAAGTTAAAATATAGTATTAATGTAAATAACTAAATGAATTATCTATGAATTTGATGTTGTCTTTATTAGGTACATTGTGGCATTTTTCGTGAAAAGTATCTACCTAAAACATATCTGGTACAATTTATATAAATTCCAATATTGTGTGTGAATATTAATTGACGATAAATCTCCAAATAAGTTAGCTAAAACACGAAACTTATCGCAAACGACTGACGCACCACCTTTGTTGAAACTTTGAACTTGAACTACTATAATAGTAAAGCAGAAACTTTTGAAAGGTTTCTTATAGACCTTCGCATCGATTTTGAAATTGTCGCCAGTGTTTTAATTCAACTTTTCTAATATTTCTATAAAATTATTTTACACGCCTGGTTATTTTAACAGTAACAAGTGTTAACAAATATTTAAGTATACTTACTGTAAAACTATTCACTGGTACCGTTTGTTCTTAACATTTTCACATAACTATTTATTTATATCTACCTAAAATTTGGTATTACTGTCCCAAAACAACTATCTTACTATCACGTTACACACGATTTGCTATCCGGTTATTTTTTGTACGATCATCGGTCAACAGTTTTAACACCATTGTCGCACGGGTATCTTCTCATTACAGTTCAACTTGCTGACCTTAACAAGGAGAATTCCCCACCAAGTTATCATTGTAATAAAGTCTACTCTATAATGAGATTGTTATTGTTTGACCGTGCATAGCGAACCGGTAAATATTTGTTGCTGCCAATAAACAAATGAAAAGTTAAACATTGGCGGTTTTCGTTCTGACGAAACGAGTTTTTTCTTATTTTACTCCTTGGGGTAGGATGAATCAAAAAATGGGAAAAGCCCAATCGACATCAAGTAAATACCAAGCCGCTCGTGGACGCTAAGTGGACAGTATAACAAGTACTAATACAATATGACTAATGCAGTGTGATGGACCGATGCGTGTGATTCATGTGTGTCCTCTTACCAGTACATAATAAAGTAGTATTTATCGTAATCTATTAACTAAATATATTTATGTAGAAAATACGCGTATAGGCAAGCGATAAACTTTACCTTGGGTTACTGGTAATAATATAATTTTTAAACGTAACACAACACCGAATTTATAATTGTTTTTTTGGTTTAAGTGTTGAAAGAAAGATAAATAAACTCAGGTGTAATCAGGGAACGTAATTACTTTGCAACTAGCAACACTAATTGAACAAAATGAACTAAAGATTGCTTGAATAACTTAAATGGTTAAACAACAATTAACGGAAAGAAAGTAATTTTTATAATAAAGAGTTGAAAACTTAAAAACCTGATTTTATTTGTTTATTTAGTTATTTTTGATTTATTTACACCACAGCTGAAGCAACTTGCAGATGGGGAAGTATCAACCAAGGCAACGAAACAGAAAAGATTATTAAATAACGCAGGTTCATTTAATTCCATCAACAATATTAATTAGAGTTAAACAATTTTGATTTGGTTGAACAGATATGGGCCCGTTTATTCCCTTATGTTTCTAAAACAAAAGATTTACCTTCGTTCAACAACCCCGTTTGCCGTCTATTTTTCCTTTTACAATTAGATAATACTCTTCTCCACGTAAGATGTGACCAAGCTACGCAATTCTGCAACATTTTACATCATTGGACCGATAGTCGCGCCAGGGAACATGCGGCATTCTTCGATGAATCTACATTTCAAATGCTTTTAGCCGATTTAACGAGTCAATCCTTAAGGTACAGCGTTCCACCCCATACATAAGGCCTGACCAAATAAAACACCTCACTATACGCTGGCGCAATTTTAGGTTTATCGTTACAAAAAAGTGTTTGCGTTTGAAAAGTTCTTCTTACTTCCAGGCACAAGCAAGTCGGCCTTTAATCACTGCACTTCTTTGGACGGGGTGCTTTAGGAATTGTAATGAAGGTTGATGTGAGCCAGTCCTCTACAATTTACCAAACTTAAAACTGAGAAAGAATTGCGAAGAATTTCGTGCGAAAAACCTATTGGAGGAGGAGGAGGAAACATTGAAAGTTAAGAATTTTAAAATTTTCTCTGTATTTCTCTAAAGTTTATGCGTAGCGTTGCCAAAATTAGGGATGCATATTCCAATTTATACTTCACGGATGTTTCGGAAAAACCAAAGGAATTGGGAATTAGAAAACCTAACTGCCCATAGGCAGATGACAATGCTATTTATATGCAAACTAAAGACAACTATACCTCAAATACCACTCTCAGGTCCCTGACGGAACCGGGCCTGCCTAAGACCATACGATACAATATTATCAATTGAATAATCAAAGAGTATTATGGCTATTATAGCTCATGACACTGGACTTGGCCGCATTTACCAAGAATCGACCCTTGGGGTACACCAGACATTACCAGCAACTCCACAGAGACAAAACCCAGGTACTCCACGTACTGGGTTCTGTTTGAAAAATAAGACTCTATTAAATCAAGCAAACTAGAGGAGAATCTCAACTCAAGGTTTTGAGTTTACGCAATGGCATGGTCAAACCTATCGAACGCTTTCGAAAAGTCTGTAGATGTGCATGTTGGTGCATGGAGATTTGATTTTGTAAAAATTAAGAACGGCTGGTATGATACTTTCCGTTTTTCATCAACATCATTACTTTCCCGACGTTAGATAATCTCGGTGATATGAGGCTATGTGCTCTTTTATTTTCTTTCATAACTCGCTAAATTCATGATAGCCGCGCACCAGCACTTGCTAGAGGAAAGGTGAGATAAAAGAAAAAAATACTTATTTCCTAGTGCCACCATTTAAGTAAAACGTAAAAATAAGTCAATCCTTGGCCTTCTAACACAGATTGTCTTTAGATTATTTTTAAAAACAAAAAGCGAGTCAGTTAAATCCAATGATATTATGTAATACGAGGAAAGATAATACTAATGTGATCACGTACACAATATAAGTTAGTGTTATGCAATAGAAAAATTTCATTAGGATGAACCAGTTTTTAAAAGGTTAAGTTCAGAATGACACACAAAATTTAGTTTGCCGGCTGCGAACTTTCTAGAGCACACTGCTATATCGGCTATTGCTTTTATTTAAGATCTTGGGTGGTATCTATAAATACGCATTGAAATATAATTCTGAACAATCACCATACATCGTGGACCATTTTTTTATGACAAATTAAGTAGAAATTTCGAAAATATTTTTAATTTATTAGAAGAAGCACAAAACATTTTGAGTGCAAAACTGAAATGTGTGTTTAATAAAAATATTCAAAGTTCTAATTGCCAAAAAAACTGTAGTAAAAACATATTTTAATTAAAAATCCCTTTTTTTATTAAACTGGCAGATTTTCTTAAATTTTTAACATTGCGATAACTCAAGTAACAAATGACTGACACAGGCACAAAAATGGCATTCTTCTAAACGTACCATCTACGCTCTTTGAGACCGCAGCACGAAACAACTGGTTGCAGTTGCATCAAAATTTATGCAACCATGGAGTTCTTCTTCTCCCAATGCTTCGTCTACCATGAATTTTGCAATGCATAATCAATTGGGGCAATTTATATTTTTCTCCGCGTTTAATATGGCCAAGGTACTGTAGTTTTGATATCTTAATCGTATCTATTACTGCTCATTGCTTGTTCATTCTTTCAAGTACTTGTTCGTTTATGACTTTGTACTTCACTCCACTTTTTCACCTTCCATGATATTTAAAAAATTCTCTGAATGATACATCCATGTCTCGGTCTCGAAGTATTCTTATTCTAATTTTGTTAGAATAGTCATTTGTTTCGTGTTTCATTTGTTCGTCCTCAAAAAATGATAATTTCTTATTTGTTCAATCTGTTCATTTTTCTAAATTCTCCGCTCACTGCTACTTCTATATTCTCTAGAGGGCATCTATATTTTTGGGCTATAAGTGTCATCGGCATATCTGATATTACGAATGAGAGAATATAGATTGAACAGATATAGCCCTGTCTAATACCCGTTTTTATGTTTATTATGCTCGTGACATCATTATGTAAGGGTAGTCCTCTTGCTGGCAGTACAAATTATTTATTATTCTTACGTGTCTGGTGTTGATGTTTTTGTTATTCTGTAGTTCCATAAATGTTTTATGGACGGTGTGAAACGCTTTAATAGAACAGAAAATAGAACTATACATTCTGATTTACTGAACCGTCCCTAAAACTGACGTGGGTATCTCCGAAATTTAAGATATTCTACGCTGGATGATTTTCAGAAACACTTGGAATTGTTTTGGAATAGTATCAAATATTGACTGTAGCGACTCTTTCGATAAAATTCGAGTTTTGTATATACCGTTAAATAGATGTATTCTAGTGTACAATGAGTTTAAGAACTTCTGTTCTGGTAGTTCGTCTAGTCCGGTGGTTTTCCCAGTTCATTTTCTTGATGATGTGCTCTATTTCGTCTCTAGTTATTTCTGGTCCCGTGTTATCGCATCATTGTATTCCTCTTCTTTTTGGTCATCAATAAGCCTTCCTACTGTCAGCCCTTTCTTCGGTGTGCAGAATAATTTTCGTTTGATCGGTAACTGCGACTATATTTCCTAGTTAATTGTTTAATTCTCTTGTGTGCATTAAAACTGTCATATTTTCTTTTCAAATTTTCAATTTCCTCACACTTATCCTTATAAAATTTCTCCTTGGCTTCTCGAACTCTTATTCTGATTTTGTTTTGCAAATCACGGTATTTTTATTTATCTTTGTTTTCCTCCATAAGATTTGATATTTCAGCTGTCATCCGTTTCTTTTTGGCTTGATTCTAAACTTTTCAATGTCACATTAATTTAACTTTTTACTCTATCTCTTATTTCTAGGTTGCTCAACTTACTAGTGTCAATCGTATCTTTCTTTGTTTTATAGTTAAGCCTGCTTAATTTTATACTTACCTTTGCTATGAGTGAGTAATGGTTAGAGGATACATCTGCACCTGGATATGCTTTAATTAAAATTATACTATGGTGGGTGCTCTATGGAAACATATTTATGACAAGCTCTATATTGGAGAGACCGTGGTTCACAAATTTTTCTCCTTAAACCTGGACATACTGGCAAAAGAGCTAGAATGCTTAATGTGCCTCTCAATGAGTGGATTTTTCATATATGATATAAAAGAAAATAAGTGAAGGAAACGCTTCAAGGAGAAATTTTTGGTCCATTACTTTGTGGTTGAGTTTACTGACCTTTACCAGACTTATCATTCAGTCCTGCTGGTTTGCCAATAGACATAAATCCCACCACAAAGCTTCTTGCTTCTTATATTGACTGCTCCTTGAGGTCGGACCAGGACCTGAATAGTGGCTACAGTAAATTAAACAAGACGTTCTTCGCATTAGCATTTAGGGATTCATTCCTTGATAGCCGGTTAGTTGCTTTTTAACTACGCGTTTCTGTTTTATATGATATCCTAAACTGGGGGCAACCTAAAAGGGGGCTTATACAGCAAAAGAGGCTGCTTAGCTCTCTGAGACAATCCTGTAAAGAGATATTTCAACAAAATAAAATATTAACAGTGGCGTGCATTTACCTATTTAAGATACTCTTAATCACACATGAAAATAAATATTCACACCTGGTCTACACAGTTACTATATCCGTAATACAGTTATTACGCAGTCAAAAAAATTATCAACACTTCAATTCAAAAGATAGAACTGAGGTGGCTTTTACTTGACGAAAATCCATTTAAAATAAATAAGAACTAAAAGTTCAGATTTTCACGAAATTATATATATTCACATGACAATTGTTTCGACAACACCGTGTCTTTATCAAATGTAATATTTACAAACTACCTGCTACTCTATATACCGAAAAATGACAATAAAACCTTAATTAATGTTGTGAGAATTTAAGTTTAATAATAGAGAGGTATTTAAATCGAATTGATCGTTAAGCAATACATTTGAATGTCTCTTTTTGTTAATGTCCATTGCTTCCAATAAATTTAATTTTCTACTTTTTGTGGTTGTATGTAAATATCAAAATTGTCGTTAAAAATGTGTTTTTCTGTGTTTAAGGGTGTAGCATAATTAGAATCTGGACTATTGTTTTTAAACTCTTTTATGTTCGTTAATGCGTTTCTTGGAGGATCTCGCATCTCAACCTGTAGACACCCGATTTTTGAGATTTTGGACACTTCGTTTTATTGTTTTTTAAAAATTTCACTATTTTTAAACCATATTTTGACAAATGTTTTGAAACTTTTTCACTAGGTTCTCCTATGTATGTAATTGTTTTAAATTGTTCATGTTCTGTATTAGGTTTCGCATAAATAGAGTTTACTGTTGTCTATATTTGTTTTTTATTTATAATTTTATCAATAATCGATAATGAACGGATGGATTGTAGCCGTTGTTCAGTGCAAGCTCTTGTCGGCAATTCTACAGCGTGAAAGAATTTGAAATGTATTTGAGAACAAGCCATTGAAGGAAATCGTAACCAAAAAGTAAAATAATGTTAATTTGTAATTGGCTTCAACTATTACAGTACCAAAAATACATTAACTTTTTGAATTTTCCAAAAGTTTTTTTTTAAATAACATCCAAAATGGCAAATTGATTCACACTTTATTGGCTAATAAAAACAATAGATTATACCTTGTACCTTATATGAGAGTATAAAAGGATCAACACTGACAATATCACTCATTAATTTCATAAAATTTCCAAATATCAAATTGTGAAGCTATAAATATAGAACAAAATATATTAGGACTTAGTCTCTTATATTCCATTTAAACAGTAACTAGGCAAAAAAAAACAGTTAACTCTGTGGTTCCACAAGTTTTTAGCTACCATAAAGCTTCTGTGTTTATAATACAAAGTAAATAAACCAATAAACCAAGCTATTTACACAAAACAGTAGTTAATTTGATTGTGAAATAAGTAAAATATACTGATACTATAAAAACGTCGAATTTATAGACTGTTCAAAAGTTCCTTCATCTGGACTGATACTGACATGTTCTACTGAACACTGTGGCTGAGAGTTTGTACTTAAATCTGGCGATTCAAATGGACTTTGCTCGTGACTGCCAACACTATTTGATCCCAGAAGGGAAAGACCCAAAATGAACCTTATATTGTCTGTCAAGTGTTCGGCTTCTTTTATCTGGTAAAATATTCCTTCAGCTTTGTTCAGCATTAATGCGATATCTAGTTTTCCACTGAGCTCATTAATGTGCTGAAAATGGAGATACTCAAATTCAGTAATTTCTGTAATTGAAAATAAAATAATGTGAAGAGACACACCTTTAAAATCTCCGTGAACCCATAATTGTTGCTCATTAATGCTTTCCTTTCATTTTGCAATATTGCTACTCCTACTAGCAAGTGGAAATTTTTACAGGGATAGCCTGTCCAAAGAACCTCCCAAAATCTGTTTATTAAAACTATAGAAAACAAGGCAACTCTCATAGAATAGTACTCACCTCATTACATCATCTTGACTCAATTCCCTTTTAAACCAAACAAGAAGCCATCGGAAACAGAAGAACATATTCCCTGAGTCATGTGTGTCCAAATAATTAGCCAACTGCGGATCAGCAAAACATAGTAGGGTATGCAAATTGCTCAATTGTTCTTTCATACCTGCCTGGTCTATATCAAAGTTAGAAATCTTAAATGTAACTTTAATTAGTCTAAAGGAGACACTAAATAACTTATTATCTTTTGTATATTTCTCCACAACTTACCACTTTATTCATAAAGCCCACAAAACACCAAAATGAATCACATTCATTCCTCAAAAGCATTAAAATAGGTGCTAAGAGATCGCTCATGCCTTGAACATAACCCAAATCAAAGTTGTACATTATGTATGTCATCAGAATGTCATTTAAGGTTTGCAAGTTGGAATTGTTATCTCCTGCATAAAACTCCAGTGTTCTATCTGTCCTGAACAAATACGCAAGTTAGAGAGTAACTACAGGAATTTTGCAAGTAACAAAAGGAATTGCTAGTATTACCATAGATAACCAATTGCTTTAAAAAGAACTGTTGCAAAAGCACTAAAAGCTACTTGAATCCCTACCTGTTTACATCTTTTTCAATTAGGCTCTTCCTTTCTCTGTAATCACTAAAGTTTTCTTCTTGGATTTTTGTAATTGATTTCCACTGTAACTTCATTGTAAAATATTCATCACTTTTTTGAATCACCAGTTTTTGTCTCTGGGATTCTGTGCTGTCCCATGGAAAATAATCTAGTAAAAATTTCCAAACTTCTTTTCGTATCGAAGGTTGGACACCCTAAAACATCCATCCATTATTTGATACAAAAACTGAAGACATTATGTCACTCACCCCACGAAAAATTAAACTCTTGATTGGTTCAACATCCTCCAACCGTCCTTCACAGTTAAACTGACTTTTCCACTGCTCTTCACTTAAAGGCCTCAATCTTGGAAAATCTTTTCTGGCAGGCAAATCCGGCACCTTTTGTATAACTTCATAATCACCACCAGAATGAGATGTTTCTTCATACTCTGACAAGGATCGGTTAAGATCTTCTCTTTGAAATTCATCAACCTCTCTCTGGTCAGCGCTATTATAGACTTAAACATTCAACAGATATTGTAACCCAGAATCGAGCCTTATAGGAAAAAATAATATAAATGTTTTATTGCTTTTACAATTTCCCACATGATGATAAAAACACACAGTGGGATTTTTTAAATATATTGTTAGGACAACGGAATGTCAAAATATCTAAACTGAAGAATACTAACCATCTTAACTATGTAAATAAAAATAATTACCAAAATTGGTGATTTTAGCAAATACTTCAAATGTACCTTCATATGGATTTTCTTTAAAAGTCTTAACCATTGACCAGAAGGGGTTTGGATCGCTGTTTATATTTAAAGTAGCAAATGATTTATGCAATTGCTGCAGTTCTAAGTTATTGCTGTGGACCACATAGAGATGCCTGTCTCTTCTAGATGGAGTCACTCTCAGAAAAGTTTTGAAAATGTTTACCAAACATTCACAATTACCATGTTGAAAAATAAAGGAGCAAATTGGCTCAGAGGAGCCATCGTATAGAATAAGCTGTCTGTTTTTGTTACCTACATGGAAACTTTTTATATCATCAAAACTTATTTTAAAGGATTTTAAGCGGCCTTGGTAATCTGATGGAAAGTTTCCACTTAAAGTTCTTACTCTCTTTTGGACAGTGTTTACAACAGCCCATTCTTGGTCCTGAACATCCGAATCTACAGTGACATCATTTGGTTTCCATTCCAGGAACTGCTTGCGTGATGCAGAGTCATCATTTTGCAAGGATTCCAAAATATAAATTGTACCAATAGTATTGACAAACGAAATATAGCTGGAGGGAGCTTGCTTTAATAAGACACCATCCTGGGTATAACTTTCAACATAATCATCGAATTCGTCCATTATTGGTTCAAACAATTTACTATGTATTAATTTTCATAATAAGAATTCCATTAGGCGGATTACTTTCGTGATTCACGTGGTAATTATTTCCTTTTGTTGACCAAATCAGAACTTGCAATTATTTAAATTCATGTAAATAATACTTTAGAATCATAAACATACAATATATACCTAAATTATTTGGCAATCTTTATATTACTTCTTTTTTAGTTTAACAAAGAAACGGTAGGCACATTTACTAGGATGATTCGCCCATCGCCGTCATGGGTCTAGGATTATTAAACATTAATTTTGACAACACAATAATGCACGGTTAGACCAACTACTGTTAGGTATAAATCTAAGTTTAGCCCTATAGCTGCAATGTAAATAAATTAAAGCTGCATTGATATTTGCTGACTGCAGGAATTGCACAGGGTTACTGCCCTCTTTCATATAATTTATTTAAGTCCACAATTTTAGTTATCGGTTCAAAATATACAGAATTACCAAATATTTTTTCACAGAGAGATGTTCCGTGGCACGGCAAATGCTCTTTGCGATTAGCTGACATCGAAAGGAGACATGTAGGACAGTTATTACATCGGCTATCTATTACTACCAGTTTTGACTGAAAGAACGGGATGAGTGACGTCACTTAGCCAATCCACGCCAAAGTTGCTTGTTAAGCCTTTTGGATCATCGATTTTGATTTTAAAATATGAGATCAAGGTGTTGTCGGTTGTACATTCTCGGACACCGTTATTGTTAGAAAAATTATAATACAACTAATGCGAGTTTATATGAACGACATGAACAAGCTGTTGATTTTAGTATCCGTTAATTTTTTTTAGAAAACATGATAGGACACCAATTGGTATCCAAGAAATTCAAAGAACATGTGTCGGATTGGTAGCTGTAAATGGGCGAATGATCCCGGTCATCTTGCCCAGGATATAGCGAAACGCAAAGTTGATTGGAATTTAATCAAGATTTTGCTTATCTATAGAACCGAATTTCAAATTATGTTAGCTCAATAATTACAAGAGTTGGTTAACGGAAAAGAATACTACTACTAAACTCCCAATAGATCATGTAATTATTTTCTTTTTAAACCAACAAATTAATTTCTTGAAAATGTTGTCCTATTAAAAGCGTTTATAGCAACAACGATTGGTTTTTATTTTATTTAAAATTTAATTTATTTAATATATTTTATTTTGATATATATGACTTGGAACATTCTGTATATTTGTATTTGGATAGAAACGGTATACGATGTATGTACTTTGTTGGGTAGATGTTTTCTCATTCGCGGTCAGGACCGGAGGCGTTATATTTCGCGGAGGTGGTTGTTATGCCATGTTTAGTCAAAAGGCTTGCCGTGAAGAAAACTGGAAGGTCGCACAAGGAATTGACTACCGGCAACTATGTTTATTATTATTATTCGCATTTCTGTAGGAACAGGTCTTAGAGACTCTCCCAATCCAATAATTTATATATATTTTGTAAATCCTTACAAATGGCAACAAACTTTGGAATATTATTATATAAATTTTTCTATGTTTTTTTAGGTTTTTTTGGTTAAATCTTGCAAGGAGCAGATTTGATGCACTTTTAAAGAAATTATAATGTTAATATTATTATAATTCTTTGACATAGACAGGTTATTTTTTAAATAAAATATTTAGTGGAAGAAGAACTAATGATTCATTTTCTCTATGGAACCGTTTTTGTAGCTAAAAGCAAAAAGTCAAAAATGTAATGAAAGCGACCAGAGATTATCCGTAGTCCCAAAACGGTTCAAACATGTATTGCTTTATAAATACCCTGTACGCAATAATTCAAGGTCTCTTGACTTACTATCGCCTATTTATAAACAGTAACCAAAATTTTAGCTATACTGGTTGGGAGGTATTTCATTCTTTTCTCAAACAATTTTTATTTTCAAAATAGTTGAAGTATATCCTACACACAATAATTCAATAACATTTCATAGCATCTGAAATGGTAAACATAATAATTAATTCGCAAATATTTTTAAAATGATGATTATGCAAACGCAACCGAATAAGATGGTGGTTTAAAGACAAAAATTTAATTAAATATATATCCTGAACCTTTTAACCAAATAGTTTTTATACAATAACTTTTAGAACTTACTAATTTTTATGAAAATTTATGACAAAATATCTAGTCACTAATGCAGCTGCTTTTTATTAAAATAAAAAATATATTTGAAATTGTCGAATTAGAGTTTGTAGCACCTAAGACTTGGTAGGAATATTTCAAATAAATATAAAGATTAGAAAAAAACGCATTTTTTATATTTTTGTGCTTTTCGGAAGTCGTAGGCACAAGAAATCGAATATGTCCCACCATAAATAGGAATTGCATTTTTTTTTCATAGCATCTAATTACTCTACTACAACCTGCATACAACACGCATTTAAAAATGGCTGTTGATTCTCAAATGGTCGTGTGTTAAATTTCGTATTACAATTATGTTGAAAAAAAAACTATTTTTTCCAAAAATGTAAAATTCCTGCGGAAGGTCATAATAGGTTTACTTCAATTTTTCTGCTTATAATCATCTCATAATTCACATCTTTTAGGAGCGACATCTTAAACTGTTTCTTCTTTTTATTCACATCGGATTCTTATAATCAACTCAAAACTATATTAACGTTTTACCTAAGCTAGGACACTTGCATAATAATTATATTTTGAATGACTGGTTTAAATTGGTTTATTTTTTCTAATCCCAATAGTAAAGTTAATAAACCAATCGATATTTATAAAGTAGATTCAAAACAACAATCGCTGAGAGGTATGAAAAGAAAAATAAAACGAGAATCCCACGATCATTCTACAAATAAGGCCTATCTTTAAAACACATAAATAATTGCAATTTCAGAACTGGTCTCGCCGCAGCCCACGCTAAATAATTGTTTGGTTTTTGTAATGCGTAAAAGTTGTTCAGAAAAAATTGGGAATGCGTTAGGCTGTAGGCTGTGTTAGGTAGTAATTTGTATGCAACTTTAATCTGAGCGAATTGTAATATCCATATAGTTGTGTTTTTCTACACGAGTTGTTTAATCCAAAATCGCGTATAAAAAATCAAGCGATGTTGAAAATTTGGTCCAGTCGTTAATCTCCGGCCTGCTTAATTGATATTATTCCGATGATATGAATTAGTACTTGGGTTGTATATCTTTGCCAAAAACATATAATATACCTAAACTTGAGGGATTGAGGCTTGAGATCCTCACAATATGGAGCAAGTTTTAAAACTCAATGCACGATCCGCTATCTGAGACGACCCAAAAATAGTCTCAACTTGCGTTATTTTACGTTTTTACGTATTTTAAAAGTAATTTCGACGATATGAGATATTTTGGACTTCCATTGTCTTTTCGTTAACATTTTTCGTCGTCTAAAACTTTCAAACAAAGAAAGTAATTCCGCTTCAGTATACTTAGTATACGTAGTTTTTTCTTTATTGCTTTGGATTAGATACTACGAAAAAACCTTTTTTTTAACACTTTTTATAACACTAATGAAAAGTTTGAGCTACTTAAACCTCCCTTGGTGTGACAGTGAAATTTCTTAACTGTGTGTGTTTAAAACCTTACTACCCTTTTTTTAATGTTGTTTTATTAAATAACCTATTGAAATTATAAAGTTTTTTGATTTGCATTCAGTTTATTGATAATAAACGTTAAGTATATGGAGTTTGATATTATTTTATACTAGGCAAAGTTATACGTGCCACTTATATTTGGCATCTAAAATATACATACATATGATGGTGACATAAAGCCTTCCACACTTTTATATTTCTTAAAAAACTTTTTTCAAGATAATTTAATAAAAGTTGCAAACAAAATCATTTCACATGGTCTTTTAACAAAATCCAAAATCTAGATCGAAGAATATAAATTTAAATCCATTATTCTTACTACATTTAACAGATCTTTCGAAATCCTTTCAATTCACATGAATTATATTTTTTTGAAGAAAAAGCGTATCTGAATTTTTCTGTCGAATTGCGTCTAGATTGGTCAATTTTTTTTTCTATTCTCTCCTCTAACCCAATTACGCACTGATCAGGAGTGCCCAAGGTGGTACTTTAAACGTCAGTTTCATTAAACACTGTCGCTAGCTAATTCGAATATTACTTTAGTTCACGAGTTGGTAGCAATTGGATGTTTTCATTAGGTTTTAGCTATGGCATTTTGACGTTCGTTAGTTCTGATGATTTTGCATGTGTTCTGGCCTCTTTTAAAACCTTACTACCCTTTTTTTTTTCAATGTCTATTAAGTAACTTATTGAAATGATAAAGTTGTTTGTTTTGTGTACAGTTTCATTACATTAAATTTTAAAGTTATACGTGTCACTTTTATTTGACATCTAAAATATATTTACCGTGTGATGGTGACATGAAGCCTTCCACACTTTTGTATTTCTTTAAAAGAATTTTTCAACATAATTTAATGAAAGTTGCAAACAAAATCACCTCACACGGTCCTTTAACAAAACCCAAAATCTAAGTCTAGATATATAATTTGAATCGATTATTGTTACTACGTTTAACGGTAATTTTTTTTTTATTCCCTCCTCTAATCCAATTACGCACTGATCAGGAGTGCACAAAGTGGTACTTTAAACTTCAGTTTCATTAAATACTGTCGGCTAGCCAATTCGAATATTTAATACTTTAGTCACGAGTTGGCAGCAATTGGATGTTTTCGTTAGACACTTTTTAGTTCTGTGTTCTGGATTCAGTCACTAATTTGTGACTAAAGGGTCGTTTATAAAAACTGTTACATAATATACTATTAAAAATAATACATGACTAAACTAAATTAAACTAAATCCTCATTAATATTCAATTTGTTATTTTAACGAATAAAAAAGTTTTTTAGAAAAAAACAATGCAATGTCAAGCCAAAGTAATTAGGGAGCTCGTTTTAGCCGAACACTCGCCCTTATAAGGAAACGTATATATTTCTAAAATGTTTATGAATAAAGAACAAGTGTATGGAATGGGTGCACCTGGTTCGCTCAATCATTGACCTCTAGGGTACTCCCACGTAAAAAATTCACATTTTTTCGTCATTGTGTTGTGTATGCTTTTGTTTTCGTCTGAATCAGGTCCAAATTCACGAATAACAAACTTCTAAAAGAACCCTTGCTGAAATCGATACGTTTATACGTTTTTAATTCATATAAAGG